TGCTCGTGGGCTTCTCGGCTAACCGAGCCAGACGTACCTCCCGCTCCGTCGACTCCCTCCCTCTGACCGTCTCGGTGTCTCAATGTCTCATTTCCCCCCCAACCCCCGGTGGTATCCTCCATCCGTACATCCGTACCTGACTCGTGTGCACCAGCCCGTGACGACGATACCCAACCAGCGCCACAAACACGCCGTACGCCTCGATCCGCTTCACAACGGCCCTGTGTACGGAGCCCACCTCTGGCGGCTCATCGGTTTCGGGGCCACCTGAACGAGAGGGGGGTGAGTGCGGGTGAGTGAGTGAGTGTATGTGTGTGTGTGTGCCGTGGCGTGGCATTGGTGTGCGAGTCAGTTAGACGCCGCATCAAACCCAGACACCCTCCTGGCTTGGGGAACTGTTCCCTAGGGCCGCTACTGCCGGTGATGATTGTGATGATGTCCTGAAGCAGCTCTCAAATCCCACCAGTGCCACCCCCCCAAAACGTTGGTTGGTACCTTTGGACGCCAGCAATGCAATTTCTCTCCCTCGGGATTCGGTATTTTCCTTCTGGCTCCTCATTTGGTATTCTCCATCTGACCCCACCTCCACCCCCGGGTAAGGCCCATCCAATGACTGGGATGGGTCTGAGGGGTCTCTGGCTGAAAACCACTTCAACCACCAGTTCACACCCCCCCAGACAGCACCCGGCACAGCACAGCACAGCACGCTACCACACTGTACCCCGCACTCCCCCGCACCTCGTCCCCGGCCTCCGCCTCCTCCTCCGCCTCCCGGCTGCTGGTGGTGATGTTCCCCCGCCAGAAGCCCCTCCGGATCCAGATCCGCCCCCGTGGTTTGATCCACCGCCCGCAGACTGCCGTTGACTCGCACCTCCGACGGGTTTCGCTCGTCGGGGGACACCTCCGTGATCTTGACCCATACCTACGGGAACGAGCGGGGAAGGGGATTGGGGACTGAGGATTGAGAAGAAGCAGGGCATCATGTATATAACAACACACTAAATGCTCGCCGTCCCACCTGCTCTCCCTTCGGGAAGTAGAACTCCAGGGCCTTCACTTTGGCCTCATCGTCGTCATCCCGATTGAACCGCAGCTCGTCACTGACCTGGCTCCGGAGGGGAGGGGGAGGGCCAGAGGGCCAGAGGGGCAGAGGGACACCGACTTGAAAACAACTTCTTTCTCTACGTCTCCTCCATCTCCGACTCGCTACTCGCTCCTTATTACGGTCTACCTTCTTTTTCTTTTTTATTCTTCTCCGTTTTCGTAAACCACAACACACGTTTTGGGCCCCGAGCTCTCTCTCTCTCACTTTTAGCAATTCCACCTATGTCCCTTCCCCTCCTCTCCCCCTCGCTTCCCCCGGCTCCCCGCCACCATCACCATCATCATCACCACCACCGCCACCTCCTCCCTTCCGCCCTCCCACCCACCTGCGTGTTGTGCACCATCACGTGGCGACGGAAACCCGGTAACGCCACGAACACCCCAAAGGGCCTTATGGTGTGTACGGTGCCGCGGTGCACGGAGCCCACCGGCGGGGGCGCCGTGGACTGGGGGACCGGCGGGGCTGCTCCGCGACCTGAGACAGCAGCGGGAGCCGGTGTGTGTGTGTGTGTGTGTGTGTGTATGTGTGTGTGTGAGTGTGTGGTGGGGGCGGGGAAATAGGACCAGAGACAGGATTAGGATTGGGATATCCACTGGGACTGGGAATCAGTGGGACCCGGAGCTGCAGTCGCATCCCGATGGCGGGCCCACACCCCGGTGTGTGTATGATTGTGTGTGTACGTGAGTGTGGGAGGGGGGGAAGAGCGTCCTAGAGGGGAAGTCACCCAGGCAGGGGGAAGAGTGCTGGGTTTCTCCAACACCGGCATAGCGAGGAGGACATACATACATAGCTGACAGGTAGATAGGCGGTCTTGAATGTGACCGTTCGGCGGTAGTGTCACCGTGCTGCTCGTTTCCACACGAGATAGAAACAGGGTCCCTCCGGGGAAGGGGGGCTTGGGGAAGGAACTGTTCTGTTTTAGATTTCAGATCCGCGCACCTTGAGAGTGGAGGGACGGCGGCGGTGGTGGGTTGTTCCATGCGCCGCCGCTGGTGCCGTTGCCGCCGCGGCCCCAGCGGCCCTCCTCGCCGGCAGCATCGCCACCCACCACGGGAGGTACGGGCGGAGGGCTGGGGCTCCGCCAGCGGCGCCGACGCGGCGGTGGCTCCTCGCCACCTCCGCCTCCACCAGCCCCTGCCGCAGCCCCCTCTGCGCCTCGGCCGTCACCTTCACCACCTGCAGCGCCGCCACGCCGGGGGGAACCCCAGCGCCTGCGGTCGCGATCACGGCTGCGGCTACGACTGCGGCGTCGGCTGCGGTCGGCGTCACGACGCCGGTCCCGGTCCAGGTGCAGGCCTCGGTCCCGGTGGTGCTGGTCGGGCGCCCCATGTCGTCGTTCCTGATCTCGGTCGCGGAGCCGGTCTCTGCTGCGATCCCGCTCCCGACCTTGGTCCCTGCCGTCGTCTCGGCCGTAGGAGGCGGCGCTACGGTGCCCCTCCCGACCTCTGCTTCGGCTTCGGCTTCGGCTTCGGCTGCGACTCTGGCTGTGGTTGCTGGGCCCTGTCGGGGCCCTGTCACGCCTGCGGCGTTCCACACGGTCGCGGCTGCGGCTGCGAGAGCGTTCGTCGCGCAAGCGTTTGCTTGCTTTGTTGCTATGATGATTGTCGTCGGGATCACCCCAGCGCCCGTAATCGTCTTTGGGGGACCTGCTCTGCGACCTGCTCATCCCGTGCTGAATACCTAAGACTTCGTTGCTGAAGTTGTGGCGCTCAGGGTATCTTTGCTTGAAGGGCACTAAAGCCGTGTTTAAGGTGCGCAAGTATCGGAGATCAGTATCAGGCGGCCCGACGTCCCTAGTGTAATTCACCTAGCAGGATTAAGTGCGAAATGTTTTCAGGACAGAATACACGTTAGCTTTAGCTCTGGAGTCACCAGCTTAAACCCGACATCTCAGAAGTTGGTGCGTGTTTCTCTTATTACGAGAAGCTCTTCAGCACTTCTACCAACATAGACAACATCCCAAACATTGGCTTGATTTTGGCCTTGAATCCTGTGCCTGATTCGAAAAGAACTTTTACCGCCGTATACGCGATAGCTTCTGCAATGTCTACCAGCGAGCCCACCCCAAGTAGGAAAGGAGTTCAAAACCAATCTTCGCCTCACAGAGGGAAACAGGTAGCAATACCGTAGTCGGCCGTCTTATGGCAGTTGGCAGTTAGTGGTTAGTTTTGACTGTAAATTAAGGCAAACAGAACGCAATTTTTGCGTGGTTGCGAGCATAGATCATAGCTTTGATGGCTGACAGTCACTATGTTTGTACAGCTATACTCTGAGGTTGCCGTGATTGAGCTTTCATCCGTGAAGTCCCTAGTTCACCAAGAGGGTAATCAAGTGCGGTTCACAAACGACGCGACATGAAGACGAGGTTGGGATGGTGGTTGGAAGCATTCAAAAGCAAAACTCAAGGCGCGTGTGTTGGCCGCCTGGCTCTGGGTTATCCATAGTTCTGCCGTGGCCAAGGGTCATGAGACATGCCTCCTCTCACATGTAATCCACGACTTAGCCAGCGTAGGAGCATCAAGCTAAGGGGAGCCATCCTGTAATACGTTGGAATAGCTGCTCGCAGGGCTGGAACAATATCTTCTGTCGTTCTCGTCCTTGGCTTTTTAATGGCTTCCGAAGTACGTACGGCATATGTAGTTTGTACACTCGTATTTTATAGCAGTACGAGCCCTTACCTGTTTATTGCGTGTTCAATACCAACGAGTGATGATCATTAGCGCGCGCACACACTACGAGAAGTTCTACTGGTGGCATCTACTGCCAGGAGCAACTGTCAGCGACTGGTGGTGGCGCGCTCTTTGTGGATAGCTGCCGCGACGGCAGGCAACAAGCTCGGACGAGATCCCCCCGCTGAATGCCAACCCAGTTGCGGATGGATGCCTGCTGACGTCATGTACACATTTGGTCAACATTTCCACCTGCTGTGTGTGCAGGGGCAAGGGCTGTGTCAGCAGCCTCCATAGCTGTGGGGGCTGGGGCCTGTTGCGGCACCTTAACATCAAGAGAGATGCGTAAAGTTGTTTGACATGCTGTGGAAATGATCAAAGACTTCATGTAACGTGGCGAAGGGTTGCACTTGGTTAGCACGTGTCATCGCAGTTGAAGAGGTGGACCTGGGTGGACTTGCAAAGCTAGGCTAGTCCGGGGTTGGGCGATCAGGCAGACGGGCATCCGGGGCCTTATCCTTAGCAGCCTCGCGTGCCCAGCAGCTCTCCGCATTCGGGTTCGGCACGTGCCTGACGTGGTGCGACGATGGCATGGCTGCATGCTGTATGGTTCTGGACGGAGCCTCACAAGGTGCTGCGTGAAGGCGCTCATGTATATTTAGCGTCGTCAGTATAATCAATTTTCAACAAGTTCTTAAGCGAATGATTCCTGGCGCCAGGCCATGTTAGCCTCCATAACCGAAACTTCGGGTCCGACGCCCGCCACGGCGGCTCAGCGAGCCGCGTCTGGAGAGAAGTCCTCACCGCTAACCTTTGGACTTCCCTTTCTTAAAAGTCCTATTCGTAAAATTAAATTATACCAATTATGCATGGCCATGTATCGCATTGCAGTGTTACGGATGTCGTACGTCATCGACAGTCTGGGGAAGTCATCCATCGGCGCAACTTGGGCTGAAAGACAAAATGAAGGGCATTTGGCTGTCTAGCCGATAAAGCATTGCATAAGCGTCCATTGACGTAGCTGGGTTATGCTCGCATAGAGTAGCTTACTGGGAGCACAACGACACCTTATGATTAGTCACAACCCCAAATGATGAACAGGATTAAATTCCACATATGATATGAACTAGTCGTTAAGAATGCCTTTTTTGAGATTTGTAAGCTAGCTGTCAAGTGCTGTTGACCGAGGCAACCAGAGGCCAAGCTGTGAGAATAAGCAGGAATGTATGGCAGGAGGAACCCAGTTCTCCGTCATTTCGGGGCTGATGATCTGGCGACCATGGGATCGTTGCAGGTAAGTGAACCCAGCTAGCCATGTGTAAGCTTGTCCTTACAGGTGCAAAGTGCATCGCTTATGCGACTGCATGGCGAGATTGTAGATTTGACTAGTAAACGTTTACCGTGCCGGTTGGCGAAAGCGCAGGCTATCGATCAGCGACGCAGTCAAGGAGAAGTCGTGAGACCCGCGGAGGCTACAGTCCGCAAACCCACTCCTGAGTTCGATGATTTCTTTGAATTTGACACGCCCGTCCCGTCGGGCTTGCCACCCAACGCGCGTGACTTATTGGTCGAGGATGCCAGCTCGCCGACACCTCGCCGTCGCGCTGGTGAGATGGCAAACTTGTTTGCTTTGTGTCTATCAATTCTGTGCCAACAGGCGAAGGAAACCTCTCCGTTCACGTGCGTCTCTAACCCCGCCAGTCAGGCATGTAGTTATCAGTAGTAAGACACCGTCGCGCCGTCCCCCGGCAAACCTCCCCCCCTTGCCAGCTGAAGAGTCCCCATACTCCTATGGCAATGCATCTCGAGGAGCGTACAGCCCGCCTCCCGGCCCGTCTTCGCCTCCTCCACCACTGGACTTCTACGACTCCTCGCCTAGCGTGGCCTATCAGGCGACAGGTGAGCAGACGAACACCCTGGCACGATCGAAGTCCTGCCTTGGACTCCCAACTCCCTTGCAGACCTCCAACCTTGACACATAATGGCATCATGACGTGAACCTGAGCCCAGCCCCCGATTTAAGCCGGATCCACGCGGTGGTGTCCTGTACTGTAGGTGCGGATAGCGGCGGCTACGGTGACGGCGGCAGCGGCAGCGGCGGTTCCTCGCCTGAACCGTACACGCCGGACGCGGAAAGCGCCCAGCACTACTCCTACGATGGATATGGGTACCGCCGCGACCGCAGCGGCGGCAGCGGCGGTGGCGGCAGCAGCGGCGGTCCTGACACCGGGATTTCTCCACTGAGGTAAGTGGCGGTGGGGGGGAGATGAACAGGGCCACAAGGCATGCGGCAATGATGCTGGAACCGGTATATGAGGAGGGAGAAGGGAGGAAGAAAAAATGGATCTGGGTCTGGATCTGGATCTGGATTGGCGCCTGTGACGACTCTGGAGTTGGCTACGGCTAAGATTCACGCCGTGCTCCAGGTTGGGCTAGGGACGTCAGCTTACGTCAGACGCGCTTACATCAAACACACGTAACGGGCAGTATGCCCAGATGTGCGCCACATGCTTGGCGAATACGGTAAGGACAAACACCACCCCGTCGCCACTGGCCAAACTTCCCTGGTGCGCCGCCGCCAAACGACTCCGAAAGGAGGAAAGGAGAAGGGAAGGAGGGAGGATGGGAATGGAGGTATGACCGGGCGGATTTTCCGACATTTAAGTGCGCACTGGAGCTGCAGCGGGGCCTCCTGGCTCGCGACAGGCGCTCAGACACATAGCCCCCGAGGGCTTTTGGTTCCGATTTGAATTGATAACCTGTCCCGATCTCTGTCCCGATCCGGGATCTGGGTTCTATTTTCTTCGTACTATTTCGTACTCCTGCTCCAGGGAGCCCTTCTCAACTTCCACAGTTTGTGGGGATTAGCTTAGCACCACACAAACTCCCTTCATTTCTGATGTGAAATTGTCCTTGACGTTCAGGAAGTGTCCTCAATCCCCTCGCTTTCACGCTTTCCGCCTCAACCTCATGGCCCGTTGCTGTAGGTCCTCGGTCAGTTATGGTACGACACCCTCGCGTCGGTCGTACGACAGGAGCCCTACCATACAGCAGCCGCCCTTCCGTTCGGGTGTGCCTGTCAGCGGCCCCATCAGACGACCCGGGCTGACGGCCGTGACGGGTGAGCCGGGGTGTGTGGTGGGGTGGGATGGGGGGTTGGCCGCCGGTCACACGGTGGAGGGTGGGGGGGGTAGGGTGGGGAGCAGAGGCGGCAGGGTTCCGGCTGGGGGGGAGCAAAGGAGGGGCTGGGCAGGCTGTGGGAGGGTAAGCAACAGACATTGTTCCACGGGACGAGGTCCATTCCGAGCGCGGGCGGCCGTTAAGGAATGAAACCCGGATGAAGGTCTTTCTGTGCGGCGTGAGAAGCCGAGGCTGGGGGGAAGCGTGGGATGGGGAAGGTGCGGGGCGCCTTGGCTTTCCCTCCCATAGCCGTACCTTTCCCCCGAGTCCCCCTTGTTTCCATACTGCGCGAAAGCTGCGCCACTAGGGTCTTTATTCTCCGTGCCCCGCACCCATCGCTGCGTGTGGCGATTTCGGCTGCAGGCGACCGGCGCCGCCGCACGTCCTCCTCCCCCGATGGTGCGTCCCGCAGCCGCAGCGCCAGCCCCAGCGCCCCCAGCCCCAACAGCCCCAGCCAGCAGCCCTCCAACGACCCAGCCACCTCAGAGCAGCAGCCGTCGGCGTCCGAGGTCACATCTCCCGTCGGCGGCGGCGGCGGTGGACGCGGCTCCGCTGGCTCAACCTCCACGACGCCGCGGCGCGGCCTCGGTGCCAAAATCTCCGGCCGGCCCTCGGGTGCCAGTGGCAGTGGCAGTGGCAGTGGCGGCACCCCAAGGGTCGGCGCGACGCCGCGGAGGCCGCTCGGGGCTCCATCTCCCCGGGGTGCCCCGCCGGCAGTGCCGAGTGCCCGTAAGGACGCGGGCGGGGGCGGCGGGACAGGTCGTGGCAGTGCAACGGGCAACCGTCCCGCGGTCCCCCGGCTGCCGGCCTGGGCACCAGTGTCTGGAATCGCCAACATGCGGTAAGATGCATAAGCTGGAGAGGAACGTATCGTAACCGGACCACCACCACCACCACCACCCATCCCATTACTGCTTTTCTTCCGCGCTTATTTTAGTCTTGGCGCGCTAGGTAGGTAGTTGTCCGACATCATCTTCACTACGTCATCCCGAGGTCGCCGCCTTCAAGAACGCCTTTTGGTCAGTTCTACGTCTGGTACACTCTTGCCCTGGCAACAGCTTCACTCGTCCGTGGTTCGTCTTCCCCCCCGTCCCCATCACCCTCGTAGATACAAGGCAGGGAACGGGGACGATGGGATTTGGGTTCTCTTCCGGATCTGAAGCAGCTTCCTTTCCCATCACACCCCGCGGTCGCGGGACGTCGGCAGTTGGGCTTTCTCTCGATGTTGCACACACACACACACACACACACACACACACACACACACACACACACACACACACACACACACACACACACACACACACACACACACACTTCCCGCGGGAACCTTTCCCCGCCCCAGTTAGTTGGTGCGTTAGTTGGACACTGGCGGTTTATATTCCACAATTCACATGAATACTTTGGAGTTAATCGACCCTCCGCCCCTGCGACCCTCCTCTTCCTCCCCGTCCTCCTCCTCCTCCTCCTCATCATCATCATCATCCGGGATGGTCGTACCGAAGGCTGGAGGATGTGGATGAGGCGACACGTGTGGCACTGATGCTAAATGACCCAGGCATTGATCGCGAGGGGGTGCCGGTGCGGAGCCCAGGCGCAACCCACCGCGAAGAGGGAGCCGCGGCGGCCGCAGCCGCAGCGGAGCAAGCTCGGTCGCCGCAGCAGCTACCGCAGCTGCAGCTACAACCGCAGCAGCGTCACCAGGCTTCCCGGTCGCCTGGGCCCGGGGAATCGCCGCAGCCCTCTCCCGGAGCTCAACATAGCGTGCGGTCGCAGTCGCCAAACCTGGGTAACCGAGCTCGTGCATCGGATGTTTCGGAGCAATTCTATGGACAGTGAGTGCGGTGAATTGTGGAGGTCGGTGATGGTCATGGTGGTGGTCATGGTCATGGTCATGGTCATGGTCATGGTGGTGATGTGTGTTCTGTGGGGCTGGGGAGGGTGGAACCCCGACTGAAGGGCCTCTCGGTAAAGTCACACCCGGCAGTGTAGGAAGTGCCTCGTTCTGTTCGCCGAGGGCTGGACAGGCGGGGGAAGATGGAGGGCTGGGCTGTGGACAGAAACTGGAGGAGGGTAACGTGGGGTGTAGGAAGGTGCTGTGGGGCACCAGGTCCCACACAATCTCTATGCATATTCCTGTTTATAGTCAAATTCAGCTGACGACATGCGCGCACGTAAAGCTCATCGCTACTACAGTATATCTTGATCCTGTTTGCTTGCTTGGTCCTTTCCTCCTGAAAAAAGCCTCTTGCGCCTCACACCGACACACCGACACCCCTCCCAGCTCCGCCGCATTCGAGTGCCACGGCTTTTTTGCCGTGGCGGCTATCTCCGCCGCTGCGAGGGCTTCCACTGTCTGTCCTACCCTCTGTCTTCTGTTTCACCAAGGCCCGTCCCCCAGGGGGATGAGCGTTCGTTTCTCGGGTTTTCGGTGGGGCCTTGTCGCTATCGGGTTCTTACGGCACTCCCTTGGAAACCCCTCTCCTCGACCCCGCTGAACCCCGCGCCAGGTACCGCCTCCGGAAGCACCGAGAGGCCCATGGCGTACCCGACTACCGTTTCTCGCAGCCGCGCTCCTTCGGCGCACATGCTCCTCTGCAGCAGCGGTGCTTTAGCTTTGACGAGGCGCACCCGGCGATTGCGGAGCAGCACTATGCTCGATCTCCCGCGCAGGAGAGGGAGCTGGAGGTGCGGTGTGTATCTGTGTATCTGAGTATGTGTGCGCGTGCGCTGCGTATGCTATGCGTGTGGGGGCGTGCTGTGCATAAACGTGCGTGCATGATGTGTGATGTGCGTGTCATATATGCGTGATGTCTTGCGTATGTGTGCTGCGCTGTGTGTTGGACGGGCAGCACAGGCCGAACAAGCCAGAGGGGGATGGGGATTGCCGCAAGAGGGAGGGGGCAGCGGGTTGGGTTTGAGGGGGGGGGAGATTGCAGATGTAGCACCGGAAAGCAGCAGTTTAGTCCAGGGAAAGCCCAACCCACGTGACGTGTGCGCACGTGTGTGTTTTTCCTTCCCCAAGCTCCCAAGCAATATGCCTATGTAGTCTGAAGAGGCTAGCGGGCCCAGAGCTGGGTAAAACCGAATGGGGTTGTGTGTGCACCTCCGCTAGGCCGACTGTCGAGTTCCCTCCAGGGCTGAAGAGACCAATTCTGAGACGAGCCTGTTAAAATACCCGGCCGCCTGCCGCTAGCGCGGCTTCCCCCATCCCAACGTCATTCCCATCCCCATTCCACCCGTGCCAATCGGTTCTTGCATATGATTCCCACCCAGCCCCTTTGTCGGCCGGAAGCTATCTCTTTTTGACTTGTTCATAGGATTCACCCCCGTGTCTGGTCCGTCGCGTCTCGCGGGGTCTCGCGGGGTCCGCAGGCCGAGCGACGCAAGCTGTGGCAGGAGAAGGCGAGGTATGCGCCCTGGGTTGTGGCGAGGTCCATATGGGATGGGTGAATGGGGAGGTTGGGGAAAAGGAAAGAAAGTGGGAAACGCAGTGGGAAGGAAAGGGGGCTGCCGGAGGGGGCCAGGGACGCGTTCCGCTGCTCTCTAGTTCTCGCTGTCTCAGCTCCTCTCCCGTGTGCCCACAGTGCCATTGCTCCTCGTCACCGTCCTGCACCTCGCCACGGCTCCCTCACGTCACCTCCTGGCCACCCTCCGTCCCTTCCCCGTAACTTCCTCTCCTCCTCTGCAACTTGCATAATATAACTCGCCCTTCCCGTCCCACTTCCCGCGCACACCTCTGTCTAGCAATGCCCCTTCTAGCAATGCCCCTTCTAGCAATGCCCCTTTTATCATGTACACATTAGAAAACCCTCCCAACGTCTGAGCTCGCTTTCCCTTTTGGTGTTCCTAATCCCACACCTTCAGGGCCGCGATAGCGGAGGCTCGCCGGCAGTACTACGCCTCCCCACGCGGCAGTCCCAGTACGCAGCAGCTTGCGGCGGATGTGGACAGACTGGCGTCAGCGCGTGAGGCGGGTCGCGCGAGGCTGCGGGAGCTGGAGGAGGAGGGGGAGACACTGCGGCAGGCCACGCGGCAGGTGGGCGGATGGCGTGGCGGCTGGGTGGTTTGGTGTGGGGTGGTGGGTTAGTGGCAGACTGCTGCCGCAGTGTTGGCGGGAGGAAGAGTAGGTAGCTAGGGTTGGGTGCTTGGGTTGCGCCTTGTGCGACTCTGCCATGGCGTTCATTATTGCGTCTTGAAGCTTCAAGACGTGCGCTTCAAGGTTTCCAGTCTGCGGCCTTTCATTCCTGAGCCTACCTTCCCGCCCCACGTCCACGATCCACCTGTTTTCGCAGGTCCAGCGACGTGCACTGGATGCAATCGCCCGCAGCGAGCAGATGACAGCAGCAGTTGCCACCGGCTCCCGGTCCCCCTCCCCAGGCGCCTCCCCTGGACCCACCCGCTCCGGATCCCGCTCGCCTTCTCGCGTCGGCTACTACAGCACCAGCGCTTCAGCATACAGCAGAGGGGCCTTCGGACCGCCGCCGCCACACCCCAGCCTCTACAGCCACTCGCCGGGGCGTCTCCAACGACCCGCCAGCGCCAGCCCTGGCGGCGTGTACGACTCGGCGGGGCCGTCGCGCGGCGACGGCGGGGGGGGACTTTACAGCGCCCGCGCCTATTACGGCTCCCCGGCGGCGGCGGTGTTGGCGTCACTGCCGGAACAGCAGGAGTATGTGGGAGCCATGTATCGCCGGAGTGGACAGGGACAGCAGCAGCAGCAGCAGTCTCAGTCGCGGCCGCTATCGGCGCCACCGACATCGCAGGGTGGTTTCGGAGCCGCCGCGCCGGCGACGACTACGGCGACGGAAGAGGAAGCGGAGGAGGTCCTGCAGCTCCTTCAGGGAGTAGAGCGGTGGGTTGGGTGTGCTGGCCTGTGGCCGCCGTACCCATGAAACGCCCATAACCTCTCTTTATGGGTAGGCCTGCCGCCAGCCTTTCCATCTGTACCTGCCTGGGTTCTTGTTTCTGGGGCTGTCCGGTGCTCCTATCACCCATCCCACAAGGCCACCTCGTCCTCATAGCCCCTCACGCTTTCTCCGCAGGCTTCCGCGGCATGAGCAGCAACCGGCAGCCGCCGCTGGCCCCGCCGTTGACTACCTGGGCCGCGCCAGGTCCGTCGCCACCTCCCGTCAGGATCTGGGCCTGCTGGGCTCCGACGAGCAGCGCATCGCGATGGGCGCGTACGACAGGTCCCGGTACGAGGAGTACCAGCGGCAGGTGCGTGTGGAAGAAGCGGAGATGCGGCTTCTGCGGTGGACGCCCCGCGCCTGTGCCGGCAGAGCGTGCAGGGATGGGGAGGAGGGCGCAGGAAGGAGGAAGGGTCAGGGAAGAATTGAGGCCTCAGGGGAGTTCAGAGTGGGTAAGATGCAAGGAAGAAGAAGAAATGGGTCATAGAGAACAAAAAGAGGAAAAGACGGAGGATAAAGCTGTTATCTGCGTTGTTCCCTTACCAATCGTTCGCAAAAGAGACGAGATGGAGAGTGACTACCCGTTACACAAGTTGGCGGTACCTGCAAGCAGAGGGGTACTACCTGCAAGCAGAGGGAGTGAGTACTGCTTCCCTGGAGCAGTAGGAGGAAGGGGGGCCCCCCGAGCCTTGATTCACCGAAGCGTGGGCTGTCGTATGCCAGGACGCACGAGGTTGGCACTAGCTCGCCCCGAGCTAAAACGCCACCGCTGCGCACTCACTCACTCACGCCAAATACTTAGAAGTCACCTTGGTATAATCTTTAATACACTTCAGTTTTCCCCTTCTGATATGCTGCTGCCAGGACAAGACGACACACGACCTACCCGCGTCCCCCTGGGGGGCCCCCCTGGTCCAAACACACCTTGTACACGAAATTCACACAGTTCCTGTGCTCCCTCCCTCCCTCTCTCTCTCCATTCGCCAGTGGTTCGTCTTACCTCCCCTGCCCCCTCCCCCTCTCTCTGTTCCGCTCTGTTGCGACCCGGTGCCTCCCAGGTGGATATGGAGATGCAGCGGCGGGCCGTGGACGGCGACTACGACTCTGACCTGGAGCGGGACGAGGCGACTGAGATGCTGGTGCAGGACTCTGAGAAGGTGGGGCGGACAAAGGAGGGGGGGTAAGTAACGGACTGGAAAAGGGACGCAGGGAGGGGGTTGGGTCAGGTGCGGGAGAAAGGAGTGGCCGCCCCGGGTCCTGCGGGCAGCACCCTCCCAACCCCCCGGGTGCTTCCCTCCATCCTGCCCTCCTGCATTCCTGTACCCACATCCTCCATGGACGTGCGCTCCTCCGGCCTTGGCTTCTTTGCCCACAGATTGCCGCAGAGGAGGAGGCACGGCGCCGGGCGGAAGAGGTGGGGAAGGGAGAGGGAACCTTCAAATGAGGGAAGAGGGAACCTTCAAACGCAAATCGCAAAAAAATCAAAAAAATAAATTGCCAAAAAAATCAAATGCCACGAGGGATGGAAAGGAGGGGAAAGCGGCGATGGGAGGGAGGGAAAGGGTCTAGCCTTATGACGTGGTCCCTCGAGTCCCTTTCCTGTAGGGATGATACTGCCAATCAGAGGTTGCGTGTGATGGCCAACACGGCTGATTTTGATGCCTTTCGGAGGTGCCGGAAGCGCTCCGTACCCCACCTCAACTGCGACCCCCGTTCTGCAGGCCGAGCGGGAGCAGCGGGACGCCTGGATGGATGAGTATCGCCAGCGGTTTGGTCCTGAGGTGGGTTGAGGGGTAGTTGCGTTGGGGGAGGGTGCATGAGCTGGCTGGGCGGGGGGTTAGGTGGGTACGTGAGTACTATGTGTGGATAGAGACGGGATGGGACGGGTGGGGAAGAAGCCAGTTATGCCAGATTACCAAACCAGAAGGTCGACCAAACAGAGGTGCATGTGGGTGTAGAGGAGCGGGTGGCGGTATGATGGTGGGGTAAGGTGCAGCAAAGTAGGCTGGCTGGTAGGGAGGCTGGGTGGCCGAGATTGTGTAAGTTGCTGGAGCAGGGCTCTGAGATGCGAAGCAGCAGCTGCTGTGTTGTGCGTCCTCCACGTCCATGAGCACGCCGCCTAACATACAGAGCCCCCGAACCCCCGCTCGGTGACGTGTCTTCTGTGGCATATGCCTGCAGGAAGATATGCGCCCGAACTCACTTGTATTTGTTGTGTGGATTATATGTATATGTAGACACCATGTTCATGTTTGATGTGTTTTCTGCGTCCTCTACTACCCCACCGCTCTTGCGTATGGGAATATGTTTTTTTTTTTTTGTGTGTGTGTGTGTGTGTGTGTTGATACGGTTGCAGGACGGCTACCTGCCGCAGCGGCGGGTGCAGTCCGCGAGCAGTGCCGGCGGCAGCACCGCCGCAGGTGCGGCGGTGGCGCCGTCGTCCCCGCTGTCCGCACTTGCTGCCCAGCGGTCCGTGTTGTCCGATGCGGAGGAGGGGCTGCTGAGGGAGCACTTCGTGCCAGTGGTGTCACCGGAGATGCCGCTGTGAGGGGAGGGCTTTGGGGAAGAGGGCTGGAGCCTGGAGGGGAGGGCAGGGGGAGGGGGAGGGGGAGAGGGGTTAGGCAGGTAAATGCTGCGAAACAAGATTCCTCGAGAGGATATGAGGGGGAAGGGCGGGGTAAAGGAAAGGACGAACGCAGATAACTGACATGTTCCAAACGCAAGCGGCCAAAGTTGAGGGAGGGGGGAGGGGAAAGGAAGAGGGAGGAGGGGGAAAAGTGGCCGCCTCCACCACACCGTCCCGACCACCAGCCCCCGCCCAGCCCTGTGTGACACGTCCATCCCTCCTACCGAGTAAAAATGCTCTTCAAACGGCCCTCCCTCGCCTCCTTGGACCTGCAATCCAACTAGAAAGCCCTGAAACCCCGAAACCCTTACCCACAACGTTAGTTAACATCAGCCCCTCATGCGCGTCCGCTCGTGAATCAGGTCCCCCGGGGGTGGCGGCTACGCTTCTGAGGGACCCGACGGCGACCACCCGCACCGCCGTACACGACGCCGCCTGTTTTTCAAGAGCACTATTCCGGAGCCCTTCCAGTTTGAGGAGCGAGAGAAGGCCAGACCCAAACCCATCAGCAAGGCAAGAGAGTGGGCTTGCACGGCCTGGTGGTGTGCTTGCGCTGGGGCTGTGTGTGTTTTACGTATGGAGCTGTGGCGAGCTGAGGAGACAGCGGCCCTAGTGCTGTAGTGCCGTAGTGCTCGTGTGTGTCCTGTGCGTTAGAAGGGAACGCCGCGTACTCTAAACCTGCGCGCGTGTATGTATGTATGTATGTATGTATGTATGTATGTATGTATGTATGTATGGTTCTTTGGGAAGGTGGGAACATGGTTGATGAACATCTTCATGTTGTGTGTGTGTGGATGCGTGTATATGTATGTATATGTATGTGTATGTGTGTGTGTGTGTGTTCGTTGGTCCCCCAACGCAACGTGCAGTCCATGCCCCGACAAAGAGGCGATGTAGCAATCTCTTTCCGGAGATTACTCCCGTCCCCGGTACCCCCCTGCGGCCGCCCGCTGCCTACCTCCCCTCTGCCACCCAGGTCAAGCTGGAGCAGGATCTGGCCCTCCGCCGCGCAGAGGAGGAGGAGGCGCACAAGCGCCGCTTCCGAGCCAAGCCCGTACCGTCCGCAGTCATCGAGCCGCGTTACGAGCGCATGCTGCTGGAGGCGGAGGTGAGAGGAGGACGGGGAGGAAGGGTTGGGGATGAGGTGTAAAAGAGGCCCAGATGCGGTGGTGATGGTGGAGGGAGAAGGAAAGGAAAGCGCGTCACATGCGTACGGGCCTTACGTGAGTACGAGCGCCAGAATGCGGCAGCAGGGCTCCGAGATGGAGAAGGCGGGACGCAACCGCAGGTCTCGTGAAATGCATCCTCGTACACGGCCCTGTATGGCCCAACGTTGTTAATGCTGTTACAAATGCCCAGCTACGCTGCGCTACACGAAGTTGTCTCTGCTGCGCTATTTTGTGTCGTACTGTGGCTGTACTGCAGGCCAAACGGCAGCTCAACCAGGAGCAGCGACTGGATGAATTGGCCAGGTGCGGCACGGGGCAAGGCTACCTCTAGTGCCGCTACAGCTGCTACTGCTGCTGTCCGTGTTGTTATGCTGCATGGGAGGATGGGGTGGAAATTTATTGCCCATCCTCTCCACCGCACGGTGTGGGTTGCAACAGCCCGCGCGTATGCCGAGGGGGATCATGTAACCATGCAACCATGCAAAAAACGCGGAATGAGGCTGTCGTAGGTGGACCGCCGAAAAGGCCTCTCGGGATGCTGGCAGAGCGCTTTAGCGCGTACGTATTTACGATGTGTGCGCCGTACTATACAGCACCTCTTCTTACAGAGGGCTATGAAAAAAATGAGGACGCTTGATGAGGCGATGAGCCATGCCCGGATGGCTCATGAGTCATGAGGGGTGATGCTTGACCAGGATGGCCATGATCCCACGCCAGGCGGGCCCTGCGCAACAACCCGACCGTAATTCCAATCCCGTCCCACCCGCCCTGACCGCATCATCAGCATGCTTGAGCGGCCGTTCTCCTTTTACTACCGGGACAAGCAGCAGCTGGAGGAGCGCGAGGCACTAGCACGGGCGGCCAAAGACCCGAACCGCTTCCAGGTGTCTTTCCGAGCGAGAGATGTGCCGCAGAGCACCAAGGAGGTGAGCTACAGCAGCAGCTGGTGATGGTGGTGCTGCTGTAGCTGCTGATGCTGTAGCTGCTGATGCTGCTGCTGCTGCTGCTGCTGATGATGATGATGATGCTGTAGGGCACGTGTCTGGTGTTGCTGCAAGCAGCTGCTGTAGCAGCTGCAACGTGGGGAAACCTGGACCCCGGGAGCCCCGGGGGGGAAGACCGGCATACCCGGGTGCACACAGCACATGCACACGCGCGCACGCGCCCTCACGACATACATACATATACGTCCGCACCTTTACAGGTGGCGTAGCTCAAGGTGTTAGACATAGGCGCACACAATTTTACGCGCACACATGCATACATGCATCTGGACGCGCACGTGTGCCCGCCTGCACGCATCCGCTCCGGAACCGCTTCCGGAAATGCAGTGGAACTGGCGACAAGGGGTAGGAAAGGGGATTAGGGCTCACCCACACGCAACCAAACGACAGCCGGCATCTTTCCATTCCGCTCGGGGACGATGTCTCGGTTTTCCAGAAGCATAAAATAGATATACACATGTACACATACCACATGCAGTGAAGTTGCGCAAGTGACAACTTCAACACTTTACACCTTGCGGCTCAGTCCATTTAAACACACACAGACGTGCGCATGCACAGACGGTGGATTGCGCACCTACAATGCGCACCTACAATCCGCACCTACATTCGCCCACATTCGCATGCATATGCATACTTGGATGGATACACATATACACGGGCATTCTGCGCGCACACACGGGGGCCCCGCAGGAACGCTTCCGCACGATGATGTTGGAGCTTGAGGCGAGGAGGGAGTCCACCAAGAAGCGGGTGGAGGAGGCGAGGCAGGCGGCCCGGGAGCGGGCGGCCTGGGAGGCTCAGCAGAGGTGCGTTGGCTTGTCCGCCTAGGAGCTCGTATGAAGTAGGTGTTGCAGCTTTGTAACACAAGCAGATAAACTCATACACTCATACAGACAAATGCAAAGACACAGATTGTAAGCACATGCGCCGACATACTGGCCTACCACAACACAGATCCGGTCAGGTTCCATGAGACCGTGAGAAGCCGCTCCGTTGGGGGCTGGGTCCGCTCAGACTTCAGCATCACTTTGCGGCCTTTTAAAGACATAGGGCCCTCAGGCCTCCGCCTGAAGCCCCACAATATCGGTGTCCTTGCCGGGGGGTTGTGACACTTCCTCAAATCCGCATATCGTCCTGCGCACTCGGCCTCCTATCATGTTCCTCTGTCCCCATCACCCGCCAGCCGTGAACCGCGCGTCTTCACCGGTTATAGTTGTCCCGAGAAACCACCGTCTCAGATCACTGCCTGGTTTCATCTTTGCTGTTTTCGCTTCGCCTATAGGCGCAAGGCCGCCGACCGCGCCTACCGCGAGCGGCTGCGCGCCGTGGACCCCGCACTGAACCCCCATCCGCCCAAGCCGCTTGGCGCCGTGCCCGACTTCAATTCACTACACCGGCAGTTCGAGGTGCACATGGCGCAAACGCGAGCGAACGTTCGCAAGCGCGTCACCGTGCCACAGGTACCGTACCTGCGCCATGAATAGAGCAGTAGTACTAGCAGTCGCAGTAGGGGAAGGAGTACTGTTTGTGTTTTAAAAGGAAACATCCTTACGTCGAAATGCACAGCTGCGTAACCTGCAGTTCGTGTGTTGAGAGCGGCCGTAGCTGTGCACACGCAACTCATCGTCTGTCGGTTGTATATATAACTTGAACGCGACACACCGTTCCTGCTTGCTGATCTTTCGGGTCACTTTTTCCTGCTGCCGCCGCCAACATTTAACATGACAGTCATCAAAACACCTGCAATTACCCCGCCGGCGCCTTCATTGCCGTACCGTAACCGTAGGAATTTGCATTGAATGGGTCCACGCCTGATGAGCAGTCCGCCCGGGTGAGTGTCAGAGCAGTGTGAACTGGGTGGTGGTAAGTAGAGGAAGAGGGTGAACAGTTTGAGGACGGAGATGGGGTCGAAGGGGTCCCAAACACTGGGAAGTTGAGTCTGTGGTAGGAGGAGATTTGAACAGACATTCAGCGTAACATTAGGCGAGAGGATGACGTCCTGTCACCCGGAATCGGTACGGAAGTTTTGTGAAAGCGGGGAAAGCATTCGGAGCATCCGTACTTATGTGACTCGCTTGGTCTGAACCTCGAGTCAATTTGCCAAAGCCAACCGGACCGCCGGCCGACCCGATGGCATGTGTGCAAAAAAATTGTGTAAGCAGGAAATGTCTTACGGGGAGGGGAAGAAACCCAGGGAGGTTTGGATCGCATTGTGCACCACCTGGGCCCATTAACTGCGGTCTCCATCGCCGTTGGGTGTGCGTGCACCTTGCCCGTATGGGCACTCGTTACACCTCTCTATCTGGGTATCGCAACCTGGAGGTGTAACACACATATACACACACACACGCATCGTGCCTCCGGTACGGAGGGTATTACGGTGTCCTTCACCCCCGCGCACCCTTTTTGCTACTGTTCTGTCATAGGCCCGGAAGGCGCAGGAGCGGCGACAACGCATCATCCTGGACATGCAGGTACGTTGGTGTTGCGGTGAACTAAGCACGTGGGGTGGGGGAGCGCTATGCCGGCCCTGCGAGCCGGAGGATGGGCAACAAGGACAACAACCGGGAAAGGCAGTGAGACGAGGCGCAGTCGGGCGGCATCTTGGTAGATGACCCGCGGTCAAAGTTTTGCGGAGAGTCCGTGGTGGAATGGTGACCTCCTGTGGGGTTGTTGTGCATTGGTTTGCAAACCTGGTTTGTTTGTTTGTTTGTCTGCCTTCCTCGTTAACGCCTTGCTGCTGCTGCTGCGGCGGCGGCGGCGGCGGCAAGGGTGGCTGCAGCTGCAGCTGCTAGTGTGCCAGATTACGCGCTGCAGGATTGTGCTCCATGAACTCGTCCTTGACCCGCCGGTTGGCATCTAACCTGTCCTGCACTGGCCGTCTGTTCTGCTGCCACTCGCTGTACCGCCTATGGGCGTCTGCACCTCTCCGTTCGCCCCGCCCTCCCCAGCTGGATGCGGAGCTCCTTCCCGAGACTCGGTGGCCCTTCAAGTCCGCACGTGGCAAGGTGGACGGGGACGGGAACGGGCGTGGCAGCCGGAAGAACCAATTTTCCTTGCGTGTGGAACACACACAAGACACACACGCCCAAGCATACACACACCAGCACAACGGTGTGACGGGCGCCTTGGCACTGCAGCTGCTGCAGCTGTGCTGACTAAAAAGGAACACGGTATTGCGGTACTTACTTACTGCCTAAAAACGTATATCGGCTACCGCGCCTGCACTGGTTTCTAGCTGCGCCCCGATGCTAGGAGCCCCTTCTCCCTTGACCTCATGATCCAGGCCTCATTTCTTGTGCCCGATCCTGCTTGCAAACACGTTATCTTCTCGTTGTCCGCTGTAAAGCTCCAGGGGCATTGTGTCCTACGAGCCTCCGATCGAGCGCCCGTGGTGTGGTGTATTCAGGTCCGGTATCTTTCTAGACGTGTCGTCTATGATGACATGTGTCTCCCCTTTTCCCTCCCTTCTTTCCTTTCCCCAGGTGCGCCGGACGCCGCCGCCGCCCTATCTGGTAGAGTGGATGATTAACAAGCCCCCGGACAACCGAGCTGCCAGCGCTCGCAAGACCTCCACATCCGCGGCCGCGGCAGGCGGCGCATACCGGACCCGCGCAGAAATGTATGGCGTGGCTGCGGGGTGCGGTCGGATGGGGCGCAGTGGGGTGGGATGGAATGGGGTACAGATTTGTATCTCTTCACCGCTCTTCACCTTTTGTTTCGTCCTGCACGTTGCTTTCCAGTCGTTTCCGTCCCTTTTCGTAAATATCCCGTTCACGGCCATGTTACTGATTTTCCCTCGTTTCCTCATGTGTTGCGGTCCCAGAGAGGTAGCGGAGCGTAAGGTTTCTGAGAAGCTGCGCAGCGAGGCGCTGAAACGGGCGGATCGGCTGCTCAAGGCCGCGCAGGCGCGCAGGCAGCAGGAGGCGGCGGCTGCAGGCGGCGGCGATGGCGGCGAGGAGTTTGGTTTGGCAAGCGACGTGGCTGCGACGGCAGCGGGTGGCGTGGAGCCCAGCGATGCTGCGGGGTCGGCTGGCCGGGGAGGTGCGCAGCGACGACGCGCGGCGGTGGCTGGGCGACAAGACAACCCTGAGGTGTACGTGGAGGCACGGCATGCGCAGGTAGGCTTGTCCTTGGGAATTTGCGGTTCCCAAACTGTACCCTTGATTGTAACCCTGCTTGTCCGCGCGTCCGTTCACGTAGAGGGTTAGGTTCCTACCGTATTTGTCCCAAACTCACGCCGCATGTGGCATCACTAATCTGATCGTGTCGTCAGATCTGGCCTTCCTTGAAGGGAACCATCCTCGTCTTCTGAGAACGACGTGCGATCTGGATAACCGGAACACCGATACAGTACCGACGCGTAACGCTGCTGCTTATTATTGTGCTGCTTTTAAATGCCCGCTGATGCTGTTGCTCATACTGCTGATGGTGCCGTTGCTGGACGCAATTCCATTGCGTTTTGCATCGGGCTTGCACGTTCCGTAAGTTGGGTTGTGCATCGGATGCGTAGGTGGAGCGGCGCGTGCGAGAGGTGGTGGAGGAGGCGTTGCTGGACCAAGGCATCGAGGCGTACCGCTACGTGGAGGGTATTCCCGGCGACAAGAAGCACAAGGGCGCCAGAGGCGGCTAAGGGGTGGCCTACGCGTGTATAGAGGTTAATGTCGTGAGGAAACAGCCCTGCACGCCGCGCCGTCTCCCCTTGGCCGGTTTACATTTTGCAGTTCACCTCGGGTCTGGGGGTGCATGTGTGCGTTCGTTTCCTCGGGAAGCCGGTTCCTGAGAAGGGACGCCCCTTGTGGGCCCTATGCAGGAAGCGGGCGAGCGGAGCTGGCACGTATCCGCCCATTATACAATTATCAATGGCCCCCAGATGCCAAAGGCTTTGGATTAGAGGATGTAGAGGCGCCTCAACATGGGCGCCTTGTATTTTCAATACTTAAATATAAAGTGATGGTTGCCTCCGGTAACTTGGTTACCAGCACGTGAAGATCTCCACATCACATGTTTATAGTTTGTACAGCGTTTTCCGCTGCTTTTTCATATCAGGCAGGGCCCAGCAATCTTGTTTCCTCTATAGCTGCACTTTGTCCTACATGCAACTTTGGTGGCGTACAGGCAAATATTATAGCGATGTCAAGATATGTGGACGTCAACGGGGTCTCTGTGTGGGGGACTTAAGCGGCTGCTCCGGAAGATATGGTACCTCTCCCCGTCTGGGAGGGCATGTCCCGTGAGGTGATAGGCTTCTAACAGCTTTCTTAAGCAGTGGAACGCTGTGCGATTTTATGCGGAGTAGGATGCACAGTGCTCATTAGAAGCTCGGAAGATGCTGTAGTCCATGAACCTGCTCTACTTCGTTTCACAGGAAAGGAGAGCATTCAGCATGGCAGCTGACTGTCTGTAAGAATGATGATGCGTCATTTATACTAGAGTAATCAACCGTGCTCGCTATGATGCATAACGGAAGACTCTACGTGCTTTAGCAGAGCTAGAGAAATGTTCAGTATGATAATTTCACTTCATATCTGGTAAAGGCAAGTGCCTTTCAAATATTCGAGTTATGCGCCTTTGTGAGCCGTGCTCGCTGATCTCTTTAGTAAAAGGCGAAAGAGATATGAGACTCGTGAACGGCTCAGCGCTGTGAGTCTAAATCGTATTAAGCAAAGACCAATCCAAATACCTCGTCCTAGCAGTATCCCCCGTGGCGATGGTGGGTCAATGCTGTCAATGAGCCCGACCTACGCACTATTTTTCATGTCTTTGACTGGCGAAGTGCACGTTCCCACAATGTTCACCGTTAAATAAATTTTCATGCGGACTGGAGTCGGACAGCTCGCGACGCAGGCATTCGCAGGCACTTTGCAGGGCACGCATGCACAACGACAAGCAATGACTTGACCTCGTAATGCGGGATTCCCCTCCGACGCTGCGTCCTTGTTTGTGTCGCCCATTCCATGCCTGCACTGCTATGTACCGCTGCTCCCCACGCTGCTTGTGTGTTATGGATGCCACCCCATGCATGAACACGGTCTGGATAATTTCCCGTCAGCCTACCAGACCATCTTTATGCATGACGGGGAGGAAGGCGAGAGGCTGAGCATGCGAAGGACTGCTGGACTGCTGCCATTGCTACTTAGGGTTTGGCCCTGGCCCTGGCTACGCTTCTTGATGGCCGCATGCTGCGTCTTTTGCGTTTGTGAAGGACCAAACCGAAAGGAAACAAGCCAGCAGTTGGTGGTTTAAGGAACAGCGAGGGGCTCGGCAGCGCGACCGTTCCCCTGAAATGATGCATGGCAGCAGGCAAACAACTTGGAGACGAGGTAAAGAGGAGGAGAAAGAGAGAGGAGAGAGATACGGGGAAAAAAGCTCCACTCACCCCATCCTGTCAAACCGATTTCGTTTCTTACAAGCTTATCCTTCTTTCGCCATGCCAAGTTTACATACCGGCATTCACGCTGTGGCGCCGCCTCTGCGTTGCCCGTCCTTCCTTTCCACTCATCTGCCCATCGCACCCGTGCGTTGGTGGTCATCTTCCCCCACAGGCACAGGCACGTGTTTTCACGGGGCACAGAAGTACGAGACACCTCCCAGCAGGGTATCTGATATCAGGTGCTCCGTGTGGGCCGTGGACCTTGACAGGCCCACCGTAACAAAATTGCCTCGGAACAGCCCCCAATCTACATCCCTGGACACGGTCTCCGTCCCAAATTTAAACACAAATTTGTTCGACGCCACAGCACCGTAATGACGTGTGCAACGGTCGGTCGATCAGCCACAGCTCACCAGTCATTCAGCCTGCTGGTCATTTGCTCGTTTGATCTCCCGACTATGCTGCGAAGCCCATGCGGCATTCCCTAATCCGGGCCTGCGAAAACAATGTACAGCGTATTTTTGACCTCTGAACATCATCATGTGTTCACGTCGTGTCCTTAATTACCAGGAGCAGGAAGCTTTGCCCTGCAAGCCGCTGTGCAGTACGACATACAGTATGCAACGCAATCACCACAACCAAACAGGCAAGCTATCCTTATTGAGAAGTGCGCATGCGAAAGCTTGAGCCAACGTTTTCTCCCCAGCCTCTCAGTGCCCACTTACGAGGTTTCCGACTGGGAAAATGGCCCCTAATTAAGGTCTCATGCATGGCGCTACCATGCCCGTTGCGCATATGCAAGCAGGGGCCCATGCCACATACACGGCCATGCATGCATGCATGCATCCAAATTTGAACAAAATGACCCACAACATCCAGGCGGCCAGGACAGGACAGCACAAACGTGGCTGTATGCGAAGTACCCCTTCATGACTGCAAGACGTGTGAACCAACCAGCCAATGTACCAACGAAGCAATGAATCAACCAACATAACGAAGTAGAACGACTCCTGCGGTGTACGCTGCATTTCGGGCGTCCGCCCCAAGGTTCCCTTGCGCTGCCAATTGTGGCGCCAACATGATGCACACCGCAGCTCCGCACAATGACTGGGCAACTCTGCCGCCAAGTCAAAACCCGCGGACTCACCCACGCCCAGCTCGCAACCCTGGCCCTCCCCCACACGCTTAACAAGTAACACAGCACTGCAGCGCTGATAACCTGCGAATGGAGCAGTGATCCTCCGCTCTCCAGGGGCTCCCCGCAGTGCGGAATAATAAACCGCGGTACGTCCCGATCACTCAAGAAGTGAGCTCGACACCTCTGTGAACACCATAGCTGTCATCATCCAAAACCAGCCCAAGGAGATCCTCGCGACGCATCAAACAGCAAGAGATACGAAAGAAAGGCAGCAAGCACACCATCTGTTGGCGCAATCGTCACATGCGTGAGTGCATTGCCACGTATAACGAGGGAGGAAACGGCGTCCACATGCACCATCCATCCATATGTGACTCATCCATACATTCATGCGCGCACGCATCCGTACGTCCATCTTCCCACTTATAAGGAGGCGGATGTCCGCCGAGTTCAGCTGTCTCAAATGCTGCACTGTCAGACGGGGGCGGTGAAGCAGCGGTGACCAGCAGCCGCCAAGACTGAAATTGGCCGGTGTAGCCAGCACAGCGACCATAAGCGGAATAGGCTGGCGGGCATCACGACTGGTCAGGTCGGGTCGCGCACATGCGATATGCGCACGTATGCATGTCCTGTGTTAATCTTCTGTGACACCGAATGCACCAATCAATCGCAACCTTCACCTCGGCCTTCCCTTCACGAGCCAGTTTTGCGAAACCACGCAAGCACACGGGTGCATCCTTGTCATCCTGCACCTTCCACATGCACACACGCGTGCGCCAAGCAGGCCAGCTGTAACAGCACCATGCGTACCACTGCATCGACCGACACCCTAAACATACACGCGCAAACGTAAAGTAGTTCCAGCTGTCAATCCAAAATCATATTTCAGTCAAGCTGCACTGCGAATGCACGCTGTTTAAGTGTAATGTACAACCCCCTGGGTCCGCTATTGAGAGCGAACGCGGGAGAGAGAGAGAGAGAGATAGAAGAGGAGGAGCGAAAAGCCCATATCACCGAGAGAAGGAGAAACAATAGGAACATCCTGCCCATGCATCCAGCGGCGCTGCCGCTGTGTGCTGTAGGGATGGGGAAGACAACCAGACCGGCCCCATCCGCTGGAAATGAAGCACACACGAGAAAAAAGCCGAATTAAGGACGAAAGGGTCCTTCTCACGGCAACAGGCCCCAATCCAAGCCTCGAGACGGTGAGGTGACTGTGGGAAAGGGCGCTGCCGCACCGGGGCTGAGTTTGGACACGGACCGGCCAGAGGCTCCAGTCTGGTGAGAGATGACCGGCAAAAGCCGGCTGACCGCACCAACACCGCCAGCCACACTCAGGCTGGTCCGGCCTGGGCTCAACTCAAAGCCGCTGTGCCTTACAACCACCGACGTCACTGCCGGTGCCGCGGCGGTCGATGTTAAGGTCACGTTATACTGCCGATGTTGCCTACACATACAGGGCGTAGGGGCATATGAAGTATGGCATTTTGCGCCCTCTCCGGCCTGGCGAAAAGTGGTTTCATTCTGGCCGGATCGGATGGCCGGATCGGCTAGGCTATCGTACTGCAAGACACTGCACAGCACAAATTGGAACTCATCCCTGGGGGCTCTAGCTCGACCGTCCCTTGCACCCGTATTGAACATCCCTTCCCTACCTGGCTTCCGGTGATGCCGCAGTGCCGTCGGCGACGGTTACAACAACAGCCACAGTTGCTGTGGCCGCAACGCCAGTGCCGCTGAAGCATATCTCCCCCAACGCCCCCATCGAGGAGCGGGCGCTGCCGCTGCCACTGCCGCTGCCGCTGCCAGCACTCCCCACCGCAGCGGCGGCGGCGGTGCCACCCGTGAACGACCTGCGCTGTTCCTGCTTTACCAGGTGCCCCGCGTGCGTCAGCGGAGCTGCGTCTCCGCCGCCACCTCGCAGCTGGCGACATGGGCTTCCTGACGCGGTCCGCAGCCCCTTAAGCTGTTGCTTGAGAGACGGCAGCAGCGGCACCGGCGGTGGAGGCGGTGGCGGTGCAGGCGCTGGGCGGCTATTGCCGGGGATACCAAGCTGCAGCGTCCCTAATTCCGATTCAGTAATGGCAGCGTCCCCACGGCGCGCCGTGGCGGCCCCAGTATCGGAGGGGCGCTGGTGCGCAATCAGCAGCGACGGTGCGTCGGCAGAGAGTACCGGCGGCGGTGACGGCACGCGAACACCGCCAGACAAGCTTCCCTGCAGCGAAATCGTCGTAACGAGGGACTTCTGGTCACCGCCGCCTCCGCCAGCGCTACCGCCGCTGCTTGACAGGACGGGATGCCCGCGGTTGTTGATGGGCTGGCTACTGTTTCCGCTGCCGGCAGGCACGCCTCCGCCACGCGTTCCAGTGGATCCATTGTGGCCACGAGCATGATGTTGAGGCTGCTGTTGCTGCTTTCCTCTTGGGTGGTGATGCCCTAGCGCAAACGGCATGCCACTGCCGCAGGCATTGCCGTTGGTAGCAGCGAGCCGCAAGATACCGCCGTAAGGGAGCAGCGGCGGCTGTGGCTGCCGTACAGGTAGCTGCAAGGTCTGGCGCCCGCCAGGCGTGGAGGCACTTCCGCCGACGCCGCTGGCTTGCAGTTGCTGTTGTTGCTGCTGTTGCTGCTGTTGCTGTTGTTGCTGTTGTTGCTGTTGTTGCTGCTGTTGCTGTTGTTGCTGTTGTTGCTGCTGTTGCTGCTGTTGCTGCTGTTGCTGCTGCTGCAGTTCCAGCTCCAAATGCAGGACAGAAGGGACCCGCAGCAGACGCAACGTTGGCGGCGTCTCCGACCTGGGCAGTATCCGCGGCTCCAAAGACTCGCCTGCCGGCCGCTCATCAACGTCAGGCTCAGGGGCAGCATCGGTGTCGTTGTTGCCGCCGACCTCGCTGATGGCGGAAGTACCGCCTGGCGGGAATGCCAGAGGCTGGTATGTGCGGTGTGAGACTATCGGCACAGGCGAAAGCGCCTCCTGAAGGGGCGGGCTAGGACAGCCCGTGTAGTCAGCCAGTTCTGGCCCTTCTTCCACTTCCACGATTACCTCCGCTTCCACTCCACCCCCAGCCGCTGCCTCCAGCGAAACTCCGGGCTCCATCTCCACGCCTCGGTGCGGCTCAGACGACAGCTGTTCCACTCGGCTCAGCTGCGACCGCAGCTTCTCCAGTCGCATGACATGAGACTTCACGCGGTCGGAGAGGAGATGGGCCTGTGTGGCGCTTGTGCTGCAGCCAGAAGCGGCTGCCAGTTCCTGACCATCCCGTTGCTGAACTTTGCTATCGGATGGCGTCCGAGCCATCTGCAGGGGCAAGCGAGACGGCAACAGCAGTGGTGCCGTCGCCACCGCCATGGCCTCCACCTCCTCCACCAGTGGGTTCCCAAGGCTGCATGGCTGCCTGCGCCAGTGCTGTGCAGCCGCGCTGGGGGACAACAGCTCCCGACTGTAGCTGGAGCTGCGGTTACGGGTTCCGAAACCCATTGCGATGTGGGTCGCCGCGTTGTGGGTTGGAAAAACCGACGGGCTCATCCCACTCATTGCCAGCTCCCCAGCTCGCAATGAGGCCGAGTAGGTTCGCAGACCCAGGAGGCCCAAGTCAGGATTTCGGGAACCAGAAGGAGTTTCCGCCATGTGATTTGGGCGGCAGCGAGAGATGCTGTGCCTGCGGTACAAGTCGCTGCAACCGACCGTGTCTTCACCCTTGCGGCCGCGGTGGTGGTAGTCATGGACGCCGTCGCCGTCGCCGCCCGGCAAATCGGCACCAGTGGGACTGCTGGTGCTGCGGGAACGCCTTGGGGAAGCGTGCGGCGAGATGCAAGGTGATCCAAATGGCGAGGAGCGAGGTGAAACGAGCGGCGAGGGGTACGGAGAGCTACCCGAAGGCAGACATCCGAGGCTGAAGGGGTATTTACGCGGTGATAAAGAGAGCACACCGTCGTAGGTTCCTCGCCGAATAGGAGCCCTACCATGACGTATGGGCGCGACTAAAGTTGCTAGGGCCGCTAGATTTACTTTGTAGTCAGCTCCCGAACGCATGCACAGCCCCATGGGCGACTCAGCGATGGGCTCGTCAACGGGCTCCTCGTCGCTAGAGTAGCCATCTGCTTCACCTCCAGCTAATTTCTCGCATTGTGCTGTAATGGCAGGCTCGGTGTACCTGCTTCGCTGTACAGGCGTTACACGCTCCGCTGCAAAGACAGCCTGCGTGCTGCTGATTCGCTCATGATATAGCCCAGGCTCTACTTTGACGACAGCTCCAGTGCTGCCACTTTCCAGGGTTGCCCCACGTGCCGCCGTGATAACCGCCGCAGCGCAGTTGCTGCGCTGCGTAAAAGGTCCATCTTCCGCTGCGACGAGAGCTCGGGCTTCCTCGCTTTCTCCTGTTAATTGTCCAACTCCCCCTGTAGAGTTAGGCTCGATATCGCTGCTTTGCTGCACGGCGGTTGTAACAGAGGTCCTTGATTTTACTGCCAGCTGAGGGGTGGGCCTGGCCAGCTGCGTATAGACGTCCGGAGGACTGTACGCAACGCCTTCAATATGAGCCTTGATAGATAAATTGCGTGGACCTGAGCTTTGGTTTGGGCTTTTGCCACTCCGACTGCCATGGATAGGCGCTGCGACAGTTGAGGCCGCAAGCGCCTTCGTTGCATGTATGCAGGTTTCTGGGTAATCATTAAGGACAGCCACCGGCTTCAGAAGCAGCTCCCTCAGTTCAGGTCTTCTCTCCAGCACAAGCGCAAAAAAGTCAGGGCACATGTCCTACGCAGCGGACACAGGACTGGGTCACCGTGCCCAGATCTTGACGCCTACATTGGACCTGTGACATTTGCAAAAGAATTCGAAAGCACCAGGTGCAGACGCCATGGAGCGTAGCAAATCACTTCTTGGGCATGATCGCTATCCATTATGTTACATGATGCAAAATATTACAGTTAAAAGGGAACTACCTCAGTTTTTCAGGTCAATGTTGCATTCCAAAGTGTACGATGTGCGTTTGTTCAGCATGAAGATGCATAGCACAGCATCAGCGAAGAATGCGTGAACCTTAGTTTCGCCATGTATACTACAGTTTTTTAGGGTTAGAATATGTTTGCTAGGCATTGTTCCTACCTTTGCAGGGCCCTGGGTATTCAAGGGAAATTTCTATCTAAGTTCAATCTACTTATTAGCGTGTTAGCTAGACACTATATCTATGTGCCCTAAATATTGGCTTTACCTTCCGAACGTACCGGACGACTAGGCATGTCGCCATCCGTCGCGGGCAAAACTTCCAACACCGAGTCGCCCGAGTCAAACTGCCTCGCAGACTCGCCTCTGCCGGACTCCATTCCACAAGCCACCAGAATCCCAAGTCCTGATTGTCGCGCCTCGCAGACTTTGCCACGCGCCTCTTCCCCCACAATCCTCAACGATGCGGCCTCCAGTGCGCCTGCCTCCTCCCTTCCCAGCGCAACCTGTAGCCGTCCCACAACCGCTGCCGGGCTCTTATCTCCAAAGGGGCCCCCCTGGCAGCACCACAACTCCTCCCTCCAAATGCCCACAGGCCCGCTGCTGCTTTCTGCAGTTGTCCACAGCGGCACCACGACGCTCGCCGCCACCCAGCCCGCCGACCCGTCCGCCTGGCGCACTCCATCCGCACAACTCCATGAAACCGCCTTACACGCCTTGCTTGGGCCCCGCACTCTCCTAGCCAACAATGCGCCCACCGAAACCACCGCAGCACCCGCACAGGAACTCCGGGCCTCCGATCCCACATGCTCCACCACCACCTCCAACACCACCAGTAGCATTACTACCACAACTACCGGCGAGATCCTAGCTGCCGCAGCCGCCCGCCTGATCCGTCAAGCCAGCCAAGATCCACTCGCTCTGCTACGAGCGCAGCAACAGCAGTCCCAACAGCAGTCGCAACAGCAGCAGCCTCAGCAGCCTCAGCAACAGCATGATCGGCGCAGTAGCGAGAGGCCGCTCCTGCCACCCTTTCGAGTACCCTCTCCGTCTCCGCCGCCCGTGGCCTCGGTTCAGCTTGGAGCAAGCCCCGGCAACGTCAGCAGCAACCCGCACCCAGCAGCAGCTGGGGAGGAGTCAATTGTCCCATGGGACACTCCTGGCCGTGAACACCCCCTCCCTGGGGCCCCTGGCTATAAGACCCTCGCGCCCCCCGCGCTCACCCTGGGCTTGCTCGCCTCGGGGCTGTTACTGCCGTACACAGATTTACGGCGTCAGATGGGCAGCCGGAGGATGCCGTCAGTGTTGCTTGAGCAGCCGTCGGGCCGGAGGGTGCCGCGGGAGGCGATCGCGGCGCCGCCGCCTTTGATGATTGCCGGTGGTGGCAGGTCGCCGTCCAGGATTACGTAAGTGTTGCGTTATAATGGGAAACGGCACCTGAAGCCTCTGCTAAAGCGTTGCCCATTCTTCACGCCAAATTGCATAGCGAGCCAGCAGTATGGATCACAACCGTGTTCATAATGGAAACGGTCCTAGACGTTTTTGAGTGACGCTGACTTCTTGGTTGTTCACTCCCCGGCCCTGCCTGCATCCCGCAGGGAAGCCTACGCCGGGCCCCAACAATCCCACCCCCATTCCCACCCGCATCCCATCTCCGGAGCCTTCGCATTGGCCCCCCTGCCCACCCCCTTCTCCACCGAACCACGGGTTGCAGCCCGTGCCGACATCGATGCCTATACCTCGCCAGGCCATGGCACCCCGAACATCTCTCCGAACCATCACCAGCAGCAGCAGCAGCAGCTGCGGCTGCCGTACTCTCCAGCGACTGTATCCTTCACTCGTCCAGGGCCCGTGACTCTCCAACCCGTCAGCCACAAATTTCGGCAACGTGGCGGCGGCGGCAGCAGCAACCCTGGAGGCCCTTCCGCCGTCGTCTCGTCCATGTCGGCGCCGCTGCCGTCCGTACACCTGGCGGCGCCGCCGACCGCAGGGACCGCAGCAGGTGCGGCGGCGGCGGCAACTGCTGCCGGGACAATCCCTATCATAGCACATAGGCACAGGGCCAGTGCTACCGCCTCGCTGTGGGGCTACCGCCGTTCAAGCCTCGACTCCGAGGGCTCAGACCAGGGGCTTGGGCTCTGGGACCACAGCAACGTCGCCGTGAGGGTGGCCACGGTGATCCCGACCCTTGGCGTCGAGCGTGTCGACACTCCCAAGACCGGCCTCACGCACCACCTGCACACGCAGCACATGCGCCTGAATGCGGCAGCGGCGGCAGCCGGCGGAAGTGGGGCGCACGGCGGCGGCGGCCCTGCCACTGCCGCCGCAGCAGTGGTGGCGGCTGCTGCTGCCGTCGCCAAGAGCAGCAGCGTGGACCTCAAGGGCAGCCTGCGCAACCATCCACAGTTTCAGCAGTTCCTTCAACAGCAACGACAGCTGAAACGTGACAAGCAGCAGCAGCAGCAACAACAACAACTTCAACAGCAGAAGCAAACAGAGCGACAGCAACAGCAAACAGAACGCTGGCAGCAGCAAACAGAGAGACAACAGCAACTACAACCGCAAGAGCAGCCGATAGATCAGGACCAACAGCAGTTGCAGCAGCAGCAGCCCCCACTCCTCGTCCGCTCCATCTCCGTTGCCGCGACGATGCCGGGCACGGTGCACTTCACTCCGCTACCACAAGCCCCCCTGGCCCCGGGTGCTGCTGCACCGGTGTCGCCCAAGTTTACCCGCGGCGCGGCGGTGCCATCAGGCCATGCGCTCACGCTCAGCAACGGCCTCGATTCGCGTCCTTCCACCTCCCCCCCAAGCTCCCCTTACAGGTCCTCTCCGCGGTCACCCGGCCGGTCATCCCCTCGATCCGCGCGGCGGCAGACGCTCTCCGACGGCACATCCACCGCAGCGAGAATGCAACCCGAACAGGCAGGCGCTCCTGCTGCTGCTGCTGCCGCTGCACCTGAGGCCGCAGTTCCGATCGCTCTTGCGGCTGCATCAGCAGCTTCCGGGGGTATGGCGGTAACAGCAGTCACACCCATGAATCCAGCAGGACTGGTGTCTCCTGATGGTGCTACACCCCAGCCAAGCCGCCAACAAGACCCACAGCAGCAGCGTCAGCCCAAGCAGCAGCAACCAGCCCAACCAGTACTTTCCGACCAGGAACCAAACCGCGCCTCCGGTACTGCAGCAGAACCGTCACCAATGGAAGCGGAGCCTAACGGGGTGAATACTGACAGTGGCAGTGGTGGCAGCGGCACCATGCACTCTCCGGGTAAGGCCGCGGCTGCATCACCGCTGGGCACATCCCTGCAGAGGCCCCTGCCATACAGCGCTGCTGCTGACTCTCCAAAATCCCCGACGGTGGCGCATGCGTCCACATCAAGTTCGTCGGCGGTGGCCCGTGGTGCCGCCTCTCACGGCAGCGGGGCTAGCGGCCGCGGCCACGATGCGCCTGCCGTCGGACGCTCGCCCAGCAGGCTCATGGCTCCAGGGACAGGGTCGGCGTGGAAGGAAAACGGCGGGCTGGCACTGCTCAACCTCCACGGTCACCAGCAGCACCTGCTGCAGCAGCACCTTCAGGAGCTAGGGGCGAAGGCAAAGGCGGGGGCAGTGGTGGAGGCGGAGGCCGAGGCGGAGGCGGCATTGGCGGCAGCGCAGACCTTCAGTCTGCGGCGTACGGCATACAACGACTGGGTGGACGGCATTCCGCTGGCGGATGCACGGCGCGGCGCAACAAACATGGGTGTGGGCGGGGTTGTGGCGAGCGGATTGGAGGGCAAGGCAGTGGTACTGAAGAAGCAGCCGCCGGAACGCGGTACGGCGCTCTACTTTAAGCCATCCAACAGGAAGCCGTTGCTAGGGGGCGATATATTGCATGTATTGTAGGGTTGCATACTTTTGCAGTAGGATTGGCTTGCAGGACTCGCTGGTCATGGTTGCATAGTTCCCAGCATTCAGGTCATGAATGAGGAAGCGGGGCGGGGCCCATACTGCATGAGAGCAGGTTAGAAAGCGCATTAATGAATAACGTGGCGCGAAGACACGGCCTCACATGGGAACCTACGTACGTTCTGGTGGGGGCCATTCGCGCGGCCCGCACAGCTTAGCCTTTTCGCTTGCAGCTTTGAGTTTTAGGCATTTGCAGCATGCACACAGCGTGTTTCGAAGTGCGTTCTCATGCTCGTCGCTGGTTCACCTTGCTGCCCCGAAGCATCATAGCTAGAGCTGCTGGTGCATTCATGTATCGTTGAGCATGCGTTTTAATGTTACATCTCAGCAACCTTTACCCCCGCCGGGGGCGGGTCGGCTGTATTAAAGCATATCATGCCGGGGTTCGGGAACCCTGGCCAAGCGTATGGGGTTTGTGAAAGCCATTCCATTGCGGGGCTGACCGCTGCTTTACACTTGATGCTGAGCCAATGACTTAGCGGCGCCATGACGTAACCTTGTCCTTACCACATGAACTGTTCTTTTGCGACATGTACAATTATAGCTGCCACAAACTGCTAAAGAGCGTGAAGCTCCGTGCTGGTTGTGCGCTTATTTGGGATTCATTCCTACACTCCCCGGATCTGCAGCTGCGGGATTCATTTCTCCGCTGATATCCGCTTTAGGAGCAAGAACTGAGTGCGGGTCCGCAGCGGTTTTATCATAATAAAGAATATTGTCTATTTGAGGAACCACCTTGACCTAATAGTCACCAGGTTTGTCGTTAGGTGTCCATCCTTTTCCTGGGGCACCGTTGGCTCGCGTCTCTTAGTATCGCTATGCTAACGGTCATCTCGAGGAGAGGGGTGGGATGCTCTTAGCGGGGGTAATAGCCATAGCAGCTGAAGGGAGGTTGGTAGACGTAGTGCTGTCAGGTTGCCTCCGGTTGCTTCCGTTGGTGTGTGGACGATTTCTTTCAGCCGATTGATGCAGTTTCGCAGGGTCTCCTCTGGCATCATCTGGGTGTGTTGAAGCTGTCCCCAGAGGATAGGTCGTCGGCCTGTCATTATCTTCTTGTGGCGGGCGTCCAGAGCCTTTCATATAGATTGATGACATCGGGGTTCACGGGAAGCATGTCTCCATAATCATCATCATCATCGCTCAACGGCTTGACGAGGACAGCTCGTGTTCAGCGTTCAGCTTTCATCACGTCACACGAATGATTCATCAGAGCAGCTCTAGCCTTAGTCGGCCATAATGTTAGCTTTGGACCTAATAACCAGTCACTGAGCGATTCGTCAGTGACAGCCACTTACTGTACACTGGGCGAGTATGGGTTTCCATCCCGTCACTTGTAATTGTTGCTCATAACCTGATGTAATCCTGAGCTGTACACTACGCCTTGCCATGCTTATTGCTGTGGAGCCGTTACTCGCGCGTCACCCGCGCATTCTGCCACACAACTGAGGGATGCTTCCTCTGCCACACCCGGATAAGGGTAGAGATGCAGTACAGACAGAAACACTTCAATTAATCATATGTTCCAGTACACATACATGCAGGCATACACATTCCCCTCCACAATTACCATCCCAAATGCATGTAGGTAAGAAATAAGGTAAAACTGCTCCAGGAGCTGGGGTGTGTGTCAATGTGGCTCGCGCTCTATGGTTGGATGTTCCCCTGCCTTAGTCACCAGTACAAGGTCCACGTCGAGTATCCCTGGCCCTCGCGCACGGATGACCTAAGCCTTTTTGCGATGTCGCTACGACGGTTGATGGGCTTGCTAAGGGCGCTGCAGGAATGGTCGGATATGTTAGGCCCTAATGTCAATGCACGGAAGTGTGAGCGCTGTATAGCTGCTGTTCGCTCACCTCAACGATCACTCCTTTTTGCGGAAAGGATCCTGAAAAGCTTAATCAAAGAGAGGTACCAGGGAAACAAAGCGAGGCACCTGTGAGTGCTGTTTGGAAGTAACTGCGCAGCCGTCTATTGTGATCAGCGGTTGCAATCGAAGTACAAAGAGTGTCGACGACAAAGTGACGGCTCGTCTGACCGTGCCGACTCTTCTGCCTGCCGCATATATGGTGATGTTGCGCTTTTGCGAGCAGCGGCACATTCCATTGCCTTTGGTAGACTTTCGTTGCGTTTCATAGCCCTCGCGGCCGGGACACGGAACAACTGTTAAGCTTCTGGTCGCTATCCCGCTGCACGTCCCATCGATGCCCCCAGCATATTAGCTTTAACGTAAGGAAGTCACTACGGTTTAGCTATACTATGGATCTTTAAATCGCGGCGCAATGCCGTGCCACAAAGTCCATTGGACGCAGAGAACTATTTATTGACATTAAGTCATGGCCTCTATTTCCAGGTATACCCACGAGCCGGTGTGCTGTCGTGCCTTCCGTCTCCCTGCACTTTTGGGATGCAATACCACTTCTGGTGATGGGCTCAGATTAAGGATGCCGGGAACATGAATGGTCACATGGAGACTGTGATATCATCTCCACTTAAGATCCTGGCCAGAACCCCTCAGTTAGCGCCCTTGGTGCACGTTATCGTTAGAAATGCGGCGGGCCTAACAGGGCAATTGGTTTCGGAGTGCGGTTGTTGTGAATTTTGAAAGGAAAAAGTCACAGCTGGGGTTTCATTTGTATTACATATGACGATGTGGTGATTAGTGCTATTTTGCGAAGGATTCTTGGCTTAGCAGGTATCCAGCTGGATTTTGAGGGTTCCAAAAAAGCCCTTTCACCAGATACCACTCGCATGATACTTGTAAACAGATTACACTCATTCATGGTCATACAAAGTGAGATGCAGGCGACGACTGAACAAATGTAAGGCGCCCAACGGGATTTGAAAGGGCTGAAAGTCCCGCGGCACTCATGCAAGCCCACGCGGAACTATTTATAAATTCTGTATATGATAAAAGAAGAGCTGTAAACCACGTATGAATTGTCTTCGCAGGCGGTCACTTCGATGTACCCATGTGCCTTGTTAACGGAGGTGGGGTATCATTGAGGAAGGCAGACACCTGGTATGCAACCAACGCAACGCGCTGGATGCCCACCGCCGCCGTCTGTCGCGACCTCTCGGCCTGCCAAGCCCAGGCCGCCTTGGCGGTCTGTGCAGGTGTGTTTCAGCACCCCCTGTATGTGAGCTTACCTGCCGTGTCCCTCCGTAGCCCACCCAGCCGCCACATTCCTTCTTGCTCCCAACCAACCCGAGACCACCATCCGTGACGTCAGATTCATACTGCAGCTCAAACCCCTCAATCATGGAAGGTCTGGATGGTTGCGCGGATGGGATGATTAGGCTGGATGACCAATCGCCTTCCCTCCCCTTTTCGTCCTCCCGCAGGCCTCAGCGCGCCTCTCGGTAAGCGGTGACCCGGAAGATGCACAGGTTACGGAACGGCCGTCCCCAGAGCCCAAGGCGCTGCTTCAACTCGACCCAGTGTCGCAGCTGCTCTCCTCCCCTGTTTCGCCCATTCCGATCCCAGTTTCCCTAGCTCCTGCATATGCGCCAGTTCACGCTACGACCAGCCCATCTGACCCAAGCCTTGGCGTCTTCAGTCACCTGCACGGCGACGCGGCGTCGGGGACGGGCCTGGATCAGCTCAGTGCGGCCCAGGACATCCTCAGCAGTCCAGCTCTCCTGCCTGAATGGCACGCCGCAACGGCCACCACAGCCGCCCATGCATCTCCGTCTTCTAATTCCAAAAGAAACGCCCAGCGTGCCATCCCTAAAGGAAATGGGTCGTCCACATCACAATCTATATCGACGTCCGCTTCTGCGTCTCTTAACCGTATCAGTGAGGTGGCGCTCAGCGTGTTGGTCATGGCCGAGCTTGTACAGATGCTGTCGGGTTCAGCCAGGCAGGCAAGTGGGGCCACCGGGTATATGCCTCGCGGAGGCGCCGAAGCGGTGCTAGGGCTAGGGCTGCGTAGGCCAGCCTCCCCCGGTGATTACACCGCCGCGTTGGCAAGTGCGGGAGGGGAAGGGGGAGGGGAGGGACGCGGAATTCCTTAGGGCACAAATGGAGCGCTTGTAGACGTGTGTCATGCATCCTGTGACTACCTCGCAAGCTCAAACCATGGTCCCTTCTGTTCTTCGTCCTTCAGGGGTATCTGGGCTTTTAAATCGCTGGGTTTGGGTTTTCAGACGTCCTCCGATGCACCATGCAAGCCTCTACTGAACGAGCCTTTTCCACCAGCTTAACAACTTACCAGCTCCTTCGATTGTCGCTATGCGCCGTCGCTGTACCGACTGCGGAAATGGCTTAGTCTTTAACTTCGTTTCCTGAAATCCTCTGGAGCCAATCCTCCGAGCCCGCATTCACCTTTGCATGCAGCATCTCCACGGGGTCGTAGCCCCGCCATGGTGAATCCGCATTCCTATCTGCCCTGTCCCTGCCTTGCCTTCGCACCCCTGCAGCTGACTGCTGAAGAGCTCCATCAGGCGCTGGCCAGCTTCGACATCACTCTTGAGGACGTGCGTCGGGCTGAATCGGTGGGGGCCATATCACCAGAGCTGCTCAGGGGTTTCAGCCTGCGACCCACATCGAGCACACCAAGCCCAAACCCCGCTGATTCTCCTAGAAGCCCTGATGCGAGGACATCACGGCCGTCACCCGAGCTTGGGTCTCTCTATTCAACTCCAGAGGCCCCAGCGCCTGGCCCCGTCGAATCCCTGGTCAGGGCGTCCGTCAGTACTTCATCCACATTGGATCCGGTGACTGCAAGGCCAGCTGCCGACACTGCGACGAGTTTGGAAGCGGGCAAAGGGGATGTCTGGGAGCGCCTGGACCTCGGGCGTCCCGCGCCACAGGCGGCACAGCCGCCGCCGCAACAGCCTGAGTGGCCCTATACGCCGGGGCAAGGCCCCTGGGCGCGAGTCACAGGCGCATTGGAGGACGCTGCTGAGGTGGCGGCAATAGCAGCCGGCGCCTTGGGGACTCACACGCGGCGGGCACTTGACGGAGTTCTGTACGGCGCCTTCGCCCGCCCTACACCGCGCGCTGCTCTAACAGATGGTGGCGGTGGTGAGGGGTTTAGCGGATCAGGAGCCGGAGGCAATAGCAACGGTAATGGGAGTGGCGGCGGGGCTGGGAATGGCGGCCATGGCGGGGGTAGCAGCGGATCGAGTGGTGGCGGGGGAAACAAGGGCAGCAATGGCGGCGATGGCAGTGGTGGCGGTGCGGGTTGGTGGTGGAATCCGCACCTTGCGCATGTGCTACGTATGCTGGCAGCCACGTGCTTGCTACTGCCACCCGACGGACAGCTCCGCTTGTTCAGCAACTTGTGTACCTCGCTGGAGCGAGTTGGAGGAGATAGAGGCGCTACAGACGCGGCCCTTGAAGCTGGAGCCCCACGCGCTGGACGCATGGAACGTAGGCGCTCCAGAGGGCTACGCGCATCGCTTCGCCCGCTGCTTCGTCGCCGCTTGAAGGCTGTTCAGACGAACTATACGGCGGCTGGCCATGCACAGAGCGCCGAGCCGCTGTTTTTCCAACAGGATGTCTTGGAGCAGCCATCCATGGACCGGGTTGCAAGGTCTGGATGCCTGCTGCTCCAAAGTCCTAAGGTAATTTTGGACAACAGCAGCAGCAGCAGCAACGACGACCCCAGTGCGCCGGCGTGGCCGTGCGTGCCCGACGGCCTGCTGAAGCAGCTTCCGCAAGCGACGGTGCCGGAGCTGACACCATCGAACGCGCTGCTGGTGCGGCCGCAGCAACTGCCAGGGCAGGTGGCTACTGAGCACGATGCATGGCAGCAGGGCCAGCAGGGTGCGGAGCCGCATGCAGGGAGTTCTGGAGCCGGCGACTCCAAGCACTCCGCTCCGGCCGCTGTGGAGTTGTTTGCCGGTGTTGTAGCGGCGTCTCTGGACCTCTGGACGCCGGCGACTGGCGTGGCCACGGCGGGCTCCTGCGCCATGGCTATGGCGGAATCCGCTCGGGCGACGAACCAAGCGGATGTGGCATTTCCCCGGGTTGCGACGGAAGAGGAGACGGTAGCGACGGACAGCTTACTGCGAGAGTCTCCAGGTGCGGCACGTGTACATGCATGCATGGTCAAATTGATCTGTTGGAGCTATATGGTCCTCTTTACTATTTGGGACTTCTAGCTGGGCACGCAGCATGTCGCGCGCCTTTCCTGGCAAGCGGCGGGCAAAGCAGGGTACCGTTGGAACGCCAGGATGGGACTGGCTGACTTGGAGGAATAAATAATGCCTGATGCAAGGTCAACTCATGGCAGCCCGCTGCACACTTTATTGAACGAATGAAGCTCATGACGGTGGACCTTGGTCCAAAGTCGTCGTTGTATACCGTACCCCGACATTGTACCGGCCAGAGGCCTACAAAGGCCTACAAAGGCCTATAAGACCTTTCTCACCCGTGCGAGAAAGCCAGCGGTGGGGCATCACGTTTCCCGCGCAAGTAATCTAGGACCAACCGCCGGCCTCCGGTGCTTTCAGGACTGCCCTCCCGCACTGCCAAGCTGGCCTGCGGTTGATCCCTTCCTGTGCTTTGTTGCCTCATCCACGGTCATCCTCGATGCATCCCCGGGGATGCATGCCTTCCCTACAGGGGGAGCGGGCGCCACGTGGACCCAGCCCACGTCCAGCTGGACCGATGCGACCACAGACACAATCCCAAGCAGGAGCTCAGCAGCCGCGGATGACCCCAAGGGGGCGGACAATGGCGCGCTATGGATGGCTGCGTACCCGCTGAAGCCCCGTCTCCTGCCGCAGCTGCAGCCACAGGCTACGCCATGGCACCCGTGTGCTGACCCGTTGCAAGCAGCAGCTGGGCCACAGGTTGAGGAACCCCAGTCCCAGGCCACCGCGTTTCCGGGGCACGATAATCCTAGGTTAAGGCCTGATGCGGCTATGGACGGCGAGGACTCGACGCGGGACGAGGTTCCTTCTCCCTTCCGAGGCTGTAAGCCGCGCCCGCTGGTATTCCATCCCCGCCACCATGGATCCTCACGCCGCAATGCTATGGCAGCAACAGGGGCGACCAGAAGCGAGGGCGGCGAGCGTCCGATCTCCCTGCGTCGGCTTCCGGCGCAAGAGCAGAGCTTGGCGCGGGCTGCGCCCCGCCCGCCCACGGTCACATGTGGCGGCGCCACGCCAGAAGTGGCCCAATCCTCATCGTTTCTAGCAACTGCCTCGTCGGCGTGGCAATTCAGGCCGTCACGATCCACCTCTTCGTCCTCTGCAACGTCACAACGAACGCAGCACTCCCAGCTGTGCCAAGAGCAAGAACACGCGCAGTTGCGGCAGCATCAGCAGCAGCAGCTAGGGCGCTCGACGCAGCAGGGAGTGTGGGGGGACGGACAGTTATCGGGGGAGAGCAGCATGCTGACACTGGTGCTGGATTCTCGCAGGAGCACCTGCGAGAGCTTCGATCTGCCTGCTGGCACCGTTGGCGCCATGTCGCTGCTCCTCTCACAGTGCCAGGTCGCCGCTGGGGTACCGCCGCCGGGGTTTACGGTGCCGTTATCCCCAGTTGCCGCTTTCCCTGTCGTCGACACCGCTGCCCCCGCCGCCGCGGCTTCAGTCCCATTGGCTGCACTGGCTTGCGCGGCCGCCACAGCCACCTCCACAACGCCATGTGCGTTGTTGTGCGACTGTGGCGACAACACCGAAATACCCGACAAGTCTGCTGTGGGGTATGGTGCTGCGGTTTCACTACGTGCCACCGTTTTGCCCCTCGCCGACAGCTCACAGGATGGTTTAAAGTTGGCCGAGCCAGCGGAGGTAGAGGCGGCGGCCAAGCCGCATCCCGACCTGAAGCGCCGTCGGCATGAACGGCCGCCGGTGCTGAGCCCGTGCAGACATGACATCTGCCGCGACCAGGTCCTTTCCCCTCACGCCTCGTCCTCGGGCGGCGCTGCCGCCGCTGTTGCTCCAGCCGCAGCACCGGGCCCTTGCGGCGCAATCACGAGCACCTTGGCCAAAACCCCCGCTACTGCAAAAACCGGAGACTCTGCACGCGCCATCGCGGTGGCGGGCTACGTGCCAAGCAGGCTAGCAGCGGCAGTAGCGACAGGAATAACAGCACCGGCAGGCGTGGACGGAGGTTCGTTTTCATATGGCATTGTTAGGGACAACGGCCATGATGGTGGCGCCAGTGCAGCCTCCAGCCGGCAGAGCCCCAGCTCAGACCTCCCAGCTGACGAGTTGCACCTACCGGATGTGTTGGATCTTGCGGAGCTCTACCGAAGGAGCACCAGGGGTGGCGCATTGTTGGGGCCCCCGCCGTCAACCTGCACTATCACAGGCGCCACTGTGTTGGCTGGAGCCGCCGATGCCTTTGTCGCGCTGGAGGCTCAAGCATGGGAAGCAAGCGCCCATGCGTCTGCCGCCGCTGCTGGTGTAGCGGATGGCAACGTTGCCCCTGCTTGTCCTCATATTGCTGGTGTTGTCAGCCCGGTTGCACTGCGAGTCCCAGTCGCGGGTGCTGCTGCTACGGCATGCCCTGTCAGGTCAGAGTGCCCGGATGTGGCAACCTGCCTAGGGGTATTCACTAGCCCAGCCGTGACCGCTGGCGGGGTATGGCCGGTTTCACGGACCAGCATGGACGCAGCTTCTGCGGTGAACCCCACCAGCCTGGCACCTGCCAGGCTAACTGATCCGGCACGGGGAAGCCCAACTAGTCCAGCACCTGCCAGCCCAATCAGCCCGGTACGGGCCTGCATAACCAGCCAAGCACCTGACAGCCCAACCAGTCCAAGCACGGCGTACCTGCCTCCTGGGAACCTCGGAGAAGTCAGCCCCGTATCAACCGCTAACACTCATTTTGAAGTAGCCGCCACTGTCGCTACTACTAACAAGACCGATGCGGCGGCGGCCGAGGCCCCGAACTGCGTCATGGCGGTGGATATGGACAACTTGCCGGAGGCACACATTCCTGACCCGGGGGATCCCTTTCCATGCCCACTAACTGAAGCTGGGGTCAGTCAGGCGGGCCCTATGGCAGCAGTAGTGTGCACTCCCCTGGAGGATTCTTTCACTTCTGGTCTCAGCCTTATCAGCCATACCATAAAGTCCCATGCAGAAGAGTGTGAGCCGGCGGCTGACAGTGCCCTCGCACTGGCTGCCGCCCTCGCCGCGCACTCCCCGCCAGGCCCCACCGACGCTTCATTCTTGTCGATGCAAAGGTCGCCCGCGTCTGGTACCGGGCCTGCGGGCAGCGACGGCATGGCGCAGGACCCGGGTAACGACGAGATACAGAGCGGGGGTGGTGGCGTGGAGCCTTCCCAGCTGCAGCTGCAGCAAGCGACAGAGGACAGTCTGGATGGTTTGCCTGGCGTAACGGACAGCAGCCCGCTGCCGTCGCCGCTCCACTGCCAGTCCACAACAGTCATCTGCCGCGACCTGTGGGCCAGCCCTTTCCACTGCGACGTCACGGTGACAACCAGCCAGCCGCAGGGTCCACGAGCCCACGGCATCGACGGAGCAGGGGACGGTCAGCGTAGCGCCGTCAGGGTTGCTCACTCTGTGGGCGACCCCAGCCCAGAGCCGTTGCTCGGCAGCTACCGTAGCGTTCCGCAGCCTGCAGACCCCGGCACGATTCCAGAGCCTGACGTGGGCTCTGCACGGCAACCAGCCGACATGGAGAGCCAGTCAGCTGCTGCTGCCTCTAAAGATGGGGCCCTGGAGGAGGCGATGTCGGGTCTACCTGTCATGGAAGCATCCAGTGCGGGGAGTAGCAGCTCGAACTTGGCACAACCTAATACTGCCGTCATTGTGCAAATGCCCGAGGGTGCGGCCATGTCCCGCGTCGCCGTCCATATCCCTTGCGCGGCCGTCCATCCGCCAAGCGAGGCATCATGGATAGAGGCTAAAGATGTACCGTCCTTAGGCCGGCCTTGCGATGCTACCACCGCCTCTGCGCTCCAGCTGGTTGATGCCGAAGAACCTGCAGCCACGCATCGGCGCGGCACTTGGCCGTCCTACGTGCCCACGACAGCGTCCTTCACCGCTGGGAGTCTCTGTGCAGCAGAAGCCACAGAGGCAGGTGCAACCGTGGCTTCAACTTTCACAGCAGGGATTGCGGCTATGGCGGTGGCGGAGAGACCTGCAAGCACTGCAGTCTGGGGCCACGGGGTCCTAACGCGCGCGTGGTCGTGTGATGTCGATGCAGGGCCCGCGCCGCTGGGCCTTGGCGGTAGGGGGCTCTCGACACGCAGGCGGCCTCTGCAGCACTTCAGTTCTCTTCAAGGTCTGCAGACGTCCAGCTGCTTGCGGCGTGGTGGATCCTCCAGCGTCAGCGGGCAGGTAGGACGGTCCAGGGATGGTTGCGTGGAAGCACAAATGCGGGTGTGCAGCGATGTAACGAGGGATTTACAGCGCGGCACATTAGCGGAGTTCAAGTGTTCCAGGGCTTATAACGTATTATAAAGTATTCCTTAAGGACGATTTTGGAGGTTTACAAGCGCCCCACGTGATTGCACTGACAGCTGTGCCCGCAGTGCTCGTAGCCCAGTCCTTGGATGGAGTCTTGTTGCCTTGCATCGAGCGGGCTGGTGACACATGCTCCGGTGACCTGCTCCTTGTGCCATCTTCCGCGGCTTTGCCCTTCTTGCCAGGCGCTCGGCTCCGAGGCCCCCCAGCTGCAACTACGGCAGCACCATCCCTCGTCCCCAGCGGCATGCGACGCCTTGGACGAAGTGCTCAGCCAGCTGCCCCGGCTGGGTATGGCCTTTGAGCCCGGATCCGGGCAGGCAGCGACCGTCGCTGTTGAGCCAGCGGCAGTTGGCCCGCGTGCCGTAGGCAAGGGGGGCCCCTGGTCACCCACCCGGGTCGCGGCCGCGGGCACCCTTGCCACGGTACCCGCGCTAGCAGCGACAATCTGGGCACGGCTCGCATCGCCGGCGGCATCCGCCGCTGGTGGGATCTCAACTGCAGTTCCAGGATCGGCAGCAGCGTCGGTGTCGTCCGCTGTAGCTCGCCGCGCCACGTTGGGCGGCGGCAGTACCCCCGGCGGCGGGGAGGCGCAAGGGATTTGGCTGAGGACCGGCACCGCGCTGACCGCAACTGCAGCAGTCGCGCTGGTCGTCCTGCCGATCGCGGTGACGGCATTCTTTTCCAGTGGCCACTCAGCCGCTCCCGCTTCCCCACCTCGCCCGCCGCCTCCTCCAACTGACTCTGCGACGGCGATGATCCTCTTGTCCCACCCACATCATGTGTCTTCGAGTGAATCCGACCCTAACACTGATGGTGATGTCGACGGCGATATCTTCTCCGGCGATGTTGCCCTGAGCCCGCAGGCGCACGCAGAATCCGCAATCAGGATGCCGCAGCGCGTCTCCCAGGTGCTCGCCGCGGCTTCGGCAATGGCCGCTGGTGCGCGCGGCGCCGCCTGGCGCCATTTGCGTACCGCCCATCGTAACCTCTGGAGTGACCCCGGCGACTGCCCGACACTGCCCGCTAGCGGCCGACCCTCGCTGCAGCTGTTGTCGCGTCCGCCAGGAAGCCTCACCCAGTTCAGCCTCGCAGACCTGCTGCACGATCAGGCGCCCGGCGAGTCTCTTCTCATGGAGCGTCTCGGCAGTCCGTTCGCGGGGGAACATCACTCACAGTTGCGGCTAGAAGACGACCTAGCGACAGCAGCCATGATGCTAGTGGACTACCGACCGCTGCACGCCGTGCCCGCAGAGGGCCCGGCTGCTGCTGTCACCACTCCCGCTGCCGACAGCAGCAGCAATATTGATACCGACCAGTCCGCCACACGGCTGCTATTGCAAGCGGAACCTCATAAGTTTTTGCATGATGCGGACCCAGGCTTGCAGCAACTGCCAGTGCTTTTAACATGTGCGTCACCTGTGGATGCGGCGCCCTTACCCTCGTGCGAGGCCGCGATTCCTGCATCGGTGCCCGCAGCGTTCGGGGCTGCTGTAGGCATGAGCGGTGGGGCAGTGGCGCCGATGCCTCACAGCTGTCTCAGCGTGGATGGGTCGCCTGCAGCGGTGACACTGACCGCGGGAAGTTTGCCGCCGCTTTCAGAGCGGCGTGGCGACGGGACGGACAAGCATAGTGTAGTGGGCTCTGCTCCGGAACCAGAGGCTGAAATAGATGAGGGCCAGCCATGCAGCTCGGGCTGGCTTGAAAGGATGCTCAAAGGGGCCGGTATTGGCCAAGGTCAGGTCCCAGCCAGTGCTGATGTGACGTCAATCGCTGGTGGCGGCAGGGAGGTCTTCAGCAGTAGCAGCAGCCCCTCTGAGGTTGCGCTGCGCTCTCTCGGGGTGCGCATGTCGCGCGGGACTCGGTCAGCTGGTGGAGCGGCGCCTATTGGCGGCAGCCTCACAGCAGCAGCGGCTGCGTTGTCAGCAGCATCACCGACGGCGATGGCGTCAGGAACACCTCGTAAAGCTATGGTTGCAGTGGCAGCACCAGCCCCGTCAACCACAGGCTTGGCAGAGGTCCTTCACGAGCCGCCCAGTGACATCCTGCGGCTTATCACCAGCCCGCGCGCAGCTTGGAGTCAAGAGTGCCTTGCACCGGCCCATGCGCACTCCTTCTCAGTCGAGTACGCGCGCGGCTCCCCGCCGCCATCACCTGCTAAACGAAATGGCACCGTCGCTGCCGCCAACGACACCACTACTGCCGGCCCTTTCACCGCTATCAATTCGGCGGAGATCGCTGTCGGCAGCCCGTTATCGCCTAGCGTCGTAGATTTGGAGGAGCCTGTTGTGACATCGCCGGAAGAGTGGATTTTGCCAACTCGTGCTGTCCCTGGCAGCGACGGTTGCGACGACGTCGCTGCTGCGCCATCAGCCGGAGGTTTGTCCATTGAGTTCCTTCACATCCAGCGTGGCGGCTACGATGCAGATTTCCTGGAACCAACACCTCGCCTTCACGTTGTTCCTTCCCTAGTTAGCGGCGTCATTGCCTGCCCACCTGCCCGGCAGGAGGCGCCTCCGGTGTCTCCACGACATCTTGGCGACATCAGCGACACCCTTGCCGACGGCCAAGAGGTTACCATGGAGAGTTGTGGCAGTGAGCGGCTACAAGTGACAGCTGAAGCTGCAATGTCTGATTGTCATCCTGATGCCACCCCTGTGGTGCTGCCTGTGGCCGTCATTGGGTCCGCCGGGTTCGCACCCTCTGCCGCCCCCGCCACCGTTTCCGACCCGTTCACCGCAGAGATCTTGGCGGGTACACAGAACGATCGGTCCGATCACTGTCCCGGCGATGTTGGTCAGCCAGTGGAACTGAAACTCGCCCAGATGGACCACGATGGAGACGCGGCAGGAGGGTCCTCAACTTTGGAGCAGGTGGCTGTCCTGGACAGCACTCCTGATGCGGACCCGGCAGTCCCCGGGGTAGCGTGCTCACCCTCGCCAGAAGCTGCCGTTCCGTTGGGTATCATAAGCGGGCCGGCCAAGGCTGCACATGTGGACGCCGTCGCAATGATTGATGTAGTGCCAGGTGACTTGGCTATCCCGTTCGGTTCGTCGGACGTCGGAGACGCGGTTGCCGCTGCATCCATGAAGTCGGGCAGCATCGTAGGAGCTGTACAAGGCGCCGGCATTCCAGATTCCGTTGCAGCAGAAGCAGCAGCCGCGACACGGGAGGTATTGGAAGAGGTTGAGGAAGCCATCGAATGGGTCATCGAGACAGCTCTAGGAGGAGTTGTGGAGGGAGCTGAAGTCCTGGATACGCTTGTTGTCGCAGCTGATGACCCGCCCGCCAATGTTGTCCAGTGCGCCGCGTCGGCCGCCACGGCTGACATGAGAGACACCTCCGGAGCTCAGGACGCAGCCGCAGCCCTGATCAAGTCCACGGATGACGTCCTAGAGAATGAGACCTCCGCCGCTGCAACTAAGGAGAGCCCTACTGATGCAGGAACGGCAGCAGTAGCAGCAGCAGCAGCGGTCGATGATGAAACCGGCGCCACCACAGCAATCGCAGAGGCCAGGCCCGACACATCCGGCAGCACCACAATTCGGGTTATTTCCGCTGTTGACGCAGACAGCCATGCAACGTCCGCATCCGCAGTAACAGCCACCCCGCTGGCCAAGTCAGCTGCCGCGGCGCAGGCCATGACAACTGCCGTCACCGTGCAGGATAACCCCCTTTATCTGTCACCTCAGTCAGAGCCCACCTCACCACAGGATGATGATGGTGCAGCTGCTGCTGCCGCGGGCACAGGCGCGGCCCCTGAGGCGCCTAGCTTTGCAGTTCGCAACGAGCTGTTCGAGGCAACCCGGGTCAAGTCCCCTGAGTCAACAGTGCCAGCAGAAACAGCTGCGACAGTGCAGAAGGTCGCGGATGTCGATGTTGCTGCCGTCACAATAGGCAAGATGGAGCCAGGATGTGTGGAGGCGCTGGCTGCTGATGCGGACGCCGGTGCAGATCGCGACCGAGAATCCTCCGGGGACAGGGACATTGCCAGGCTGTCGTCTGACCCAGCAGCTGCCGAGACTGCGCAGGTAGTGCCAGAGGGCCCCGTTGAGCATGTGGCCCCGTTGGTTACATGTAGCCCGAGCAAAATGACGCCTTATGCTTCTCTGAAGGCAGAGGTGGGTGTGGAGTCCGCTGGTGCTCCTGCTGCTGCTGCTGCTGTGGAACCTTCCGTGGAAGAGGCTGTCGACCCCACAGCACCTGCATCCGCTGCGCTGACACAAGCCGCCGCACACAAGGTTCATGATCAGGGTAAGAAATATGCGCTAGTAGCATGCATGTGTCATCCGCAATGACCGGATACGACGAGGGAGCATTTCACGGCACATTCATATATGCACTTGCACGTGGATACTGCTGTGCATGTCGCACTGCGTCCCGTTGATGCAGTAAATGTCGCAGAGCTTTCAGGTGGCGGGGGCCAACCGACGGCATGCCCCGCCGCCCGGGAAAACCGCTTTCCCACGCTCTCTTGTCCCCGCCTACCTAACACACCCTAACTACCTGGTACTCCTCCCAACTGTCCCACCATTCATTCATTCATTCATTTAATCACTCATTCTCAGCCATCGCCGCGAAAACTCCCATGCGTTATCAAGGTCGTAATTTGACGGCAGCACCTGCATCCGCTGCAGCTTCAGGTGATTGCGCCGCTGAGACAGCCGGCTGCTGCGGTGGCTCACATGCAGCGCCCAGCCCTGGCATACCCGGCCAAACGGAGAACGGTTTTGGACCGTCCAATAGGAGCAGCGCCTGCGGCAGTGGGGCACCCATGGAGGACGCCGTCCATGCGCAGATTGAAAATGAGGCCATCGTCGACGGGCTCGGCCCTGGAGGGCCCTGCACTGGCCAACAAGCCGGTATTGTGGAGGTCCCCCGCATCGCAGCACCCGCCCGCGCAGCTGCTGGCTGTACCCAGGCTTCTATACTTTTGAAATCCGCTAGTGTCTCCTCCGCGGCGTTGTTGGCCACGACCGCCATCGCGTGCGGTGTCGAATTGGGTGACACCCTCAGTGTACCTGCGGCTGCTGAGGTATTATCCGCTGCCAAACCGGAGCCAGCACAAACCACAGGTGACACAGAGCGACCATCAGGCATAGCGGAGGGGGGCTGGACAACCGGCCCTAGAGCTGGCGCCAAATTAGGACCGCCTGGCGTACTGGCGGCAGCACAGTACAACTCCGTGTGTGCAAGCTATGCTGAGCCCTGCCGCTCTTCACCGCACGAGTCCGAAGGTCCAAAGGCCGAAGGCGTATGTGCCGAAGGCCCGGGTTCCGCAGACGTGCCTGCTGAAGGCGCCCAAATCGCCAGGAAATCCAGCGCAGCCGCAACGGCACCAGATGCAGTTGGTCTCACCAATCGCTTATCCGCCTCGGCAGATGGAACCAACAGCGGCAGCCTGTGCACCAGCCAGCCTGCCGATGCCGATGTCGATGCTAGTTTATCGTGTGCGCCAACAGCGCACGAGCAGGCGCTGCTAGCCTTGGCCTCTACAGCCGCCGCTGCGGTGCAGACACCGTTGCTGACTAACGACGCTGATTCTGGTGCCGACGCTGATCTGCATGCCAGCGGTAATCTTGCCGTAATGGATGGTCGCTGCACTGGCGAGGCAAAGAAGTACGAGGCGCTGAATGAGGAGGAAAACGCGGTTCGTCGTGACACCGCTGGATTTGATGACGCGGATCCGGATACGGACCTAGACACCAATACGGTCGTTGATTCCGGCTCTGATGATGACGGGGAGCTGTATGTCGCCGAGTCAACGCCATTGCGGTCGCTTACCGACGGGTCTGTATTGATGGTGGCGGCTGGCAGTGCACCGCCGGACTGGGCCGCAAGGGCGGAGGTATTCTTGCTGCTCACGCCCGAGCAGGAGGCTCGCGGTGACACGCAGGAAGGCGGAGGGGACTGGGAACACGACGCGGCGGGAGATGGGGTTGCAACCGATACGGAGGATGAAGGTGATGAAGAGGAGGAGGACGACATGGACGATGACGAGCCAGGAGACGACGGCGGCGACGGCCGTTCTGGCCTCACCACGGCGCAGCAGGGGCCGGCATATGTGGAGTTGCCGCAAAAGCGCTGTGTTGAGTCGGCTTCATGGGCCCAGACTGCGGGTCTTCCGGACGCATTCCCTACGGCCAGTGTGGAAGGCTCTAACCTGCAGGCGGAAAACCTAGCACGGTGAGTCAGGCTGTCGCTTAGCTCATGTGGCGGTTGGGAGAGGTCATTTTGACGGTCCCAGGTCTACGTTCGTTGTGAAGAGTGGCTGCACACTAAATGCCCGGACGCGTCTTGGTCTCGGTTGCAGGAATGCGCCATTCTAGGATATATGGCACACACACACATACACACACATGAACTTCCATGCAGTGTGCCCCTGCACATCACTTCGCCTTCCCTAACGCTCGGTCCGGTGCCTGCGGTACTTCATACATTCCCGGTCCGTTACCAGGTCTGATCCGTCCCGCCACCTCGGTCCTCAAGGGAGTGCTGCGACCACTGCTGCGACCACTGTGGCGGCAGTGGCCGCGGTGGCCATTCAGGGCATCGCCGCCACCGCCGCCGCTGCCAAGCCGCTTTCCAGGATCCCCAAACCTCCAGACAACTCGGGGATTGCGAGCCGCACATCTCGAGCTCACTCCCACCTACCCTCTGCCCCAACATCTCTAGCCAACCCTCCATCGATCTCCCGCGTCCTTTTGTTTGACTTTGAGGCTTCCGGGCAAGGACAGGCCGCCACCTCCAACCCAGCAACAGGCCCCCGCAGCGGCGGTGCCGTTAGGCGTGACTCGCCCTATGGCTTCCTACCGCTATCAGCCACGCGAGGGCAAACCTCGTCGCGGCAGCATGGCCCCATTTCCAGCCGCGTCAGCTTCGCCGGGTCCACAGCGTCCTCGGTGGCCTCCCTGGGCAGTGGATCAACCAGCAGCCGCTTGAGCGCCGTGTCAGCATCCGCGCAGTCCAAGGCCGGGAGGACGGTGCGCGCCTGGATGCCTGCAGGCAGCTCCAAACCTCCGCGTTCCTCATCCCCCTCCCAGGGAACCTTCAGCAGCGGCGCCTCGGGGTCTGCCGCGGCAGGGCTTGGCGCCAGTACCGGGATTCACACCGAAGCCAGCGGCGCTGCTGCCCGGGGGACCGGCTTGCGGCCGCCAATCGCACCATCAATAGGTCGAATTGCCGGTGCTGGAAGCGGTGTAAGCAGCAATGGTGCAGCAGCCAGCAGCACGATCAGTACCACTATCAACGACGCTGTCCCTGTGGCTGGCACAACGCGAGCCAAGGCGCTGGCGCGCAACTTTGAGCAGCGCACCACAGTGGTGGCAGCGCCACCGCCGCTACCGCCGGGCCGTGCCATGACCAGCGCTGCAGTCGCCATGCGCTCTCGCGCTGGCTCCGCCGCAGCTGCAGTCCTGACAGCCTCCCAGTCGGCACCCGCAGGCAACAAGGCTGTATCCATGCCGTCGCCAGAGGCCCAGGCGCAGACGGGTAAGACAGCAACACTGCGGACTCCAATGCTGTGGCCCGGTTCGGCGCCCATTCAGGCAAAGCAAGGGCCAGCACCGTCATCAGGGCCACAGCCAGCGGCGCCGGCGGCGTCCGCAATGTCCGCCACGCCAGCGGCAGCGGCAGCGACTGCTTCCAAGCAAGGACCAGGTGCATCAGCCGGGGTCCGCATGTCGGCGGTTAGTCCCGTGTTCCGGAGGGTGATGCGCAACAGTAATACTGGTGAAGACAGCGGCAGCGGGGATGAGGGTTTCGGCTCTCCGCACCTGCCGCCACCACCACACTCGGCTCGTGAGGGGACGAGCGCCAGCGCCTTCGGTGCCGGCCGCTTGATGAGGGGCACCTCACGCGCATCCGCGACCCATGTACCTGCCAGAGGCGAAGCTGAGAATCACAGTACCGCTGCTGCCTCCGTCTCAGCGCCGCCATCCGTTCGCACCAGCTGGACTGCTGCGCTTAGGAACGCGGCGCCGCCGTCACCGCTGTCAGTGGTGAAGCCAGCGTCTGAGGCCGCTGCAGTCCCCACAGGAAAATCGGCGGCATCTGTAAGGGTCCCGGAAACGGCAGCCCCTGAGGCAGCTGATCTTGCGCCTGCAGATGCCTCTGCACATGAGGCTGAGTTGGAGGCCGCGTCTCCTGAGAGCGACACGCAGTCCGGTTCTGTGGAGCAGCTAGGATCGGCGCGAAGCTCTCGGGGGTGCCCCCCATGCTACCGCCCCGCCGCGCACTTCGTTCCCCGTACGGTTGCCTGCACTGCCGCGGCAGCGGGTGCCGCAGCCGCGGGTGCCGCAGCCGCTGCTGTGCCCGCCCTCCAATACCAGCCCTCCGCAGCCACGAAGCGAAACCCGGATGGCGTCGTCGCGCGTGTGGCAGCGGAGCTGGAGCGCCGGGTGTCAGAGCGGCACCTGCCGTCCCTTCCGCCGTCGTCTTTGCCGCGAGACTCCTTGAACTCGCCTCTCTCCTCCATCGGCAGCGGCGGCGACTCTTCTCAGGTGACGGCGGCAGCCGGTACCCCCCTGCATTCAAGCCAATCCCGGCGGGTCCAGGACCTCATCCGCTCACACGATGTAGCGGCAGCCGCGAGCTCAGGGCCGCAGCCCCGCCTATCACGTGTCAGCTTCTACGCTGATACCGTTACAGGCGGCGCCAGCGATGAGTCACCGCCCGAGTGCACCACTTCCACGCCTGGGCGCTGCGATTCCACTGTTGACTCCGAAGAGGCCGCCCGTCTGCAGTCACCGGCGTCGGCATCTGCAGCGGCAGGGGGCCCTGAACAACAGCCAGGAAAGCAGCTGCCACAGAAGCAGCTGCAAAGTCGACCGCGCCATTGGACGCTGTCTGAGGAGGAGGAAGAGGAAGGGAGTCCGTCCACGCTGCCGCCGGTGATGCAGCCTATGGCAGGGACGCCGTGGGCGTCGCCGCCGCAGTGCCCGCAGCTGCCTTGCGCTGAAACGCCAGAGTCCCTCCCCGACTCGCTTCGGGAGCACCGAGGAGACCCTCAGGCGCCCTCTCCATTGGTGGGCTTTGAAGCGGCGGAGTCGCCGTTGCCTCAGCCACGGCCAGTGACAGTGATTTCGGAGCCATCCGCGGAGGTGCCGGTGGCATCTAGTTGCTCTGGCGCGCCACTGCCAACAGCGCAGGAGGCTGCTGGCCAGCACCAGGGAGGCAAGGAGGTTGGAAAGGACGCGGTAGCGCAGCAGCTGCAGCCGCCTCCCACCTCATCGCGGGCGCTCGTCGAGATGGATGGGGCCCCGCAGGCTGGGCAGCATGAAGCAGCGCTGCCCGCGCCGGTCAGGGAGCGGCCGGGTCAGGTAGGGCAACCGGCAGGGTTGGAACACAAATCAGCAGATGGGGGAGCTGATACAGCAGGCAGCAAGCCCGATGCAGTCGAAAGGGAGGGAGATCTGGTTCTGGAGCTGCGGAGCGAGGAAGTAGCTGCAGTGACGGTGGTTGGGGATGAGGCATTGGCAGGAATGGCGCACTCAGTGTGCCCAGCTGATGAGAAGGGTAGCGAGCCAACTTTGGCACAGCCAGGCATTGGGGAGGAGGAGGAGCAGAGCGAGGCTTCCTCGAGTATTGGTGGTGCGGACTGGGATCAGCTTAGCGAGGGTCAAGAGGAGGAGGAAGAAGATGAGGAGGTTGAGGAGCTGGGCGCTGCGGAGGATGTAGATGTCTTAGGGCGCGGTGAGATAGGAGAGGGCGCTGGCGACGGCGGTAGTGGCGGTGGTGGAAAGAACGCGGTAGCAAGCAACGCAAGTTGCGGGCGCAGAGGCGGAAGCGTGGGATCTGCCACGGCCGCCGTTGCAGATGAAGCTGCAGGTGCCTCCTCCGCTTCCCGCGGGTTATGTGAAGGGACGTGCGGTGAGATTGCGGGGTTGCTGGGTGCGAATGAGGATGACAATGCGGGTGTGGAGGATGGGGGCGCGGCGGTTAACGATGACGATGAAGCTGGCGACGACGATGATGATGGCGACTACAGTGACGATGACGATGGTGATGACGAAGACGTGGATGTTGCTGCGCTGTCGGAGGCGCTGAGCCGCGGCAGGCTCGGTCAGGCCAGGACCTCCCAGTCGCTGCATGGAATAGACTTCACCGCTGTCACAGCCGCTGCTGGTGCTGTCGCCCGGCAGCTTTCCTCTCTGGGAGCAGATTGCCCAAGCGCAGGTCAACCACGGGCTGGCACCGCGGGGCTAACAGGTTCCAGGGGTTCCACCACCGCTGCCTTCACCCGCTACCGAGAAATCTCCTCGGCACGAGCGGCAGCCACGGCAACGGCGGCCCGCGCCGCGGTCAGTGGCACCGTTGAGGCCTTGCCTCCGTCCTCCTCCAAGCTCAAAGGCCTATCTAAGGCGATCAGGACGCTACTCAAGGGTGGCAAGAAGGGGAAGAAAGACAAGCAGCGTCAGCACGGCGGCGCCTCATCGGTGGGCGACGGTGCCAGCAGTGCTTATTCCTGTTATGACGGTGCCAGCACATTTACGGGGATCTCGGAGGCGCTATCCGCGCTGGAGGGCCTGGCGGCGCTTGATGGATTCAGCATCGCTGCCACCAGTGACACTGGCGTGTCGCACGGGAGTGTGGCCACCGCACCGCCGGGCGGTGGCGGCAACGCTGCCAGTCTGGAGCGCAGGCGGCGGAAGAGCTTATGGAAGCGCATGAAACGGAAGTTGGGAAAGCTGATGGGCCTTATCCCGCGGTCGTGGGAGGCGGCGGAGCGGCATCAGGCCGCAGCGGTGGCTCTGGAGGCAGCACTGGTGGAGGCGCGGGTGGGGGCGGGACTGCAGCTGGGCGGCCGTCAGCCGCTGTGCCCGGCCCCAGTCGCCGCAAGGAGCCGGAAGTCAGGGCTGCATAAGGAGGAGCCTGCTGCTCGGCAGGGTTGACATAGGCGCAGAGAAGAGAGCGTTGAGTCCTGTGGCAGTTGGAAACGGTGAGTAGTGGTGTCGGCGGTGTGAGTGATGCAAGTGGGTTTGATTGCTGTTGGTGTTGGTGTGGATGAGCTGGATGTAGCTGAGTTTGCAATCGGTGTGAGCACGTGTTGTGGTGCCATCACGCCATTACACCGCTTGCCAGTTTCTTTGCAGCTTGCAAATTGGTGTGAAGTGGAAAAGCTCAAATCCTGCAGGATTTAGGTAAGCAAGGTGACCAGGCAGACGGATGATGGAATTGCCTTGTTCAGGTCTTCGCAAGGAGTTCGGAAAGAGCGCAGGGGTTTGGCAAAATGATGACATATGTGAAGTCAGGAAAAAAGCAGGAGAGAAGAAGGCAGGAGGTTGTCGGGAGCGCAGGAGGACAACAGGACAAAAAGGGGTGAAAGGAGAAGGCGGGTGGTAAGGTAAGGTCAGGACACAGGCGGCGGCCGCAAGGACAGGAGCGCATCAGGGTGGACATCAGGCGTTTTTAAGGTCCGCAGGACGATGGCAGGGCGAAGGCAGTGCACGAGCATCGGGGCAGCCATGCGGCGCGTCTGCTTGCGGATTGAGTTATGCGGTGTTCTCTCTGGCATGTACATGTGTTGTACGGGTGGCTTTCTACACGGCCATGGTTGGGCACACAAACCGGAATGTTCCTGAGGAGGCCGGGAAGGCGAATCGACAAGGCAGGATATGATGAAAATTGAGTTGTGGACAAGAGGGCAGCAATAACAATTAGTTCGGAACTCCTGCCCTTTTTTCCTGCGCATCAATACGTGAAGTTTTAGAAGCACGATAACACAGAATGTTGGCTTTTGCGTGCATTCCTTGTGTTCAAGAGTTTGACAGCCTTCGTCGGACGGTGCGTTTTGTTGTGACTTGAGTGTGAGGGCATAGTGAGGAAACTGGGTAGCGAGAAAAGCATCGATCCTTGTGCGGTGCGTACAGAAGTTCGAATCGATCGATTGAATGTTCACTAGTTGACTTGGCTTTCGGGACCCCTTGACTTTCGGACGAGGCGCATACTAACTGATTTGAGTATACTGAGACTTGAGTACATGTGCCCGCATGGGGCACGGCTTCAGGCTGTTTTGCCGCAGCCATGTAGCCGTCTTACCTGAACTGTTGTGTTTGGGTTTGTCACAATTTTGATCCTTTCCTTACATAGCTATACAGTGCGGCGTGTTTGCTTTGCGCTAATTGGCAGCATTGGTAGTTGCAACGCAAATCACGTGTGTTTCCGTCTTTCTGACCTCCATAAGAGGATGTCTTAGTTCCTGTTTTTTCGTCCAGTCTTGCGATTGCAACTTTTGTTTCATACCTACATAAATTGTCCTTACTACATAGCAAAAGGGTCCAAGCTGGCTTTTTTCATACTCCTTGGAGGGTGATGTTGGTTTGTTGTTGATAAGTTCTTTCGAGTTGCCTGCTTGTTGCCTCCAGCCTTCTCCAGCCCAATACAGGCCTTTTGTGGTGACGGAACAATCGCATTAACCACCAGCCTGAATTGTTAACAACTTGTTCGCGTGGGTTCCATCATCTGGCTCGCCAGGCCGCTACCTAGAGAGTCGGGTGCCTGGCTGCTGGCTGTACCCTCTCTCAACTGCTGGTATTTCCCTCAGCATCCGCTAAAACCAGTATCCAAAACCCAAAAACCAGACGGCGGGGACTGGTGACCCGCTCATAGCAAATTGCTGCAGTAGCCAAACGGAGCTCCATCGGGGATAAGATGTGGCATACGGGTGGCCAAAAGGAGCTCTCACCACCAGATGTATGGAATTGACAGTACGCGTTCAACAAATTACGCAGATCAGTTAGCTTCAGGTGTATGCAGCTGGTCATATAAATAAGATTGACTATGATTGGCCTTCTCGGACTCGATAAGGCTTTCACTACCCTTGATATACTTCTTCACCCTACCTTCAACCCTACCTGCTAACGACCTCCAACGAACTCATATGCGTTTGGCCTAAAAAATAAGACCATGGAAATTATATATTGTTTTTTATATATTATTTGCACTTCTTATTTGCTACTGTTCCGCGTTTGACTCGAAAAATTGAACCTGCAAACCGGAAAATGGCGAACGTCCCAGCTATGGACGCCGGGCCCGTAAAGCCCCCCTCATCACTTTTTGACGTTTATCAATGGCTCAGGCCGGCTCTGGATTCGCCCTCTCGCCGCGCATTTCGCCTCTGCAGCAACGCTGCGCGCGCGGCCCATGACCGTGAAGAGACCGCACTCCACGTCAGAAGTTACTATCCTGCGGAAGGATCTAAGCCGGAAAATGTTCTTATTACCGAGATGTGCAACGCGCTTGGCGGCATCCTGGCGCGGAGTTGCAGGCCGGACCAGCTCTTCCTGTGGCTGGAACCGCACGATATGGACGTCCATGTACGCGGGTGAGCGTCAAATGGCGCTAAAGCGGTCCATAAAAGCCCTCTTCCTCCCCTCTCCTCTAACCCCTTCCCCGTCACTCCAACCCTGCCACCTGCCCTTCCTCAGTGCCCCCCCTCACCCCACACTTCCCTTCACCGCGCAGCATGGCAGCGCTCGGCCTCTTCACCGCCTTGTCCGTTGAAAGCGTCACACAGCTGGCGGTGCAGCACTTCGACCTGGCCGCGCCAGCTGCGGCTGCGGCGGTGGCGGCCGCCGCACCGAGGCTAGCAGCGCTGCGCCTCGCTGGCTGCGCCCACCTGGATTCCTTGCCATCCGTAATCACCTCCACCCACGTCACGCTGCGCCGACTTTCCTTGGAGGGGTGCGGCACCTGGCCTGAGCAGCTGGGGAAGGCTCTGGCGGCATGTGCCGACTTGGAGCACCTCACGGTAATGCTGCTGCCCAACGGCGGCGGCGACGGCAGCGGTGACGCTGCAGCGGTCCCACCCATGATACCAGTTTGCGAGGCGCTCACTCGCCTCACACAACTCCGATCACTTTGTCTGGAGCTGCGGCTGCCTGCCTTCGAAGCCAATGCTGACGGGTCATATGATTTTGTGCCGTACGGTGAGAGTACGGTAGCCGCAGCCGCTGCACTGGCGCGAGGGTTTACCGCCCTGACGCGTCTGAGTCGTCTGGAGGTGGGCGACGGCGGGACGCAGCCGCATCCATCCTGGCGGCTGGAGCTACTCCACAACCTGGCGGGACTGCCGCGGCTGGAAGAGCTGACGTGGCGGCGGCTAGAGTGTGACCCCGAGGCCACTTTCGCACTGGCGTCGTCGTCATCCCTCACTTCGTTGAGCGTGGAGAAGTTCCGTACTGTGGCGCCGCTGGCAGCCGTTGCGCTGGCGGCCGCCGCCTGCGCGACAGCGGAGGTGCAGGCGGAGATGGCGACGCCTGCTGCGACCGCTACCGCCGCCGCGTCAGCTAAGCCGGGTGAACTGCCTTCGCCACGCGAGCTGGCGGCTGCCGCGGTTGCCGCGGTGGCGGCGGCAGCCAGCGCCGCAGAAGCAGGGCCTCCGAGGGTGGGAAGGCGCGCCGGCCCCGCTAACACCTCCCAACAGCAACAGCAACAGCTGAAGCTGCTACTGCTGCCTCTGCCACCACGGCTATGCAACCTGCGTGTGCGCTACAGCGGGCTGTCCGGTATGTCGCTGGCGGCCCTGGCGGCCCTGCAACTGCCCCCGTCCCTGACGTCCTTGGAGCTCCGAAACCCCAAGTTAGAGATTGGCGACGGCGACGTCGACCAGCCCGCCGCGGCCAGGCTGCTTCCGGAGGCGGCACTGGCGCTGGGCATGGGCCTCACTAAGCTCGCCGTCCATTGTCCGGATTTGCAGGTTTTAAGGATAATCAACGAGACGAGGCAACGCAACGCGCTTGCAGGTCCCGTGGGTTGGGCGGAAGCTGCTGGTGGCGGCGGCGGCCCAGCTGGCGGCGGCCACGCGCCGTGGTTGTCTAACCTGGGTAGGCTGCGGCAGCTTCGGCGGTTGAACTTGTGCGGGCTGAAGCTGGGCCGGATAGACGCGGAGGCGTTGGCTCGGCATGCAACAGCTCTGGAGGTAGGTTTAAGGGTTGGGTGTTTGAGTGTTAAGGGGTTTTAAAGGTTTGCGGGGAATTAGCGTCTACAGTTCTAGAAGGCACCGACAGCTCGCCGTGCTGCTGGAATGTAGAGCTCCCCTTTACTCAGCTCAGCGACCGCCACCCCGTGGTGAGGCGCTCATAGAAGAGGGCGAAATATAGCAAGTAAATATACGGTTAGACAGGAAGAGAGAAGACCGCGAGGAGGACATCTAACGGCTTTCCTTTGCCTCCTACTTAGGAAAGCAAATAAAAAGGAGCCACTGAGAAGCCTCCTTAACGCACTTTTTTAGCCTTGTCGCACTCTGCCTTTCGAGTCCCATCAGGAGCTGTTTTTGGTGCCGCTTGGGAGCGTGTCATCGGCTGCAGTGCCCGTGCTTCGGAAAATGGGGCTCAAGCGGCTATCGCTGCCGTACGATCGCCACGCCTAGGTGCGTTCCAGTCTTCTACGCCCTGCGCATACCTGACGATTGTGATGGAGTCGATCGTCGTTTTGCGTATAGCTCATGTTTCCATCTTTCCTTTCTTTCCTTCTGCTTCAGAAGCTCTGTTCTTACAGGGTGGTTAACTTCGCCAGCGGCCCCCTTTCCCGGGGCAGTCCCTGCTCTCCCCTGGTAGAGGGGCACCCTAATCCGTCACCCCATCCGACTTCAGAATGTACTCGTTGGGTTCGGCAACTCACCACCAGCATCCAACCAAATCTAGCGGATCAACGGCGCATCAACTTAGTTCCTGGTCAGCTCGCAAGCTCAGAAGCTGTCTTGCAGCTTTTCGACCACAGGCGCCCCGCATGTAATCTTCCATCATGATACATGCAGCAATTAACACAGTATTGCTGTTGTCATGGAATAGTTGCAACGCGTCAACTCTAAGTTTGTAGTTTGAGGGACCGTTATGCTGGATGCGTTCCTGAGCTTTCAACAAGCCAGTACCGGGGGCCTCCGAACGCAGGGAACTTTTATAAACGGAGCGGTCCAACGGCTACGTACCTTCCTGCCTACCTACCTGCCTACTTTTGCGGGCATTTTGTTGTTGGAGGCCCCTCACCGCGCACCCCGTGTTTTGACGTGGCAGTTGGAGCCCGACCAGAGGTGTCTTACACTCTAGCAGCGCAGCTAGCTCCAAGACCTAAAACTTGACCGCGTGCAGCGGCAACCTGTCCGACCTGCAGGTCGCCCTCTTGGCTGCAGGGCGGCGGCTGCTCTTAGAACCATCTGACACTAAAATATATGTTACTTTTGTAATTAATATACCTTTCACTGCAGCTGTGGTGGTGGGCAAGTGCCCTGGGTAGCTTGCTCTCCACATATCGTCTGCACACGCTTCAATGCTGCCCACACTCATCTACCTTCCATCTCCCATCACCGGCGACACTTATCACTTTCGGGCAGGTGCCCATTGAGTTCATGACCCTGCGCTGCCTGAGGCGGTTGGGCGGACCTGGGACTGGAATGCCGACACCTGCACAGTACGACCAGTCGGCTCTGGGGGTGTCGCTGCGCTGGCTGCACGATGAAGGCAGTCCTGGTGACTGTTGGCGGGAGGCCAATGCGCCGGGCGTAGCTGTGTTTGCGTGTAGTGAGAGTCTTCGACGGCTGCTAGGGTCGCCGCAGTTCTTGAGTCAGGCCGCTGAGAGTCAGAGCAGGCACAGCAGCAGCTGAGCTCAGTTGGGGTTGCATGTAAACGATTTCGTGGAGAGAAGAGCGACGTGGATATCTGGAGGCCGGTGGCGGTCATCATATGTGGGACTAGAGGACCGCTGGGTGGTATCTAATGACTCCTATCCATTAGCACCAGAGGCACCAGGGGGTGTATGTGCTAAGGCATCTGTCATGCGGGTATGGTTGACAGGAAAGCCATGTTTGCTTCTGGTTTGTTCACGTGCATCACCTTCCGTACGTACGCGGCCATACTACAGGTTTGGGCTATCTAACTGTGCACAGATTCACTCAACTGGAGAAAGTTTGTTCTTGGATAGAACACAATGGTTTTGCGGTTTGGCACTAAAACATCTGTGCAGATCGTTATTTCGCTCCGGAACCCATAATCCATGACAGGTGCTTGAAAAATTCCAGCCATCACAAACGCGAAAGGCATTTTAGCCTCCACAAAAGGCAACAACGGCACACAAGACCTATACACTCTAGGTTGAGCAGGACGCACTCCTATTGCTTCCCCCTCCTCCCCTCCAACAGAACCTGCAAGCGAAACCCTGTTAGCGACCGGAAATTGAACTATCTCGGCAGCGCTCTTCGTTAACCCTCCTACCGTTCATTGGGGTTTCACTGGACTTCTCCCGCCTACTCCCTTCCTTTCACCTAGTTGCGGACGCGTCCGGTAGAGGCGTGCATCTCTTGCGTGGTCTGAGTGACAGAGCCTGCTTGTCCAAAAGTAAATCGATCGCAGGGAGATCGATTTACTTCCGAAATTCAAGGGACAGCCCGTACGGAGCAGCTTCCCACAGTGTCGTCGGGACCACCGGGCCCGGGTGATTAGCGGTTGTCAGTCACGTGTCTTGCTGACCAGGGCACCATTGATATGATGCCCATATGCGTACGCATGAGCTTCGAGCGAGGGAAGCGGCGCTCGGGGTCAGGCTGTGGCTCCGTGTTGTCTATTGTGACACCATGGATGCCATACACCACACAGAAACATCCTTGTGACTATTTGTGAAAGTATGCGCGTTGGCGTGGGCGTCAAGAGGTGCAAACCGTAAGAAGCAATGACACCAGCGAATAACTTCATTTCGTTGTCAACTCCGCAAAGGTGCGCGGTAGGATCGCGCAACCAGGGAGCACGGAATATCTTGCCATGGAAAGTACTGTCATTGCCACGCGTACCAGCGTACGCTGCCAAGGCGAAACCGCACGCGCACGGGGTCCCTGCTTCCCCTCCCCCTCAAGTCACGTAATGGGACGAAACATGCGAGGAGGAGGGGCCAGGCCGTGGGATCACTCATGCACAAGGACGCAGACACATTAGCCCGTTGCTTCCGCGGTAGCAATGTTGGGTGCGCTAAGCATTCCCCCAACGCAGGTAAATGAAGTCACGGCACTACACTTCGATGCTGCCTCTAACGACAAACACACACACGGATGCACACATATTACATGCACACACCTCTACGTGACCATGCGCATGGGCAAGGAATTCGAGGCACGACACCAGGTAACTTCCACCTCACCAACTCGACCACTCCAAAACACACCACTGGCACCATTTCACAGCCCCACCACATCCTGCGCAACAAAACTGTTCGAAACACGGCCCCAGCGAAAAATGCCATCAACCCCCCTGCCTACCTTCCGGATAACCTTCGATCCTCCAGATTAACATCCCCCATTCCCGTCGGCACAAGCAACACTACCTTTCATGTTTACTGCCTGCACCGGCCGGGTCACGTCTCACATCGCTGTAGCTCAGCCTCTATGACTCGCTTCCCTGCAGTAGACACACATCCACGCATACATACCACTACAGTGTTTTAACCTTCCTCCTTCCCTCCCGCTCTTACGTGCTCTAAGACCACATGTTTAGTCGCGGGCAGAACCGCAACTGGATTGCCCCGTTCGCACCTGCTTTAGTTTGTACGTCACCTGGGCTTTATGAGGTGCTTTCGTTTTTTCGTTTCTTATGATGCGGGACTTACAGCACTCAGGCCCCTCGCTTTTTAATGTCGTGGACCTGGAAAAACAGGTGGGTTCACCTCAGGTGGGAAACACTCACGTGTATGGACACATACCCAAGCAAAGCGCTGCTCAGCACTAATGAAATCACACACAAGTTTCCTTTGTGTTGCGTTTGCATACTGTTGTTATTGATAAAACGCAAAACACAATACCGTGTTTGAAGGTCTGTTCAACGCCACTCGTGCGCTTCGCTTTCGGTATCCGGGATATTTTTCCTCCCGTGCCAAATGCAGCAGGCGGCGCTGCGCAGGGAAAGCTCTCCTGCTCCTGCTGCTGCTGGGAGATGGGGTGCTGACCTCGTTTGGCGCCAAGTGGCGAACATAGCGCCAATTCCACCGCCGAGAACAAAGGCTCTCTACCTCACACTGTATCCCTCCCTAATTCCTTGCAACAACCGCACCACCCGGGAGGAAAGCCCAAGGCTCACCAGGTGGAAGCCGGGGTGACAAGGACGCAAAGAGGATGGAAGGCGAAGGGGGAATCATATGCGAGAAACTCAAGAAATAAACTGCCGGCATGGGACGGAGGCGATGGGGAGGGGGCCCATGCGCCGGCGTGGGACGGAGGCCCGTGCGTGATCCGTAATATCAGAGGATCACGCCAAGGCGACCGCCCGTGCTGCCGTTGCCGCACTCGCTACTGCCGCCCCCACGCCCACGCCAGTAAGGGAATCTAAAAGTGGTAGGCAAAAGACTGAGAAAAAGTAGACGACCGCCCCGCTGAAAATGTAGCTGTCGAACCGGTCAAGCAGACCGCCATGGCCAGGAATCAGGTCGCCCGAGTCCTGGGTGTCGCACAGGGACGTACAGAGGGGCTTAGGAAATGAAATTCGAAGATTAGAAAACCATGCTCGCAGACTGCAAACAGTAAAGGCTAAAGCGCAGGGCGGAGGAGGTGACATGTTTACGACACACGCGGGGTCAGGTGCACGAGTCAGATGGACAAAAGCCAAGATGCCCCTAGCGGCCCCGAAATCAAAGGTAACGGTCCAGGGAACGGCGTGCCATGACAAACCGCAACTTCTTCTGCCGCCTGCGTTCTGCGGCCAATGCTCCTTTCCTTCCCTGCTTCACGCGTGCCCGCCTCTCCCCCGGTGCCCCACCCACCTTCATGCCCGCATCTCGTTTCATGATCGATTCGATCAAATCCCCGAATAACGACGAGAAGAACACGGAAACCTGAAACAGCGTGCAATTGGGTTTCATCCATTAGATTAATCCGCCGGCGGGGAGGAAAAGACAGATGTGCCGCACAAAACGAATATGTGGCGGGGGGCCGCTACAGAATAGCGAGGTAAAACGGCGGCGCGGTATAATAATTCCATTCAAGGTGGCGCCGGCCATATGAGGGCGGGCACTCATGGCCACTCCCACCCCACGCTTTCCAAATGCCCATAGCGACTTCGTGATTTGTGTTATGTTACGTGGTAGCGGATCGGGAGCCCCATGTCGGGTCTAAACGAGCCAAACGCCCACAGACACATGCTAAGGAAAGTTCGACGAAGGAGGAAAAAAGAGGAAACGCCGAAGGAAATAACTTATCGCACGCAACTTATAACAGAGGCCAACATGCATACAAGACCCAATCTGCATAAATACATGTGTACGCCTCCCCCAACATGAAGCGATCCATCACTGCCGTCCCGCCACTTCACACGCGCTCACCCCAAGCGCCACCGCTCCCAGTGGTGTTGACGGCCATGCGAACACCGCCCAGGAGCCTAGCGCTACAGCCACCGCGGCAGCCATGCCGCCGGCCGCCCCCTCCACCGTCTTCTTGGGGCTGATGTCCGTCAGCTTGGTTCGCCCCATGGCCTTGCCGACGAAGTACGCCCCCGTGTCCGCCGCAATGATAACCGCCACCGCCGTCAGCACCGCCACCATACCCACAGTGGTTGGCCACCCGGTGATAGAGCTCAAAAGAACCTATGCAAGAAGCATGGCGGCCATGCGCGCGGGTGCCCGTGGGGTGGTCATTGCGCCGGTGCGAGGGACGTGGGCGGTGGAGGTAACAAGCAATTCAGGAACCTAAAAGCCGCGCCAATCGAGACTTGAATAACGTCACAATGGTGCATCTGGTGGTAGTGGCGGTGCGGCGGGGGACTATAAAGGTAGCCTGTCCTAAGTCTCCGGACATTTTAGGAAGTTGTGCCACGAGGAGTGTTCAGGAGGGCATGAAAAAGGCAGAAGCATCGTGAGTTTATAAAGTCCCTGTGCCGGTCTGAGTCACTTATTGATGACCCCCAGGCCAAGGACCTGTCCGTCAAAAAGCCATGAGGATGGAACCCCCTATGTAGCGCCGTCTCACTCGACAACTCCAAAACATTACGGTGCAGATCCTCATGGACCTTTCTCCCCGGTTAGTGTTCAATGTCACGGCCCGGACTCACCGCAAGTGGTGTGTCGGGGGCCGGCGCCGAGAGGGCTCTAAGCTTAAGCCAGAAGCTTGGCAACCACCCTTCATGTCGTAAGACATCGAGCAGACGCATCCCACAGCCATGCGGCCAAAGCCAACAAGAGCGAGCAAGGGACAAGCAATTTACTCAAGTTGGGCCGTATGAAGCAGGCTACATGGCACCTTTCGTTCCCAACACTGACACCGGAGGTTCAAGGCTACAAAACGGGCAACTCACAGATACGACCTGCATCCTGCAGGACAAAAGCAGGGCAACCGCGTTGATATGTCTCATGCACTTTTAGCCGCATCCGGCCGCAAATGTGGGGCGCGGAATATGAGTCACCTTGTGGGGATGAACCTGCGTTAGACCATAGTGTACCACCCAGTGCCTCCCCCCTTGCTCTGATGGCAGCTGATTGGCATCTCCCAAGGCACATCTCCCACAATGATTCGCACAGCACTCATAAGAGACTGCTGCTGCTACAACCACGCAAGTCTCCACTGCCGCAGCTGGCGCTGCCGTCGCCGCTGCCTCCCCATAGCTGGTGCCGCCAGTGCCGCAGGGGCCGCAGCAACTACTACTTTGTTGCTGCATCCGGTGTTCCGGACTCCAGCTTGCTTATCACACAGCACTAAGGCCATGCAGTGCGGCCTTCAAATCCTTGGATGTTCAGCGCTCGACAGCTCATCAGTGAACAGGACGCTGGCTGCTTCGTTGTGTTCCGCATTGGAAATAACGTTTCAAATCACCACCAAAACTCCAAGGCTAGTTGGCTCCCGCCCCCGGCACGTGCAGCCCCTGGCCAACAAATGTCTGCACGGCTAACTGCCATACGGTCCACGGTTGATCGGCCCACAGGCCCGTGCATGACCAAGATGTCAACACATGAGATGATGCAAACCCTGCCGAGGCCCCTCCAAGATGTTGGCCGTTTGCGCTCACCGCAATAGAATAGCCCAAACAAGGACGACGCCAGCTGTGCAAACTTTGGACGCTTGTTGACCACAACTTGAATTACGAGCAGTAAGAAGGCCGCGACGGCCAACACGGTGCCGCTCTTGCCACGGTAGAAGTGGCTAAGGACTGTGATGCCCACGCACATTGCAGTTGTAGCTGCGTTGACGAGCGGTGGCGGAGGCGGCATACCCTTCGACATCTGCTTCGACGACATAAAGCCAAAATATTCGCGTGACGCTTGGTACGCGACGAAAACCAAGAGCGCCAGCATGAGGAGCTTCCCATATAAGATGACCACCGCCCCAGCCAGCCCCAGGACGAACCCAAAAAAGACTCGATTTGCAAATTCGCGTGCTTTCTGAACTCCTGTTTTAGATTGTGCGGGTGGAAGCTCCTCGACTGACTCGAGCGAGTTTGTCGATGCAACGATTTCGCCAGGCGGCAACGGACTGACGGCTGCGCCATCGCTGGGGCTTGAAGATGCAGTGACCAGTCGGATGCGGCTTGCGAGATACCAAATGCTCGTTAGCTTTTCAGCTGAACGAAGCACGTCAGCAGGTTGCCGGCTCCACGGCCTCCTGCTGACTCGACACCTGCTTAGCGCTAACGCTGTGGAGGATTGACTATATGACGTGCATGGATTGCAAGGTTGCCGTATGTTAGCCATAGGTGCTCACTAGAATAGCGTCAACAGCGCACACTTCGGCAATTAATAAATAACTGCAAGACCGCTGGAACCTTAATGCATGTTGACACTTTGCAGGCAAAAGATCCATTACGAGCTAAGTCCATGTAGAGTCACAGATCTAGGGACTCTTGCGCAAGAGGCTTTTTGCAAAGCAAAACACCCGCGTACGGTCCGTACGTCACCGTTTAGCCGACTTGTGCGCCCAGAGCAACAACGTTCTCTCTCTTTGGACGTTTCCCTTCCCCACGCCGCTGCCTTTAAACTTCGTGTGGCAAGGTAGGCTAATACGAAGGCCGTTTTTTCCCGTGTCGGCGCAGTCTTTCTTATTAGCTACGTTCACTGGCCGCGCAGATGGCGAAGGAGAAGAGCCGCAGCAAGGAGCAGGTGACTCGTGAGTACACCATTCACCTCTCCAAGCGGCTGCATAAGACCAGCTTTAAGAAATGCGCTCCTAAGGCTGTTAAGGAGATACGCAAGTTTGCTGCCAAGGTAATGGGCACATCAGACGTGCGCCTGGACGTTAAGCTGAACAAGGCTGTTTGGGCCAAGGGCATCAAGAATGTGCCCACCCGTCTGCGCATAGTCATCAGCAGGCGGCGCAATGACGACGAGGACGCCAAGGTATGTTCCTGGCCATAGCTTGTAACAAGTTAAAGAGTTTTGTTAAGGAAGCATTATTGGGCTAGATTGCAATTTGTTGGGCTGTGGCGGTAGCCTTCAGTACAGAAAGAGACTTTTGACGGCCTGAGGTCGCTGGGGAAGGATAGTCCTACGTCTAAGTCCTGTCAGAACTCTTGCGCAACATGGGAAAGCCGTGTCGTTATCCATGAGCCTTGTTTTGCAGGCGGAGCGCGTTGCCAACAGTTGCAAATTGGCCATCTGCCACTGTCATTTTGATTGCTTGCTGCAGGAGGAGATGTACTCCTTTGTGACCGTTGCGGATGACCAGTCGACGAAGGGCAAGGGCACGGTTGTCGTCCAGGACGATTAGGCTTGCAAACCGTGTAACGAGTGAAACGCGGAACCTGCTGTCCCTCGTCTAGATTTCTTTTGGGGATGCAGCCGTCGGCATATGTCAGCGGGGAAGCAAAATCCGTTCTGAGCGCTGTTGTTCGCTAAGAATACCATGGGCGTGCCAGCGGTTGTACTGCATGTCTGAGTGAACCAGAGTTTGGGCTAAAAACATGATGGCTTGCAGCCTGTCCAGGTGAACAGTGATGCCTAGCGGTGGGGGGATGGCAGGCTTCTTTTGGACATCGGTTGTGTCCGGTTGCATCAAGGTAGACTATGCGGGGCATGTGAAAGGTTAATTTCGTCTTTGCGAGCACGCACACGGCAAAAAAGTGGACCCTTCATAAAAGATTGCTCAACATAAGCTCCGGGCAGTCGCATTGCCTTAGCATTGGAACGCTAGTCCATTCCGCAGCACAATACCCTACCATTGTCAACAGACGTTCACGTTAACTATGTAGCATGGCTGTCTGTCGGGTTATACAACGAGAAGGACCTTTGAACTGATATCGTTCGCGTCTTGATATAATCGGGTTTTACAGAGCACAGCATCCAACCAGCAACACCCACCATTTAGGAATAGGCTTTCGCATCCCAGGCAAATTAACCAAATAAGGATTTAAAATCCGCGGTAAGCGAAGGGTCAATCTTTTGAACCACTGACCGCCATGAGATTTTTTTGATTGATTGTGTTCCAAAACTTTCTATTTAGGTACCGGCCTGAGGCGGCATTCTATCAACCAGGCGAAATCCAAAACAATACATAGGGAATGCAGAAATTACCCGCCGCTTGAAGGACTACACGAGGACTCAGCCGTTGTCACGCCCATGCATGAAGTACGACATCCGCCTTTCAGATCAAAAGCTGCATAACCATTACTCCGCTACTAGAGTTAAACCCCCAAAAACGTTTTACCGTACTCGCAGCAAGCTATCATACGTTCACGCATTTGTAATGCGCGAACAACGCACATATATCCAAAATATCCTCATTTTATTCGACGGTTAAGAACCCTCCAGTCCGGGAAAGGCTGCTGGCTCGCCATCAAGTACTGCAAGCCACAGGATATCAGCAAGCCACCTACCAAGCCACAGGATATCACAACAACATCGCCGGACAGCCCGGTATCCCTGTTTAGCTTTAACCATGCAAGCCACCTGAGCAGCAAGTTTTCCTGCCAGGCTTACAGACAAGGAGCGCCCTTCACAGAATGCTCAGGCAGCGGAATTCAATATTGGCAAATCGAGGGCAAGGGCTCTATAAGAGTGATGCTGAAGTCAAGGCCAGATAGACACGGCCAGCACGGAAGATAGGACAGCCATGTACAGACGGGAACCGGGACCTCATGGTTTCATTTGGATAGTACAACTTCAACTCACAGGGCCCGCACGCGGCACAGAAGTCTCCGCAAACCGCAATACACGTGACCAAAACGGCGTTGAACAGAACCGGCCATTCACTATTGTGGCCTTCTGTTCATTCGTATAGGGCAGGCCATACCTTTGCAACAAATGAAGACTAAGACAAGGGAACTCTTCATTCGCTAAATGCTGCTGCAAGGCCTTCGACCAGCCAGAACACCAGTCGCAGCCGTTGCTGCTGCTGCTGCCCTGGCGACCCGTCCGATCACTGACCCGCAGCAGCGTCAGTTTGTCCATGCACTTGATACCTTGACCATCCGTCGGTTAGCCTCATCGAGTTAGACACGCGCTCCCTAAAAGGCAGCTGCAGGATATGCCGTTCGTAGAAGTGCAGAACACCAGACGTCGTGACACCCGACCTAACCTTACCATATATATGTATACGCACTCCACTGAACCAACGCCACAACGAGCCCCGGTTGGTCACTCTCCTCCCCCTCACATGAAGCCCTGTCCCAGTCGGGCTTGCGATGACTGCTCGTCCCCGACATCCAGGCCCCGTAGGCGAGTATAGTTGGTGGCGAACACTTTGCGCTTATCCACACGCTTTTGGCGGTACACATCCAGCAGGTGCGTTGCACCCGCGTAGTCGCGAATCCACGTGTCCACGCGACGTTCGTGCAAGTCGTCAATCTGTGTCGGAAATACAACATATATACATACATTCTTACGAGACATGCGGCATGGTCTTGACATTGGCGGTCCGTGCCCTACACTCTTCACGCATTTTATTGCTTTCCGCTCACGCCGCAGAGGCGGCGGTTGGCCCAGGCGATGGTGCCGGGGGTGTTGGAGGTGGTTGAAGCGGCATACCTTAATGATTGCGTGGATGAGTCCCATTGCATCCGCCTTGGGGTGTGCGGTGCCGACCTTGCAGGTGAGTACCAGGCAGCCCGGCTGCGACATGCTGAAGCGGCAGATGAAGGTGCCAGCCGGCTCGTTAGCCAGCGCCGTGATGGTGCCGGCGCGATCCATGTCGAAGCCGCTGATGACCACCGGGTCCTCGAGAGTCCATACGCTGGCCACCTGGAAGGAGGAAGAAACATGTGCGCGATATTTAGAGTACAATATAATACGATACGTAATAGAAAATACAACAGTAATGAAATCATGTACATGATATAGCGAATACATGGAGTCGTGCCTACTGTCCTCCACTCTCAAGGGACACTATACCATTGCCGTCTGCCATCCCCTCGTCATGTCGTTCTCGCTGCTCAGTTGATTAAGGTATTACTCGTGTGAGCGCACGTGCAACAATTTCTTTCTATTCTAAGTTAGGACCAGCACGCGCACGGATGTCCCTGCCTTTGCAATTGCCCTCGCATACCCTCTCAAATCTTCCGAACAACGCCTTCTAAATCCCGCTGCTGCTGCTGCACCGCTAAAATCCCTTGATTTTATTTCCTTGTTCACAGGTCAGCAGTCAGCATTCCACACTCGCTCACCGGAACGGCTCCTTGTGCCGGTGGGGCCCCCACCCGCCTTGTTTCCCCTCGCATTGCACGCGCAGTTGATGCATGCCCCCCGCCGTATCCCACCGGAGCAAGCCCAGTGATTCATCCTGGCCTAAATCAACCACCCACCCCACCAAGTTTAACCAGCCGCCCTCCACCCGCCCAGTCACCCCTGAGCATTACAAGCTAAAGGTTATCCTGCTCAGACAACCCGCTCTTTATTACGCATCAGCCGCGTGCCCCTACCCTACCTGCTGCAGCGTGTTGACGATGGAGCGGAACTGGCTGGAGAACTCGTCCCACTGCTGCGGCGATATGGTATCATGCTCTCTGTTGGAGTCCATGGGGAAGCCCGCTTGGGAGAGTAGCGCCTGTGCGTGTGTTTGCGGGTGCGAGGGGCGGTCCAGGGGTGGGGTAAGACGAACCACTGGCGAGTGAAGTAGCAGGGGAGCCAGTAAGCTTCAATGTTCAACGAGAGTGATGGCGGTTGTGGTACTGCGGTCCGAGGGTAGCCCGCACAACCCGGGATGGTTCCTCCTTCATTTTGTAATGCACCCGAGGGTTTGACCCCGCATATGCAAACACACATGCTGTTATGGCATCTTTCAGCGGGCATAAGTCCCACCAGGACTCCTGAACTATGTGTCCATTCAAATTCCATGGGATCCCGAAGCCTTCAACTGGCATAGCCCCGTGCTTGCTTGGCGTCCTCACCAACCTGCATATCCATGTGGGTCAGCCGGCGGTGCAGGCCCGTACTGTCGTACACCTCATTGATGAAGTCCCGCATGGCCATCCGGGAGTGAGGGGCGGGCAGCAGCATGTCCACGTCACTCGACGTAAGGCCCATGAAGCCCTGGTACGGTGGTAGCTCATGGGGCTGCACCGGCTGGAAGCGGTAGTTGTCGTCGTCCTTCTGTCGGGCAACAGGCGGCAACCGACCCGCGGGCCGGCACGGGGCGGACTTCAACCCAGGAAGGGATAAGACCCCCACCCAAGCGAATCCCAGACGCGACACGCAACAGGAGAAGACGAGCAACAGGACATGGATGCGGTACGCTGCCAATTTTGCGGAGTAGGAGGCCGCAAACGCACATATAGAAGTGATTTTATAATTAAATTGCCACGGTCGCACACAGGATGCACATGCACACTGATGCTGTACTGTTTGTTGGTCCGTACTACCTGCCGTCACGTACACGGCAGCGTCCTCACCGGGCCCTGATCGCGCTTGCGGCTGTTGTTGCCCATGCACAGCATGTTCAGCTCGATACCACCATGGGCCGCAGGGCCGAAGCCGCCGGGGCCCATGCCGCTCATCCCGCCGTTCATCGGGAGGCCGTTGCCGCCGCCAGCAGACATGGCGGCGCCGCCACCGCTCATGCCAGAACCCAAGCCGCCACCGCCGCCGCTGATGCCGCTGGCACCAAAGAAGAAGTCGGGACCGCCCGTGCCCCGCAAATCACAGGCCATCCCGCCGCCGTGGCCCATGCCAAAAGTCATGTTGCCAGGCATCATCCTGCCACCAAGCGTGCCGCCGCTGCTCCCTGCCATGGGGCCGCCGCCGCCGCCGCCGGCACCACCATTCCCTGCCATTCCGTTCAGATCCATGACACCGCCGCTGGGCATCATGCCGGCGGGGCCGGACAGAGAAGGGTGCGGGGACAGGAACCCCCCGGTTAAGCTCCCGCTGCCACCAACCCCCAACATGCCCTGCGGGCCCGGAAAGCCGCCGCCGCCGCCTCCGACATTGCCCATCCCACCAGCTTGCAGCCCTGGCCCACCCACCATCCCCACGCAGACCTCAACCAATCGCTGCTGCTGCTGTGGGTGCTGTTGCTGTTGCTGCTGCGAGTTGGGGTGCAGGTCCAGGCCTGAAGGCATGCGAGGATAGTCGCTTTCCGTTGAGAGATGCTGCCCAGGCAACCTGTCGGAGCTATGCCGCGTAGGCATCACGCCGAATTTCATGATGCCGCCGCTGCCGCCGCCTCCGGGCCCCAGGGACAGCCCAACCGACACTCCAGATGGTGGCGAAGGACTCGGACACGGCTGCTGCTGCTGCAGCTGCTGTCCTGCAGGAAAGCCCTGCAACTCCTGTCCCATACTGCCAGAGTGGTGATGTTGGTGATGTTGCTGCTGCTGTTGCTGCTGCAGCGGTGATAGCTGCTGCGTCTGCGGTGGTCCCTTGCCTGCCTGCACGGGCATCCTTCCCGGGGCTGGTGGCGGCGCGTACCGGCCCCCCTGCGCCGGCGGCAACGGGTTGGACTCCAGCGTCTGTCCCCTGAGGCCACCGTCGCTGGAGGTGAGGAAGGGCGACGATGCCGTGCCGCCGCTGCCGTTATGGCCGCCGCCCACCGCCGCCATCACGTCCAGACGGTCGCGGTCCAGGCGGTCGCCGGCGCCCTGGTCAAAGTGCGACAGAAGCCGATAGTCGATGTGCAGCTTCTTGCAGGCCTTTTCACGTTGCTCGGCGCGACAGATGCCGATGGTGGGTACATTGAACACAACGAACAGCAAGTCGGTGTCCAGAATGGAGGCGGTGAAGGCTATGTAGACCTTGTTCATGCGGGTCGGCTTGAGGAACTCCAAATTGGTGAACTCAAAGTCCTGCGGTGGGTCATGTACCAGGGGATGTACATGTAACACCGCGCCCGGTATTCACTTCCCAGAAGCCAGATCGGGGCCCGTGAGACACCATACACGGGGGGAAGAACGAACCATTGGCGAATGAAGCAGATAGATACCGCAAGAACATTTACTGACCGGCAATGAGGTCGTGGGGGTTTAGTAATCTCCCCATTAGCACTAATTTGGGCATATTTCGCCTCCAAGGCACGATGTGGCATCGGGTATGGCATCCGAGCATACTGCCCCAGCCCCCCAGTGCTCCAATCTTTGTACAGATTCAGGTTCTAATTATAACTCATGGCCGCCTCATCAATCAGAGTTGCATCCACATCACGCCCCAAAGGACATAAAGCATAGTTAACACTTCCACGCAGCCATGCACACAGCCGCACACACCAACACACCTGCACCGCCGCTATAATGTTACTACCTCCTTGTAGAACAACACTGGCTGTGTCACTGCCACAGCCATCCGCATTGCCAGAGGTTCTCTCATGCTGCTGACGCTGGCTCTGCTCTTCCTGCCGCTGCTGCAGCTGCCGTTGCATTTCGTGAATCAACTGCCCGCCGATGCCGCCGGCTGGAGCAGCCGGCGCCTCCAGCGCCCCGCCCCCGTGAATCGGCGAAGACCGGCGCTGCAGGGGGTACTGCAGCGGCTGCTGCTGCTGCATCAGCATCTCCACGGTAACATCAAAGGAGTCCCGCGGTTCACCCGTACCCAGCCGCGCGCCATTGCCGGCCATTGCCAGCCCATTGCCAGTAGAGCTCATGCGACCACTGGAGGCCAACGTGACAACCGGGTCGGGCCGGTTCGCCGCAAAGAGGCTGTTCAGAGGTCCGATGGGGTCACGGCCAGCGGCGGCAGCGCTGCCGCCGCTTGTGAGTCCGTGCTGCCTTCCCGCCGGTCCCATGTCCCGAATCATACCGTTGACCGTTAGACCCGCGGATTCCATCAAGCCGTACGGCTCCAGTACGTTGTGTTGGTCGGGTTGCAGGCCGGAGAGGGTGCGGACACCGGCGCTGCTGTTGCCGCCAAGCCCGTCGGGGTTGAAGCTGCTGCTGACGCCACCAGCGCCGCCGCCACCAGCACCGCCGCCGGCTGCGTCACCGGAGAAACTGAATGAGGATGGCTCGAGTTTCACTGAGAGGCGGTCGGTGCTCCGCAGGGAGCTGCTGTACACCAGAGCCGTGGAGCCGCCATTTGCGCTCTGAGGCAAGCTCTGGCCGTCCTTGCCGCCGATGCCTACAGCCCGCGTCTCACCGTTGGCGGCGGCCTAAAGACCGGGGGAAACCAGCATTAGCCGGGAGGGCAGCAGCTCGGTAAGAAAAGGAAGACCGCTATTCGGGGTTGGCAGGTTGTCTGGAACGTCATCATGTAACGTGGATATGGAGGTCATGCGACCCTTAACAGCTGGCAACCACATGCATATTTTATGCTTCCCGAATGGGCCTCGTCCTAGGCGGACTGGTATGACGACAAGGGAAACACCCCCAGTCTTGACTCGTACCTCCAGCGTGCATCGGATGTAAGAGGTACCCTTGAGCTCCGTAACAGCTTTCTACAGAGCGATTCAGGGTAAGGATGCAGACGCAGAACATTAGAGATAATAAAACTAGATGAAAAAGTGCAAGACCATGGGGCTCCGTCAGGACTCTGTAGCATGGGCGGGTGGTAACTGCGGCGACAGCTCTTGCAGACGATGTTGTACGGAAATTGGTGCAACGTGCCAGGATCTCACCCCGGTCTCAAAACTACTTGCTCCCTACCTGTACCTTGTCATCTCGACCGTTAATATCATCGGGCGGCAGCCAGGAGGTGATCTGCTCCTTGTCCTGCTGCGAAAGGACGTGCGCGCGCAGTGTGACCGGAAGCCACAAAGCACCGTGGTGCTGCACCTCCAGTCGGACTTTAAAGCAGGGAAGAAGGCGCCTGTCCAGACATGCGAAGTTTCCATTGGTTCGGGTGGATTCAGATGCGCGGACTTTGGCCAGGTAAGCTCGTAATCACGATTACCTGTCCTGCTTGACCGGAAGCGCAAACTCAGCTGGCGCCTCAATGATGCGCATATTAATAGCATCAGGTAGGTTGTGTTGCCGCAGTATGGGGTGGTCGTTGACGCCCAGGCTGTGCAAGTTGCGGCGACAACATTCGGCATTCCAGCCCCGGGCTTGGGCAGTCTCGGAAGATGAATAACGCACGTATGTTGTTTGCCATCTGTCCACATCTGCGACGAGTCATATCCATGCAGTGTAAGGGAAACTGCCACAGGAGAAGGAACCTCCGTCCAAGGTGCAGTTAACCTCTACTCTGCCTATGCCTACGCCGAAAGTTTTGGAACACACTCAATTCGAACTATGTGTTACTAAATAGAAGTCAGTCAAGAAATTCCGGGCAACATCCCGCATCTTAGCTTTATGCAAAAGTTACAGCTTCCTACTGTTCCCGCAAATCACTCCGCACCTGGAGGTAACACTCACGAACTCTTCAATGGATTGACTTAACTTTACAGGCAGCGAATGTGGGCTCACCTGGAAACGGTTCCCGGCGTGCCGCCAGACCTGGGAACTCTTGCGAGAACCAGGCTGGTCCGAGGCCGGTGCCCATGACAGCCCGGCCCTAGAGGCTCAATTCGCAGTGATCACGGTTTGGGCCAATGAACTTTGGTTCTAGGTTCTTGCTCTTAGTGAGAACTTCTCGAGACAGATTGGCACCAGAGCGCATCCACTTCAAACATCTCGTTCACCATATAGGCGCAACCACGTACATTGTAAGCATGACGAACAATTTGAGGTACCACAGATGAAGCTGCATTGTCGCACATTCTTTTGTACGGGACCAACTCCCCTGACCCATGTTCCGTTTCCTTGAGGACGAAACGATGACCGGCGACTACTGTACATACGGAACCCCATACACGTGTTTTATCTTCATGACAGAGGCTCGGAGCAGGAACTCTGTATGTATACCGTCCGCGCCTTTTCACAAAATTCATGCTTGTATTGCTAAAACTCCAACATGGAATGTTCAACACCTCTGCAACTCAACATCTTATTACAGTACCCATATTCCGTCCACACTTTTATATGCAACTAGCGGTTGGTCTGACTGACGTCGGACAGGCTGCGGGAATGCAAGAAGTTAGAAACCTTTATTTGAATGACGTGTTTCATGAAGCCCAGCTTTGTATCTCCGGCGTCCGGCCCAGACTCACGTGCACGGCGCAACGCAGGGCTGCGGCGACAGTTGACGTGTCCTCAACAAGGACTCTGCACTGTACATTGCTATCGTTATTTTGTCGAGTACCTCTCCATAAGCCCATGAAGATTCTCTGTATCCTCCGTTGCCTTCGCTTAGCCTGCTGCAGAGGCCCGGCAGCAGCTCTTTCAGCCAACCAACGCGGCTGCCCCTCGCCATCTCGCCATCAGCATTGGTGGTCGCAAAGCCTTCTCCATAGAACCGCGTAGGTTAAGGTGGATCCATGTTTTGTGTAAACGAGCCAGTCCAATCGCAGAGGACATGAAAGGTTATATGTAAGGTATGTCCGAACAGTTGTGACCTAGCGGGCAGTTCCGGCAACATCCCAAGGCACTCATGCTACGTGGATGTGTATGGCGATATTAGGCTGCCTTCTTATCAGCCTATGTGTTTGGCATCGAGGTGGCGCAAGGCCCTAAATATGCGGCTTCTCCCAAATTGCTTGCAGACAACGAACTCGGGCTGAGGGTGAAAAAGGCCCAGAGCGGGAAGAAAAATACGCATAATCTCTCGTGGAACGAATGTGCAGTCCTGCAGGCGAATACCTTTCTTTCTTGGATTGGATAACGTGCGCGTAGAAATGTGTATTCACCGCATGCAGAGACGCAGGACGGCAGGCAGACTGGCACCAATCCCAGGGCTCCGGCCCCATTGATTCGCAAAAAGAGGTGTTGTATGGGAAGGCACCCCGGGTAATTCACGATAGTAGCCAATGGGTCGAGAATAGATCTTATCCATCTAGCAGGGGCCCAGGTAGCCGGATATTGCCGAACCTGCTGCCCCCTCTAGCTCGTTGCTGATGCATGCCACAACAGTCAGGAGCCATTATCAATCCGTGGCAGCCGTGTGCGAGCAAAGCAGATTTCTCTAGCACGGATGGCTGCCTTAAACGCGGGACAATATTGCAACAGTCTGCACGGTAGCTGCTAATCGTCCAGGAAAACAAGGGACTAGCCATTTGGCAAATTCGGTATCACATGTTGTACTGCCCGTACAGGTGAATCCTAGTATTCATCTTTGACGCTTTAATTAATGTCGCATTGCACTGTATGTGAACATCGTCCCTTGTTCTCTAACCTAGGGCTGCACGTAGAGTATAAGTCCTCTAAAAGCCCAATGGCGCATGGTTCATGGTCCATCATGTATCACCCTGTATTCGGCTTTAACTCCCATGGGGTCAAAAATCGCTTCCCCGCAAAAGGCTGGTACACACGAAGCATGCCATTAGGGAAGTGTACAGATTACACGTCAGAACCCCACGTCAGAACTAGCTTAAAAGTCGTGTTCCTTGCCCGCCTCACAAATGAGAAGCGATTTCGTTATCACACACATGTCAACGAGTCCCTCGACGAGTCCCTTGACGAATTCATTTACACACGGGCTAAAACAGATGGATCCCGTGGAAAGCAGGTGGGGGCGGAACGCTTACAGCTCCATCGTTCAGCGCTCAAGCAAACCGAAGCTTACATAGTTTGGACTGGGGAACTATGGCAAATGAAAGCATCCAGGATTAGAGTGCCATAAAACCCTCCGTGCCCTATTGCGCATGCTAGGCTTGGTGTTGGCAACTCGATTGGCCAAGGGGTTACACGGGCCTGGCGACCCGACGCAGACGCATACAAAGCACCCTTCCGGTTGCTACCATACGTAAAACTGCTAATCTCTCACTATCCCATTCAACGAAGTATTTGCACTGTCAGAAGCACATTTGGATGAGCTGATGCAAGGTTGGAGGCACCCGTACAGGCGTACGAAATCTAGGTGTATTGGCCCTTCCTTTACAATATACTGGTTAAGACGTCGTATATTTAAATTTCGGGTCCTGATCTTTTTGAAACAAGATTTCGTGTTGAGTCTGTCTCTGCATTATCGCTCTTGACAGAAAATGCTTTTACATTTAAAGACCCCTGGCTCAAAACTGCATGGTCAGAGACGGCAGTGCGCTGTTTCTCAGTGCATCCGTAGCCAACCAGCGCCCATTACTCGCCGAGCAGGTTTGCTGGGAGGGCTGTCGATTTTGTTCTTGGGATTGCCGCACAAAACGAGAGCGGAGGCGCCGATCCAGGTAATTGCTTGCTGTATTTCTTAAGTGATTGCAGCCATGGCATAGGTCATGGCTGCAGGCGACACGGGTGCTGTCCTTCACTTGGAGACGGCTGCGAGTTCTACGGATATTGCACGCTTGCTTCTTGCGTCCAATCCTGTAGGACCTAGTCGAAGTGTCCGTTCCAGTACCTGCTGCTGATGCAACTCAGACCATCCCGCTGGCGGCGGCGAGCCAGTTGTCGCCATCTTTAGGAGGCGGAATCGCAACGTTTCTGACGGTCACAGCTGGGAGCCTGGCAGCTTTCTTTGGCTTCCAATTCAATGAGCAGGTGCAATCAATTATCATATATCTATTGGGGGTGTTCCAGCTTTAAATTTCCCCGTGGGTAACGGGGCTACTATCACTATGCACCTGTAGAACCACGCATTCGTAAACTGTATTGCAGTCGGAAGCGTGTGCTTATAACAGCAAGTTGCAGTGAGAAAATGAGAACGATATGTATAAATTCTCAGGCTATTCTATTGCATGCAGAAGCGGGCAGCTTCCCAACTGCAATCTGAGGCCACCCTAGCAGCTGCACAGCGCGACCAGCTGGCGGACGATCTGGCGGCGGTGACAACCAAGCTCGCCTCAGAGAAACAGGCGGCACAGGCGGCGGCAAACAAGTCGCGGGATATGATTACCGCCCTGGTACGCTGTGTAAATTCGTGTGCAACCCCATGTGGCCAGGGAGTAGGAGGTCGAGGTCGCACATGCTTTGAATCTGTTGCATGTTTGGCCCACATGTCTTCCCGCCATATGGTATTGCAGTACTCTTGTGTCGTGGGAGGCCATTAGAGATTTGAAAGGCCTGAGAATTTTTTCTGGCCTGGACCCAATTCTTCATGCACGGTACTTGACTGCCTTAATGTGCATGTCCTCAACGTGTGCCATCCTGTTGCCTTCGTTTGCACTCGGGCGGGGTCCTCTTGCTGCATGATGAGCTCCAGGAAGAGGAGCTGCAGCGTCGGAAGGCGGAGGCTACCTCTGCACAGCAGGAGGCACAAGCGGCTGCGTCTCGCGCGGCTGCTGTTGCAGCACAGCTACAGACCACAGAGGGGCTGCTAACGGAATCACGGAATGAGGTGGGTCCGGGATGGAGGAGCTTAGAGGCTGGGTCGCACCGGACAATGGGTCACATTGAGCTGAAAGGCACAAAGCGCAGAGGAAGAGAGTGTTGGAAGGCTAGCTTGTGAACGGCTAGATATCTGGCTATTCCACATGGAATTGTGACAGCTTTGGCATTCCCGTGGCCTTGCCCCGACTGCAGTTGGCTGCCGCTATTGCAGCCCAGAAGCAGGCTGCCGAGCGCGCCGCAGCCGCCGTAAGGAAAGTTCAGCAGCTGACTGTGGCATTGGAGCGCGAGAAGGCGGAGGCGGCGAAAGTCCAGGCAGAAAACCGGATGCGGCTGGACGCGGCGGTTGCAGCGCGGACTGCTGCCGAGGCGGCGGGCGTCCAAGCGCGCACGGAACTGGCCAAGACCCGCAGCCGCGTGACGCGTCTGGAGGTGCGGTAGTGGTGTGGAGGGATTGCAGATTGATTTTGGCAATGCAGGTGCCCTGCAGAGCCGCTGCCATGTGGCGTGTGTATATGTGCACACGTAGCTTGGACAACAAGCAGGCCAATGGCTGTGAGCAGCGAGCTACAATGCTTGTCACATTATGATTGCTGCGAATCCTGATTTGATCACCCGTCAGGTCCATTGCTGCACTTTTTCTTGTATCAACCCGAACACGCGCGCACGTCGCCACATTGCCCTGGACAGGTTAAACATACACAGGTGAAACATACACGGACGTAATCTTGCAGCTCCTTGAAAATCTTTGTGTCATGCATACATCCACCTGCCGAATGAACCTGGCTGTTGTTGATGTTTCCCCTAGGCGGACATTGCGAACCGGGCTGCTCAGCTGGCCGCGCTCGAGGACACAGCCGCCAGTTTCCAAGCGCGCACGGTGGAGCTGCAGGACCAACTGGGTGCCTTACAATTGCAACTGGCGGCCGCGAACGGCCTCGTGGCGGAGCTGGAGGCACAAAAGGCGGCGTTGACAATGGAAAAGCGGTGCACTGCGGATGAGCTGGAGGCGGAGCGGCGCCGTGTGGCTGAGCTGCAGGTCGGGGATGGTGAGCGGCTGCGTTACTTAGTTTGTTGGCCAGGCCAGCGGTAGAGCACACGCGGTGGCAGACCGTGAGCCTGTGATAGGTGTTGGCGCTTGTGCAGGGCTAGTGACATACTGGCTTGGAACTCGTACACGAAATGGACCTCCTAGGACCTGAACATAGGACCGCGAAGCAAGAAGCTCGAGTTTGATTTGAATGCTAGTAATGGGGTGCATCATGCTTGAAGGCGCTTGAGATGATGGAACGGGGGCCCCTTCCTTGACGACGCAGTCAATGTCGATCGTGTTCTGCTTGCGTCCTGTTTGTTGTGATGTGTGGTATACGCTTTTGCATCACTGCACCATTTGCATGGCATTTTGGAGGCATCCGAATTCTCCATGAAGCCGATCCTCCAAACTCGTTTGCGCACAGGCTGCCGCGGACAAGACGGCGCAGGAGTCCGTCGCGCTCCTAGAGCGGGCATCGGGCCTGGAGGAGGAGCTCAGCGCCACCACAGAGCTGCTGCATGCATGCAAGGTAAGCTGGATTTGGACCATGCATGCATTCACCGGTGCCTACCGGCAGTCAAGGAATAGGCTTCGATTTTATGGTTCAAGCACCAAAGCACCATTTAAACTTAGAAGGAGCCTGTCGCAAGGCTGTTGGCTACTGTAATCGTGTCGTGTCCCTACAGTCCTGCGCATGTGTACGAGGCCGTACGATGTATCGTCAGGCATTACTAATTGTCAAAGCTCGCCCTGGATGCCGCACCACCGAGTCTTTTTCCACGACGCGGGATTGGACGCGGGACTGGCACTGTTTTGCGAACTGGCGACTGTGTGGCATCCTGCGAGGTTTCCTCTTTTTCCCCTTTCCCTTTCCCAGGCACAACTACACGCGGAGACGGCGACCAGCAAAGCCTTGCAGGTGCAGGTAGCGGCGCTGCAGGACCGTGTTGCGCAGGGAGCCCAACAGCTTGCCGCAGCCGAGGAGGCTACCTCGGCAGCTGAGCTGCGGGCCGCTGAGCTCAGCCAGATGGTGACGGAGTTGCAAAATCAGATGGAGCTGGCTGAGGCGCGCACTGCAGAGGCACAGGTGGGTTGTCGTGTGGGAGAGGAGGAGTGCAGGTATTGTTATGGTGCCGCAGTTATGTGGCTGTTGGAATGCCGTGGCTCGGATGCCAAGTAGTTTACCTCGGAGGAGCCGCTATTCGCTATTGCATTACTAAGCTTAGCTATCATGCATATTTTTACTATGCTAAGTACGGGAGCCTTCAACTGCATCCTCTTTCCATCCGCGCGGGCATCGGCTCGCTTTGTCAGGCTGCCAACAGCGCTAGCTCCGTTGAGCTGGCCGCCGCTACCGCCCGTGTTCGGGACTTGGAGCAACAGATGGACCGGCTCGCAGAGCACCTGGAGAAGAACGAGGTGTGATGCGTGTGGGACACGGTCGGCCAGCCGTGGGAAGCATGTTCAACTCTCTCAGCTCTCCCGCTGTTCGAAAGGCATGCTGCATACGTGCTTTTGTGTACCTGTGAGCGTGTGTGTGCATTTGATTAATGTACTGAGGGATAGGACTAAATTGGGGTAGGATAGGGGAATGGTGTAGATGTTTGTGCTTTGTTTTGGATTTCATTTCCAGGGGTCCGCTGTCCTATTATGCGTTGAACCACATGATATGCGGCTGCGGCATACGCACGCCTGTTTAGGGCGAGCTGGAGGCCGAGCGGAGCGCCAAGCATCACCTTCGCAGCGAACTGGATGAGCTGCAGGTGAGCGAGGGACGACGCTGCCAGGTGTTTGGCAAGCATGGGCCACTTGAAAAGGACATAAAGGAATACAGCATAGAGTTCATCAAAGCGAGCATTGTGGCTATTAGAAACAGCAAAAACGTGATAGGGCAAATAAGGCGTGGGGCGTAACAGACATATATAACATTAAACAATGGGGGGCCCATTAGGCACTCAATTTATTTATATCACCCGGATACTAGCAGAAAGGGCCTCCAGTCGAATCAGCAACAGGGGCCCCCACGGTGTCAAAAGATGACATCGTCCGCAAAGCACACACACATATACATATATACACACGTACGCACATACACAGAGCAAGAGACAAGCAGGCACGGCTCCTCAGAGCGGGGCAGATTAGACCGACTCGCCTAGTTGTGCTGGCCCCCAATGTCCAAAGCAGTTTTTGCAGCCAAACACACGCATATCACACGGGAGGGTTTTAGCAGGCACATCTGCATATCATAACTCTTAATGCGCATTGCCATGATGCTTAGGCACGCCATAGAGAGTCCCGCTCAACTTAAGGCCCTGATCGACTACCTGCCTTGCTCGGGAGCTGAGTGAAGAGGGAACAATCGGTTTGCAGAGTAAGACATTTGTCTTAAATAGGCCAAACCAGTTTGCCCCTCCGCTCGTTCCTTATATAGTGGCGCGAGCTGTACTTGTTTGTCCTTATAACGGCACCCCGCTCCTTTCTTTCCTGGCGCAGGAGGTACACTCGAAGCTGGAGGCCACTGCCAAGAGCCTCAAGAGCAGCCAGGAAGCCACTGCCCGTGAATTAGTAGACAGCCAGGGTCAGTTACGTGAGCTGGAAGCCAAGGCAGAGAAGCAGCGTGAGAAAGCTCTGCACTACAAGCAGGTGCGCGGAGATGCTGTACTGGGGTCAATAGTCTGCGGTCGTTGCGGGAAACATTTTCTGACATTTGCCAAGTCAAGTAGACGCAAGTGGAGCGCGCATCGTCGTCCTAGGTAGACCCTGATTTGTCTGGATTAGCTTCCTTAGGCAGGTACAGCGTTTCTTTCCGGCCAGGCGCAACTTGGCGGCACGCGGGCTAGCCCCTTGGTTGAAGGATTCGAGTGTACGGTCCCCGGTTGGCTCAACGTCGTCTCGCTGCAACCCGTATCTCCTCATTGCAGGAGGCGGAACGCGCCGCTGCCGAGGTTACCTCTTTGCGCAATGAGCTTGACAAGGCCCGGACCGTGGCCGCAGCCACGGACGCCAAGGTCATGGAGCTAAGCACCATGATTATCGATTACGAGTCAAAGAGCAAGGACCTGGATAAGAAGGTTCAGGTGCGATCCTCGCGAGGACGATGCCGTCAGCTTCAGCAACAGATGCTGTTTGCATACAGTGGTTTGGTTTTGGTTTGGTTTGTGTTTGCGAGGGATAGCACCGTAATTCAGCTGGGTGGAATAATGCCTCTTGTTCCTCGTCGCGCAAGGCCCATTTTGGCCAACGTTCGCTCGTTATCCACCGTGGCTCAGCATTCGCGATTTTTGACTGCGCAGGACGCCACCGATAGGGAGGCGGCGCTGGTCCGGGCGGCCGACAACTCCAAGACGGCATTAACCAAACTGGAGCGCGACGCGCAGATGATCCGCCGGGAGGTGCGGCTGACTGTTTAGGAAAGCTTGCAGCAGGCTTAATCTGGGCTGAAGTGTCCTCGTTGCAGGCCGCAGCTCACCCCCGGCAATGCTGTAGCAAGATATTTACCTTACTAAAAGTGGTCCTCACTCTGCTGATGTCCCGACGACACTGAAGGTGTTACTGCTTGTGGTTGCAGATGGCCGAGAGCGGCATGCGGGCTGCCCAGATGAAGCACGAGAACCTTGAACTGAATCGCACCATTGAAGGGCTTCAGGTGAGGCCTGTTGCGGCGCCACATCGGTGCTCTTGCCATGTTGTTGTAAGGTGAAACCACGTTCCGTTTGTTGTTTAGGTATAAAAAAACCTTATGGATGGCCTAGTGAGCGGGTATTTGCGGTGGCAGGCAATGGACACGGCAGTCAGGCAGGCAGTTCCTACCCTGCCATGGCCGACCTCGTACTGCCAAATGCTCGCCATAATCGATTTACTATATCAAGGTTGCTTCGTGCCATTTTTGCGTCAAGCGAAAGAGCGCTGATGTTGCGTCATGCATATGCTCCTATGCGGTTATTTTTTTGCGTTTCGGTCGACTCAAATGGCACCCGATTGGCACTTCCTTCCGTTCGATCCGTTCGGCAGGCCGCGTTGGATAAGGCTCGTGTTGACGCGGAGAGGTCACTTAGCCTAGAGCAGCAAATAACGCATTTGCAGGTACGTACCGTGCGCATCGCTGTAGCGTCTTAAAGGTTTTCACGAGCTTTTCACTGCTGCTCACTGACGGTTTCCTCGCTTTATGCCACGCAGAATGAGCTGGCCATCGCTCAAGCCTTCCAAGCGCAGGTGGGTCTGGCCGCTGGCCGCCGCGCGACGGTCCGTGTTGACCGTTTCTGACCAAGCATCATCGCTACCTCACGTTGCAGAGAACACCATGACTGGACTGCCCTCGCCAATCGGAATGCTCAATCCTTGTTCTTACCGCGACTGCCAAGTGGCTTACCCCAAAACACGGGGTGCTGTGTCCTAGCAGTGATGGCGGTGACCATATACACAATCACATGCAATATATGTACAAAGCTGACCATCGCCCGCATTATTACCGTAGATATGTCCTAAAAGGCGTGTGCTGGTAGCTTAAGTGAAAACCCTGAAACGGTTGCTGATGCCGCTGATGCGGGAGCAGGTGGAGGAGCTGAAGCAGCAACTTGCACAGCGAGACCGCCAATTGGCGGACGCTGCTGCCCGCGCCCACTCGCGGGTGCAGCCGGATGCTGGTATCCCAGCCGACGGTGAACTGGAGCTTGCCATGGCGGCCGCCGGGTCGGCTGCCGGCACAGCCGGTGGATCCAAACCTAAGGCTGAAGCTTCGGCGCCAAAGCGTCCCCGGGCCACGACTGCCAAGAACGGCGTGCGCCGGGACACCGTGAAGAAGGCGGAACCGGAGGCAACCCCCGCTGTCACCGAGCCGCAGCAGGAGATGACTGTGGTCATTGAGCCACGCATGACGGTGAAGAGCACTGCCAGGCCGGCGCCTGTGAAGCGAGTCAGCCGTAACTTGCCAAACAACATGGTTGCCTAGGCGGGGATTTAGGGTTCTTGGCGACGCTAGGGCCTGTTGCGGAAATGGCGGTGTCCAAAATAACCGTGGCATCGACTAAGCTTGGAAGTATGCCGGCAGTGGTGACAACTGCGGGGGATGGTTGAGCAGGCGTTGTCTTGAATTGTGTTGGCATGGAAGGATTTTATCACCGTGATCACGCTCAGTTGGCTCTGCTCCCGGGTACTGGACATGTTAGTGGCTTGTAAAGCGCAGTATTCAGGCTCTCCCATTGTGCATGTGCAGGATTGTGAAGCTGCGCAAGGACCTGATTGTCCTGTGAGAACTATGAAGTTGTGCTGTGGGTGTCACTGACTACTTGCAGTTAACAGTTACTCGTGAGCCCTTTTTAGGCGCCTCCTACATTATTATTTGGGGCTTTCTTATAACGTGTGCTGCAACTTTGGCCAGTGTAACCAGGGCATTGCAAGAATGGGAGGCTGTCCACAGCAGCAGACCTATGCTCACTGCTCGCGGACCGTTTTCAGACTTTTTCAGTTACACTAACCCTCTCCCTTAATAGCCCTAAAGAGACGCAGGCTCATACTGGCGAACTTTGCAGGTACGGGGTTTCCGCATGTCGCACACAAACACCCACACTCCTTTCCAGTTGCAAGACTATGAAATGAGGTAGCAACAACAATGGAATTTGTGTACGCGAAGGGCGTCTATGCAGAGCAATATGTACCGCATTTAAGCAGCATCTGTGATTGAGCAGAAACACGAGTAGTCCTTCAGGGAAGACGGTAAATAGCGGAAGCCGACGTAGAATCCGACGTAGACCCAATCCGTTGCACAGGTGACACCTTGAAGCAAGCAGGACAATTTGAGCTTTGTGGGCAAGCGCAGCTGTATTGCTAGTGCCCGCTAATCGTCGACATCACATACTATCGACAAACACATCCTTAGGCCACGAAATCCCCGCCCTTATGCAGCAGTACGTAGTGGGCTTGTAAAAGGTTTTAAACATGCTTGAAGCAAGCTGCGAGGCGCTCATGAAGACCTAAAAAAGACTTTGCGGGTAGGCGCCGTGTCCCTGCAAGCTGTCCGTCGATGTAGGCATATGCTGAATTAACTTGGGACTTCGACAATTGAGGTGTCACTAAGACAGAAGACGCATCGTACTGACCATTCAACATGGATTATGACCAATTGGTACCGGAACCGTACCTGTTTCAGAGCGTAATGCTGATCGACGCTGATTGTGCGCGCTTTATGTCATATCAGGCCCAAGAGCTGAGTATTAGAAGAACTGCTCGATATGCCTACCAAAGGATTACTCCATCGACATAAGAGATCGAACCCTATCGGAACCTCACAGCTGGGCGATAGAAGTTCGCCGGTCACCTTCAGCAAGAGCATATATCGTCCATCAAAACGAATGCATGCATGTCTAATTAGCAAATGAAAGTCACCCGGAGATAGAAAGCGTGCCTCCCTCGCCTTTGTACGACTCGTATCGCTAAGAGGTCATGTCAGCGGCCCCTTGTATGCATCTATAGCTGTCGATTTTGTAAGACAGTGTTGACCACCATGATCATCTGCACACATAGACCTAGAATTGCTCGTCTTGCAGCTCTTTGGGCTGTTGGACTTTTACAGCCCGAAGAATAGGAGTTTGCTCCGAGTGATACAAGGACAAGAACTGTTAAAAGAGAGTATTACATTCATTACATTTTGGCAGCTGGAGACTTTCACTGTCCGTTCGTCCTTTTATACCGTTTCGCGTGTTAGACCTGGTATTTCCAGCAGATAGTGACGATGGATGAACAGGACGGGGCATCACAATCTTTTGATGAGATCTCTAGGCCGGAGTCGCCGGAGCAGGTTTGTGAAGCATCAAGGATGGAGAGCTGCAGTATCGCTATCCATCAATGTCGAACGCACTTGATTCGGAACCTTACAATATAAAATTTTATGTCTTAGCTACTGATGTTTGGGCGTTTGACCTGTATGAGCCATGCTGCACCGCTGCACATCCATGCGCACCCCTGCTACAGGAGCCCGAGGTGGACCCCTGGGCGGCAGGGGTAGGAATGGACGCGGAGGACACCTTGGAATTGCTTCGTGACAAGCTGGCTCAGGGAATGGATATCCTGGAAAGCCTGTCAGCCACGGACCGCACCGTGGCCACAGTGCAAGCCGGTCTGCAAACGTTCTCCTACGATATGCACGTCAAGCTTGGCATGGAGGTGGGGCCTGACTTGGGGCGCGAGGGCAAGGCGCATCTCGCATGGGATTCCCCTGGACACACCACGCCTCCCCTCATCATGCGTTGTCCCCAAGTCCCCATACGCCCCTCCTGGGCAGTGTACCACCCCGGGGCCCGGGAGGAAATGGAGAGGGGAAGCGGCCTAGGGAACCTTGCCGGGAAAAGTGGGGTGAACGTTTCCATCTGGGAACTTGTATATGCCCGCTGCTCGTGTGGGCCGCCGTGTTAGGCTCTGCACGCCGGGCTCTGCACGCTCATCCGCCGGGGTCCACCGCTCCTGTCCGCACATTCTCAGCTCGGCGACCGACCACTATTGAGGTTGAAGTTGGCGGCCGGTACCCCAGGACTCTGCGCCAGTAGCATTAGTAGCAGCAATGGCGCGCATTGTGGCGTCGCGGCCGCTCCTCATACTTTCCATGGAAGGCCCCCCTGGCGGGCACCTGCCGCGGCACTGGGCTGGCTCCACTGGGCGGGGTTCTGTCTGTGTTCTGTCTGCACGGGAGGTGTTGCGGAACGGTTGGATACGGCTCGTGATTAGGAATGAAGTAGGATGGGTGGATCCGTTTGGGGTGGGGTACATGGTGGTCCGGGTGGTCTGGCACTGCCAGATGACCTGGATGGCTGGCACTAGCTGTTTTCAGTTGTGTCAGGAAGGAAGCCGCGGCAGATCAATGCGGCAGCAGCAGCCAATACCGGCGCTACTGAACAGCTCAACAGCCGGCGAGCGAGTCCCTGATGGGGATACAAGCGAGGATGGGGATACAAGGGGCAGTCAGCAAACGTCCGAACCTCACGTCGCCCCCGCAGCTCCCCTCCAGGAATTTGCGACAGCGGCAGCGACGGTGGCAGTCCCCTAAGTCCCCCGAGTCTGTGGGGGCGGGAGGGGGTGGGGCGTGTCACGGTCAGCGGACTCGGTCGGCCCCCTCTTTCCCTTGGGGGGACCACAGCCCCGTGCCCTAAGGACATATCCGTGACGTATAGCAAGTTCTGCCAAAGCAGTTAGTTGTTCTAATGCATGTCCTCCACCCTCCGCCCTTCGTCCCAGCGACAGTGTCTGTTTCAATGGGCTCCTCACCCCTCGGGGGCCCGTGCGACTTCCCTTGTGCCTCACACGCTTTTTGCTTTGCTGTGCGATGCCTCCTACGGCCTTATACAAACAAGCACGGTCTTTATCGCCCCTCGTCATGATTTTTTATCATCCCTCGTTGCCTCGTTGCTGACAGGTGATGGCACTTCGGCTCCAGGAGGCCAACATGCGACTGAACGCGGAACAGTTTGGGGTGAGAGCGGAGGGATTGGGGAACGTTGTTGAAAGACAACAAAGTAAAAGTTAAGAAACAAGTGTCGATGTCTTAAGCACCGCCTGTGAGGGGTAGTAAGGGGTGTGATAGAAAGGTAGATGTTTAAGGTCGCCCTTCCCCTGCTTAGTTACTTCTTGGGTACTTCTGGCGTATCAGTCTATATCCTTGGCATTAGCTTCACTCGATTGTGGTTCGTCTTCCCCTCCCCCTCCCCTTCCCCCTCCCCCTCCCCCCCTCCCCTTAGGAGCAACTCCAACGAAGGGCTTTTGTGAGGGACATGTTGAAGCGCGTGGCGAAGGAGGATAACTGGGTGCAGGTGAGACGAGAGGGGGCGGACCCGGGGTGAGCGGGTGACTGGTGGGGGTGATATGATGCGGCCAGCAACTGAAGCGGGGAGAGAGCGGCGCGCTCGGATGGTGCTCACGTGCGGACTGCTGGGGACCTTGGGTACGGCTGGGAGGCATGTGGGGGAAATAGGGGAAAACTGGGGTTTTGTGTTTTTTGCTACAATAAATGTAAGGCTGCGGGTGTGCGTGGTGCGATAGGGCGAATGGGGACGTGCTGCTGACGCATGTGCCGTACAAACCCTTTTGCGGTACGTACGGGCAACGGTGGACTTCACATAAGCCCCTTGAGCCAAAATGTCCCTCTGTCGCTTCCCCCTTCCCCCTCGGCCCTTGCGGCCCTTACTGGCCCCCTTTCCCTTCGCAGTACCCTGCCAGTGACCTGGAGCGCATCAGTCGGGCTCTGAACCGCAGCGCCAGTAAGATTCAGGCAGCGGAGAGCGACCTGAGAGCAGGGGGGAGCACGGGTGAGGAAGTGGAGGGGGAGGAAACGGGGGAGGGGAGGGGGAGGGGGGGAAAGACGAACCACGAACGAGTGAAGCTGCTGCCAGGGCAAGAGTGTACCAGGGGAGGGGGGGAAAGCTGCTGCAGCAGTTTGATGAACCGCCTGCGACAACTCCTTTCCGCTCCTGTCTTCACCACTCCCGCTCCGCCCTAGCTCCGCTCCGCTCCATGCGTCCCGTGCGTACGGGGAAAGTGTTGGCGGTCTTTCCCCCCCGAGGCGTTTCCTGATCGCCTCGAGATACAAGAATGTTTACAATAAACCCGCACCCACACCCACACCCACCCCACGCACCCTCTCCTTCCCCAAACACACCCACACCCCACACGCACACTCTCTGATCGCAGGCAAAGCCGACTCGGGCGCCCAGTCGCCGCCCTCCTATGCTAAGTGGCTCGAACGGCGGCAACGGCCCAGCGCCTCCCACCGCACCGCCTTCGGCACCACGATTGCCAAAACGGTAGGTCGGGTGGGGGAGCTGCAGGGGGGTCGAGGGGCCGAGTTGTGTTAGGAGCCTTTTCATGCCGACAGCATCGGGTGGTGGCGATGTGGTGGCGATGACGCATCATACACCTGCAATGCTCATACGCCGCTGCTTCCGGTCAGTGGAGAGGTTTGCCCGCCTGTCAAACGAAACGAGCTCCTCGCCTGGTTCGCTAGCTGGTCAGCTTCTCATCTCGGTAGTCCTTGCCGCCACCGCTACCGCCACTCCCAAGTGCAACACGCACGTGCTGTATACCATGTTGCGTGTACCTACCTATCGCTTATTATCCCTCCCGTCCCCTCCCCTTCGCGTCCCGGATGGTGCCCTTCTCATGCCGGTTAGTCACCGCGCAAGAAGGCGGCGGCGACAGCGGCGGCCGCTACAGCGGCAGCAGCGGCGGCGGGACCGGAAGGGGGGGATGCCGCGGCGGCGGCGGTAGCGGATGTGGATGTGGGTGAGGCAGCGGAGGCGGAGGCGGCGTTTCACGAGCAGGCGGAGGAGGCGACCAGTGCCGGGTGAGACTGACACGCGGTTGGGGCCCCGGGTGGGCGGGCGGGAGAGGAGGAGGAACGGAGGGGTACATGTGTATAACAATACTTCTAAGGTAACTCATCTCTTTTCCCTCACCAGCTCCCCCTAACCAACTGCCCAACCAACTGCCCCCGACCCACCCCGCACCCATGAACCCCACCCACTAACCCAACCCTGGGTAATGTGCCATTGACGTGACGTGTCCAGGGCTGTCGGGGACGACGCGACCTCGACACACAACACCTTCGGCATGGCGCCCCGGCTGATGGGGCCGGTGAGGAGGGGGTGGGAGTGGGGGTGTAAGTGTGTGTATACGAGGCCCCACGTGTGGGGGGATGTAAAGAGATGGAAGGGAGAGCTGTCGGTCATTTGTGCTTTGGAAGGGGAAACGCCGCGGCGCGTGTGACGTCGGCGATCGCGACGTCGGCAACCCCGAATGTCGCGTGCGGGCCGGTCTTGTCTTGGAATGTCGCAGCAAAGCCACAACGGATGGAAAAGTCTGTAGGATGGAAGGAAAGGGAGGGATGTCGCTTGGGATTGAGAATCTCCGCCATTGTACGGCAGCCTATTGGGAATCTGCGCACTTGAGCACGTGAGGGTTTGAGAAATGAAGTGAGCGGGAAAATTTTATCATAACGCACAACCACACAACCACACAACTGCAAACATAACCACGACCTGTTATGTGAGCATGTAATGTGCTGTGACGCCGGTTTTGGCTTGCTGTACGAGCCGTACGGGAAACCACACGATTTCGAGGTTCTGTGCCGCAGATCTCCGCGGTATCATCCCGCCGTACTCTGGGTCTCAACGGCGCCGGCGCCGGCGGCAGCGGACGACGCGCCAGCGACTCCAGCCAGCTACGCTCCCCGAGCCGCGCCGGCGGCGACACCGATGCCGCCAGCATAGCCGGCAGCGTCCCGCCCGGCGGCATTGAGAGCCATCATTCCGTACGTTTCCAGGCCGGTGACGGCTTCCCAGAAGGGGCGGACGGACGAGCGGACTTAGAGGACGCGGCGGAGATTCTGGGGCTCAGCGGCGGCGGCTTCAGCGGGCGGGAGTCCCGCCGCGGTTGCCGCCCGCATTCAAGGTTAGCGCGGGCGGACGGCCTGGCGGCGGTGGAGGCGGGTGAGAGAGCTAGCTCCAGGGGGGGTGATTGGAGGTCGCTTATCCGGAAGAAACGCGGCTCTGGCTCCGCCACCAACTCCCCCATTTCCAGTAGCGGCGGTGCCGCCGCCACCGCTGATGGCAGTAGCGCCGACGTCGCCGCCGATACGGACGAGGAGCTCAAGGTGGCGGCGGTCAAGAACCCGCTGATGGCCTTGCGTCTGAGCGTGAGGAAGAGTCTGTCGTACAAAGTGCTGTCGCTGACGGACACGGAGCTTGATGGGACGACGGAGGTGACGACGACGGCGACGGCGGCAACGACAGCGGCGACAACGACGTCGACAGAGGATGAAGTCAAGCCGGTGACGATTCCGGAGGTCGAGGCGCCGCTGGCGGCGCTGGAGGACGTGGTGAAGGCGGTGGAGTCCATCAGTGACGGGCAGCTCCAAGTGTACGTAAGGGCCATGGAAGCCTCCGCCGCCGCAGCGGCGGCAACGGCGGCGGCGGCAGTGGCGGCGGTGGAGGATTGGGCAGCGGGGACTGCGCAGCGCCTGTCGGCGGCGCGGGAAATGTACAGTGTCGCACACACCGCCAAGCTTGAGTCCATCACATGCATCACCGACCTTCAGCAGCAGGTGCATCTGCTGCGGGAGTGGTTGGCGGGGAGGGAGCAGAAGCGCTTGGCGGCCGCGACGGCGTCGTTGGAAGCCCAGCGGGAGCGGCTCTCCGCGGTCGTCAACGCCGCTGCTGCCGCCGCCGGAGGCAGCAGCGGCGTTGCCGCCGCCGTGGAGCGCCTCCTGACGGATTGCGACGCGGCGGCAGATGAGCTGGATAATATGGCGGCGGCGGTGGAGGAGGCGGCGGCGGAAGCGGAGGCGCAGCTGGAGGAGCGCGAGCGGCGGCGTGCGGCGTTGCGGCTGATCGAGGAGGAGTGCGTGAAGCTGGCGGAGGAGATGGCGGCGCAGGAGGAGACGGAGCGGCTGGCGCGGATTATGAAGGAGGAGGCGGAGGCGGAGCGGCGAATGGCGGATGCCAAGGTCGGTGGTACGGCAGCGGCCCGCCGGCAGCATGTCCTTTCAGGCCCCCCCAACCTCAGTCCCTGTTGGAACCGCTTACGACTGCGCCTTGGTAGTTTAAACTACTGAGTCGGCGGTGTGCAGCTCCGAAACCCTCACTCACTCCACCCCCCACCGTGTGACTTCTCTCCCGTATTGCAGGACGAGGCGGAGGCGCGGCGGCACGCCATGATGGCGGCCATGTTGATGGGCCAGGAGGAGTGGGTGTTGGAGAAGGAGGCCCGACTGGCGGCCCTCAGGGCTGCGGAGCGGGACCAGAAGCGGCTGGGAGTGCTGCGATCGACGGAGGAGGAGAAGGCGAGGGCGGCGGCGGCGGTGGGACGGCCGTACGACAAGACGCTTCTGGAGGAGCTCGTCCAGGTACGGCAAGCGGGCGGGGACGGGGGCCGGGGTCCGACAGGTGACACGTGCCTACCTACCTTTGGTTTACAAGAAAGACATGAGACGGCTGAACAATCAGAGCTCATGGTCTGTCGTACGGAAGTACGGATTTGCCGTAGCATCCCAGTGGTAAGGCGCGATAAAGAGAACAGTGGGAGAGCCGTGAGAGGAAATGAAATGCCGGGAATGAAACGAACAATCAGCTCATATGTCACAGACAAAGATCAAAACGTGCTGAACGAAAAGGAATCTGTCTGTTGGGGGTTGCTGTCCTGTAGATTTACCATACGTCTCCCCCCCCACACACACCACCACTTGGGTCATTCCCGTGTCATTTTCTTTGGACGCCCCCTTCCTCCGCTCCACTCCTTTCCGCCTATCCACTTTCCCCTGTGTTGTTGCATTTATGGCTTATATCCCCTCCTTCACTTTCCCGCTGCGGCGCTTGACTGTTGCAAATATTGTTTTCCTCCTCTCGCCGCCTCCTCCCCCCCCAATACACACACGTCCTGCCTCCGGGTATGGGTCGCTACTCATGTCCCGGGGCGTCCTCATTCACCTGGGCGATACGAACGCAGCTGGAAGAGGCCGCCCGCGGGGAGGCCAGGCTGCGGCGGCAGCGGCTGGAGGAGGCACTGGCGGAGCTCAAACACTTCGAGGAGATGCTGCAACGGCAGCACGACGGCGCGGCAGCGGCGCCGCCGCCGCCGCCGCCATCCACGTCGCCGAGAACATCCGTATCCGTGTCGTCGGCGCCAGTGCAGCCGCCACCGGCACTGCCGCCGCCGCAGTTGCCTGCCGGGGTCTCTCCGGAGGCACTCGTCCGATATGCTGTGACGGCAGTACGGGAGTGCGCCGACAAGGCGGCGGCTGTAGCGGCGGCGGCCGGCGGGGGTACGGGAGCTGCAGCGGCGGAAGGAGGATTGAATGAGAGCAGCGCCGAGTCGGATCTTGATCAGGCAAGTCGCGAGGCCCAGGCCCGTCTTTCGGCGGCCAGATTGGGTCTGGAGGCGGTTGTGGCCGGAGCGGGGGAGTCGCGCCGGAAGGTGTCCTGGAGGGCGACGGCGGTGTCGCCGTCACATCCACGGTCACGCTCGCTGTCGCCGACGTCAGCAGCGGCGGCGGCGACGGTGGATCCAACCGCAGTCTCAGCAGCAGCAGCAGCCTCAGGGGTTCCTACCCAGGAGACCGCGGCAGCGGCGAGAGCCGTGGCGGCGGCGGCGGCGGCGGCGGAGGAGGAGGACGGCGAAGGGGCCGCTGCGGGAGCGGCTCCATCGCCACGGATGTCGCGGGCGCTCACTCAGTTAGCAAGCCTGGCACCGAGGGACTCGGCCGCGTTGAGGTCCGCGCAGCAAGAGCTTCAAGAAGAGCAGGCGCGGCTAGCGGCGATTGTGGCAGACGCTGACGGCAGGCTGAAGGGCCGTAGCAGCCTTCTCCTCCAGGACCTTGTAGAGGAATGCGAGGGCCTTGCGGCGGCTGTAGCAACGGCGGCAGAGGTGGCGGCGGAGGCGCCGGGGACGTCGGTGGCGCCGTCGGCAGCAGTGTCCAGTACGGGAGAAGCCGAGGACGTGGAAGCCGTGACGGCGGCGGCAGCGGCGGCGGCGGCGGCGGAGACGCAGCGCGCGGTGTCGGCGTCATCGCTTGCAGTAACAGAAACGGTGGGACGGTCAGGGGGGTCCGGCGGGGCGTCAGAAGGCTCGCCGGCATCGCCAATGGTCGCGGCGGCGGCGCCTGCGCTTGAGAGGGGGTCTACACATTCCCTACCTGCTTCACCTGCCCTGCTACCGCAGTCTCAGTCCACAACCGCCCCACAATCCTCGCTGCTGGGGCTGCAGCTGGCGTCGTCGATGCCGCCCTCGCTCAGTCCTCGAGGCTCTCTGGGGGCCCCCATACTACGGATGCGCCCCTCGGGTAGCGGCCAGGGGGGTCCCGGCAGCATGGCGGCAATGGGCCTCAGTCCCCGGTCGGATGCGACAGGACCTGAATGGCCCCTCCGACCCGACCCGTTAAGCTCAGTCTCCTCGTACGGCTCTCAACCTAGCGGCGCTGGCGGCGGTGCGGTTTTGCTGGGCGGCGGCGGCGGCCTGGCGCCGCCGCCGCTGCCGGCTGTGCTGCCCCACGCGAGGGCCGGCGGCGCACACAGCAGAGCACAGCAACACGGCGCTGGTGCAATATCGCCGTACAGCCGCACCCTGCCGCCGCCGCAGGTGATCCTGCCGGTGGTGGGCTCGATGGACATGTCCGGATCCACTTCTCGAAAGTCGCTGCTCGTACAGCCACGCCCCGGCCCAGGCTCCGGAACCAGCCCCACCGCGACGCCGGATTTCCTGCCACGCATAAGCGGGGCCTCGACGGCATCGGCGGGAGCGGGTACGGCACTGGCGGCGCCGCCACCCACACCACGGTCCATTACGTCAGATGGAACCGCCACGGGGCCGTCGCTGGGAGCGCTCTCTCCCTCCGGCGCGTTGCCGACGACTGAGAGACAAGCATCTCAACAACCGCCGCCGCCGCCACAGCAGCATCCAATGCAGCCGCACCAACACCACCAGCAGCAACAGCAGCTTCAGGGGCAACACACGCTTTGGGCGGGTGCCGCATTGGAGTCCCGCGCCTCACGCAGTCTGCCCGCCTCTCCCGAGCCCCTTTCCCGAGCCGCACCAGCCAGCTCACCAGCCGCAGCGGCGACGCATCGCGGTGGTGGCTCCGGGCCCGTGTCCCGACAACAAATGCCGTACAGCCACCACCATCAATCTGCACCGCTGTCGGCTCCCAGCACCCAAGTCGCCGGCGCCGCCAATGGCCGTGGCGCAGGTGTGGCGGGGTCGGTATCATCGTCATCGTCGTCGCCGCCGCGCGGCGGCGGCGGTAGTGGCGGCGGCGGCAGCAGCGGCGGCAGCGGCAGCATCTCTCAGCTGGCATTGGGCCTCTCTGGGCCGCCTCCTCATTCGATGGGCCTGTTGACCATCGGGGATACGTCGTACTCGCAGTGGGTGTCTTCACAGAACCACGTGACACCGCGAGCCCTGGAAGCCGCACGTCAGGTGGACGAGGTACTGGCCAGGTTGCCACCCGAGCTGCACAGCGTCATCCTCAACGCCGCTGAGCTGCTGACGATGGAAAAGGGCGGATATGAGCCCATACCCGCTGTGGCGGCGATGATGACAGCGTCGTCGTCGCCGCCTAGCGGCGGCGACGGCGCTGGCGCTGGTGCTGGCGGCAGCGGCGGCGGAGGCGGCATTACCTTCGTTCCGGCGTACCTCCAGGCGCTACCGCCCGTCGTGTCCAGATATGTCACGTCGCAGCTGCAGCGCATCTATCACAATGCCAATTCAGGCGTTGGGGGGAGCGGCAGCGTGGGGGGAACAGCGGCGGCAGGGGGCAAGTCTAGCGGCGCCGCCGCCGCGCAGGCGGGCGGTGCCAGCAGCACTGAGAACGTGGGTCTTATTGGCGGACAGTCCCTGGCAGCATTGGATTTGCTCAGCCAGCTGTTACCCACGATTGCGCAGGGAGTGGGTGAGGTACGGAAGGGCATGAGTGGCTGGGGGGGGAATGCCAGCGGCGCTAGTGCTGCCGGCGGCGGCGGCGGCAGCAGCGCCGCGGCCCCTGCAGCAGGGGCGCCGCAAACCACGAGTCATGATGCTTCCAGATGCCCCATCGGCACTGGAGCCATGCACGGATCACCGCTGCGGTCCAGTCGTAAAGGCCGGAGCATTTTGCTGGACTCGGTTGACGGGGGCAGCTCTTCACACTCTTCCGCCTCGTCATCGACGTCAGCGGCGGCGGCGACGGCGGCCGCGGCGGCGGCCGCGGCCGTGTCGCTTACCGCTATGGCAGCCCCGCCGGGGAGCCCGACAGGGGCCCGGATACGGCACCAAACATTATCACTCAGCACCCAGCCACTCCACCACCACCGCCGCCACAACAACAACGGGCTGTCCAGGTCTGCGGACGCCGGCGGCGGTGCTGCCGCTGCCTCGCGGCGGAGCTTCGCGCCCGGTGCCACGAAGGCCGGCAAGGGCGGCAATGGAGATCCGCGGAACCGGAGCTCGGCAGAAATGGAACGTTGGATGGTAGGTTTCCGTACATTCCGTACATCCGTACAAGGGAGTGGGCTTTGAGGGGGGGGCATGGCGCATGGGTAGACGTGAAGAACTGATCATGAAGAATGCTGGAGCTGCGCTGTGTTTGGTGTATTGTTTAGCGTAATTACGCTAAACAATACAACAATAAACACCGCACAGCCCTCCTCTTTATTACGCTGTGTAATTTTAATATTAAACAAAGGAGGCTCTCTCTCTCTCTCCCCCCCTTCTCTCTCCCCCCTCTCTCTCTCCCCTCTCTCTCTCTCACCTCCCTTTCTCTCTCTCTTCCCCTCTATCTCTCTTTCTCTTCCCTCAACTCCCTCTCCCCCACCCGCTGCTGCTGCCCACCTCCGTCTACAGATCCGCGGCATCAACATGCAGACATCTCCAAAGGGGACCCCCGGGACGCAATACCAACAGCAACAGCAACAGCAGCGAAACGGGGCGGCAGTACTCGTGGGCCCACCACTGCACGCGCCTGGCGCTAACGCGGCCGGCGGCGGCGCTGCGGCTGCTGCTGCTGCGGCAGCGGCGGTGGCTGCCGCTACTGCCGCTGCTGCCGCCGCTGCTGCTACGGCTGCTGGGTCAAGTCGTGGCGGTGGAGCTGTCCATCAAAGGTGCGCTGCCGCACCTGCTGCACGGGCCCCCCTCCCTCCGTAACACCAACACCCTCAGCGCCCTTAGCCCCCACACGGCACATTAGTTCAATATCCGGGGGGCAGCACCCGGGTAGTAAACAATAAGCTTGTGCGAGTTACGCAAAACATCTCACAAGCGGTGGTGGGGTCAAGCAATCACTGCTCGCTGCTCAGCGGCACTCCTAGGTCCCCTGAAACACCCGAGCCCACGCCCGAGTCTGCGTGATTGTCCAGCCGTACGGGACCCAGCGGGGGTTCCGGCCTTCCCCTGGACCGGCGCTTCCCGCCCTTCCTGGCGGTACTCCCCGGCTCTGGCCTCTCCTGACCGCGACCACCATCATGAACGGTTGATTGCTGCCGTTTTGTATGTGCGTACGTATGTTCATATATGCTCCGAAACCGTTTGTCCGGCTGAAGTAGACGACTGCGACTGCTGTCCCTGGATCTGCCCCCCAGGGAGGCTTTCCTGCCACCCCTCGGGAACAAGCAAACGACGGTACGACACTGATGTCATCAAGATCCACGGAGCCACTGGAGGCCGCGGGTGTGGACCTGTACTGCGTGGGCCTGGGGGGGAGCGGAGTGGAGCGGCCCTGGGGGTGTGGGGGTGGGGTCGGGTTGCTTTCACCCCTTGCTGCTGTCTTGTCTCTACCAGACCGGCATAGCTCAGGGCGTGCTGGCGCGCGTGCATTCTTTTGCGTGATGCGGCTTGAAATGATGACGATGAAGATGAGGATGATGGTGGTGGTGGTGTGTGGGGAGGAGCCGCCTGACACTGAAAGGCCCCCCTGGCTTGAGCGAGTACGGCGTATGGTGATCCTGATGCATGCCGGCTGTGTGGATACGACCTCTGAGTGGGAGGTCCTGAAACACGACATGCCCGGGTGCGGCCTCCCCGACGTATCCTCCTTGGTGCTCTGTGTGCCGTATTGCGTAATGCTAATGCTACAGCTATTGCTACTCCCCCACTGTCACTGCTACCGTTGCTGTTACTACTGTTATATTGCTGTGGCGAGCGGGGACTGGAAGGAGGGCGTATTTGCAGGATGATGATGATGACGATGACGATCTTTTAGTGTTGTACCTGGAGGCGTACTGAAAGGAAGGATATTGATGTGGATGGTGATGTTGTGGCCATTGCCACGAAAGTTGTGGCCGAAGACCCATCCCGGGGCATATTGGGGCTTTGGACACCAAACACACCACCACCATCCCATAGGGGCTGCAGGGGGAACGACACGGCGGTGCCCATGGTCAAAATGCACTAATCTGTCGTAATTGCCGTACGCCAATGCGTTGGTCGTGACGACTATGGGAGCTGGGACGCGGTTGTGGCAATAGTTCTGCAGCTCCATGTACTTGTGATGGCGTGTATGCGTGTTTGTGCTTGAAGCTGTGAAGCGGCCTTGTTGCGTGTTTTTCATGACCACATATTTTGGGCTGTTGGCTGTTGGGCGCAGCAAGTTGAAGGGCCTTACTTAGCAGCGCGTGCATTTACGTGTGTTAATGTGTGGGGCATTAGTGAGGTTAAGGGGCATAGTCGGGGAGGGCTGGGGTGGCGCTCACCGGGGCTGAGTGCCCGCCAGGCTTCTGCATGATGCACTGAGGCGGTCAGGGCAGAGGGTCCCGGCATTGGGGATCTTCTTGTCGCTTATGCTGCTGACCGACATGCAGACAGACAGATAGACAGACAGACAGACAGACAGACAGACAGACAGACAGAGGGACTAGCTGGCTGGCCGGCTGACTGGTCACCTGAGTCACGACTGGAAGGGGTTTGTAGAGGGGAGGCGAAGAGTCAGTCAGGTGTTGTGAGGGACACTCCCTCGGAGCGTGCGTGCATGTGTATGTGCAGGAGCATGAGCACGTGCATATCCATGCATGGATGCATGGATGGATGCATGGATGGATGGATGGAGAGTTGTGTCATCTCACGTGCAGCCTGGTGTGCATCATGATCTGGTGGGAAGGTTCGAATATTTGCCAGGCGCATGTCGTACATGTAGCCTGGTTCGTACGTCCTTAGGGCTTATCTGTCCGGACGCCATATGCTGGGAGTTGTCGAGCAGAGTTGTCAGCGTGGCTGTATTGTGGTTGTAAGGTGAAGTCTTGCGCAGTGCTGGCTGGTGACTTTAGCCGCATTGAATGCAGTACATGCACGCACCCGATATGGGTTTGTATCATTGCCCTGCACGGCGAGCAAGGGCAAGGATTATCCAGAGCAGGTCCGCCCTGGCAAGGAATTTTTAGGTTAGATGAACTTCATAGGATTGACTCGTGGTATTGTGGTTACTATGACAAGCTTTATGCAATTTTGGAGGAGCTCGTCATTAAGATACGTTCCCTTACCAAAAGCGGCCTTTCTTACTGCAGCTATAATTCTATTTCTTATTATCTCAGTCTATGGGGTACGCATGCTGTTACGTCTTCGCGTCCCGGTCAACCGACGGGACATAGTCTGTTTGCCTTATGCGCACAAATGATTGAAATTAATAGCTTTGAAAATTCGTCGCCAACATATGCGATGAGTGCCAGGCTGCCAGCTGGCCACCTGTGATGTCTCTCCTTATCCCAGCTGCCAAGTGTGCGGTCGCTCTGTGCCTAAAATACGCCTTCATGTAGCCAACATCATTTTGTTGTTGCATGAAGCAAGCTCTCATGGACAATCATCGCCCTCTTAGGTGCTATTACTAACAGAGCACCTTGGATAGGGCCTAACCCTATCTGAGCTCGGTGGTCGGTCGATTTGGGGGAGAACTAGTGCATCCTCAAGAATGGCAGGTGTATTGCCAGTCGACGTCCTAAAGCATCCTGCGAACAATGCGGCACCTTGCAGGACCAACCGATGGTGCGTAGTGAATTCACATACCTCGGCTCTCGTCCAATACATGTTGCCAAAAAATCCACAATTTCTACTGTGCTCTCATATATTTCCTCCATTCTTACAAGTGAGCTTTTGTCGATTCTTTTTGGACGTCTCTCATCGTCCGACATCCCTGCTGACCTTGTTTGAGTTAATTCTGGTGAATTTAGTCTTTCTGCCTAGCGATGGGCCTAAGCTATCAAGCCTACATAACGGGACGCGCCTACTGCAGCCTAGCAAAGATACGCGAGGAAGAATCGTAGCGCTGGCTTAGTTTGCGTTCTTCGGCCTGTACAAGGCCTGCACGCGGTCCCGGCCATGAGTGGGACTAGGACTGCCGTGAGGACCGGCGATGACGAAGCAGGTCAGCTTTCAGGTGTTAGCCAGGCCTCAAATGCACAGGCGTGGTTGGAGCGTTATACACGGCGATCTACCTTACTGCGGAAATCGCGCTCGAAGGTAGGCTCTGGCCGTTAAAGGGCCAGCAGAGCGTGTCTCTGGGTCTTTTTCCTCTATGTGCTCAAGGCATGAGGGATCCCCCTAACGCAACGCTGGCCTCATCCAAATAACCTAGGTAAATCAGGGGTCCCAATGCTCAGGGACGCCTGAAGTGTACATTGACGTTGTAATTTGCTTTGTTGGTCTTTGCGCGACATATGCCCGCTCGTCTCTTCACGAAGATATGCCTACTCGCCCCTCTCCTGCTTGTGCCTGCTATGACCCGGTGTGGTCAGGCGCTTACCTGGGAGCAATCCTCCCTGCAATGCCGAGCACTGCACTTCTTAAGAAAACCATCTGCTTCCCGGCCCCGTTGTCCTTCGCTCGCCGCTACGTAGCCGCCTTAGAGGGCAGCTATTTAACCCCTTCCCTACACAGCGCTCACTGCCCTTGTCTGCTCTACCCCCCACTTATCGCCACCCCTCCTTCCTCTCCTCCGTTTCTTCCCGCCTTGGCAATCCCTCGTTCCATTTCCCCTCCTCAAGCGCTTTCCACCTGCCCACGCTTTCCCGGCCTCTCCCTCGCCCCCGCGTCCCCCCGCACGTACAAAACACATACACAGCGGCATGCTCCTTCGGAGCTCCCCGCTTCCACCAAATTCGGGGATGAGGTGGTCTCCAAGGTGCTGCTGCTGGCTCGCTGGCGCTGCAAAGCCCGCAAGCACCTGGATGACCGGGGGTTCTCCATGGCAGCCCGGAGGCCCTGGCTCGCGCGGTTTCAGGAGGTTTCGGAGCGAAGCGGCTGCGTGCTGGGTGCGGCTATGGAGCACGACGGCATCAAGCCCCATGTTGAGATGATACTCAAGGTGTGTCCAGGGAACCAGCACCCGGTAGAGGTGGGGTGTGCGGACTTCGCGCGTTTGTGGGGTTTGAGGAAAAAGGGTTTCAACAGCCCGCGGGCGGGGGTACCCGGGTTGTGGGCTGCGAAGAGTGGGCTGCGGGGGGGGGGGAAATTCCGCAGGTGAGGGTGAGGTGGGGAGGGATGACGCTTCCCACTTCCCTTCCCATTCCGGCGCTCTCCTCTCCCGCACCCTTCCTCCATCCCGCCGCTCCACCCCTTTCCCCAAGCCACGCCACACCACACGCGATTTCGAACCCTGGCTGCCAGCACACCCACCCCAACCCACCCCACCCCATCCCACCCCATCCCATCCCACCTCACCTCACCACACCCCAACCTAACCCACCGGGCCTAGGTCACCCACGCGGAACAAGACAGGCGACTGGACTTGGCTGCTGAGCAGCATGCTAAGGTGGGGGTGGGGGAGGGAGAGGGAGGGGGTGGGAGAGGGAGGGGGTGCTGTGGGGGTGGGGGTTTCCTGACAGCGCATCCCATCAACCTCCTCCCACCACCCGCCCAGTCGCCGTCTTGGTTTCTTAGGGTTCGCGGGCAGTAAGGGACGACACGACTAGCGCTCTTGCAGTTTGGAGGGCCCCCTGCCTCATGGCTGCTCTCCCGTCCCCATTGCCGCTGCCGGTCTGTTGGTTCTGTTGTCGCTTCAGGAGCTCACCTCCATGGACGTCATCCAGCAAAGAGTGAAGAGGGCCATGAGGGGCGTGCGGATGTGGACGCTGGTGAGATCGGGGCGGGAGACGGGAAAGGGGGAGAAGCACGTTCTCGCGTGTTGATGTGCCTACCGGGGCCGGGAGGTAGTGCATTGTACGGGGAGGAGGTCAAGACTCCGGGGGAACGTAGGACACAGTAGGGTTTATGCAGGCTGCTCTCCCCTCTCCCCCTCCCCACTCCCCATACCCCGTGTGTCAATTCCCTCAACACTCCCCTCTCCCCCCCTCCCCCCACCTACCGGTCAAGGCGGTCCTTCGCCCAATGGTTGACTCCCCCAGACTTAATACCCTCGCCGCTCGGTGCGCTGTGTGGGTATGCGAGTGTGCGGTTTTGTATGTATGTATGTATGCATGTATGTATGTATGTATGTATGTATGTATGTATGTATGTATGTATGTATGTATGTATGTATGTCGTGGCTTTTGGGCACGGACTGACGGATGAACGAACGGACTGACGGACAAACGCGCCTCGCCATATGTTGGAACTCCATCATTATTGGTCATGTGTTCAAACCCGACCGACTGCAGAACGGCAATGGCTGCAAGGTGGCGTCGGACGAGGAGGACGTCAGTGTCCGCGGAGGCCGCCGCCTGTCCAGTGTCCCGGGGGAGAGCCGGGACTGCGGTGTGCCTGGCGGCGGCGGTGCGGCGGTCAGGTGGGGGGCCGTGAATGTGCAGGGCGGCGGGGTGGGGGNGCCGCTGGAAGCGGTGGGAGCCGCCGCCGCCGCCGCCACCGCTGGCGGCCCGAAGGCTGAATTGTGGTCATCGCCGCCGGCGGTCATGACGGGGCCGTCAGAAGCGGCGGCGAAGGATCATGCACGGGGCGCTCCCGTTGCGGCGATGGCGGATGGCGGAGCGTTGCCGCCGCCGCATCAGGCGCCGCCGCCGCCACCGCCACCACAGCGGCAGAGCGCTCACGGAGCGGATTTTGGCCGCTCCCCCCTGGTTGTTGTACGAGAGGAGGATGACGTACCCAGGCCGTTGCTATCCCGATCTTCGCCGCTGCCGCTGGCGCCGTCGCCGCCACCGCCGCCTCCGCCGCTGCCTCGTCAGTCCGCACCCACTGGCCAGTCTGATAACATTTGGTAGGACTGGGACCTCCGGGTGCTGGAAGAGGGGAGCCCAGGTGGCTGGGGGTAGGGGGAGAGTCCGTCGTCATCATGGCTGATCGGGAGCTGCAAGTACCGTCCCGTGCCCCTCTCCCCCTCCACCCCTCCAGCCTTTTTCCGCCTTTCTGTCAGTTCTACGTCTGGTACACTCTTGCCCTGGCAGCAGCTTCACTCGTTTGTGGTTCGTCTTTTTCCCCCTCCACCCCTGCACCCCGTATTCAGTCCCGGCTAGGGCCGCAGACACAGCTGTGGAAGCTTCTGTGCTCCTCAACGGCGTGTCTCTCCGCGCGTGTGTATGTATTTTACCCCTCCTCGTTCTGGTCCTTCTTCACCCGCAGGCCCGACTGCAGCGACCTCCTAGCTGCCGGTCTGGATGTATGTCTGGGCTCGGCGGCGGCGGGAGGGGCTTCCGCACCGCCCTGGAGCCATCCGCTAGCTGCGGCCAACACTACAGCCGCCGCCAACACCACCTCCGGCGAGTCCAGCAGCAGCATCAGCGGCAGCGGCGGCGGCGGGCCTAATCGGGCGACCCACGGGTCGTCACTGCTGGCGGCGGTGGGGGCGCAGCATGGGCTGTCGTTGCCCCTGCTTTTTGACACCGAGAGCGATGCGCAGGTAGCCCGGGGTGGGGACATGCGTCTATCCGTCAATGTATGTATGTATGTATGTGTCGGGGGAAAAGACGTCGTTGCGGCGCCTGACCATTTCCCGGCGCCTGACTGATCAGTGATCTCCCTTCAGGGGGGGTGTAAGGCGAACGAAACAGATACCCAGGGGGGGTGAAGGGGTTGCGTGTACTTGTTGAGCGAATGGGGGTGACCTGTGGCGTCACTGGCTGGGCGAGGCAGCTATGTCTCCGTCCACCACCCGACCCACGGCAAGCTGTGTAGGCGGGTCCCCCTCGCTTCCCCTTGGATGACTTGGGTCCCCCCCCACACAGCCATACTCACACTCCCGCCAAGTCCTTTCCTCCCGCCCTTACCTCACCCCAGCTTGACACCCCTGACCTCACCTCACATCGTGATTCGATATGCCGGTGATTTCCTCCCATCCCCTCCTCCTCGCCACCACCACCACCACCACCAACAACAACAACATCAACAGCAATGGCAACAGTCGTCCCCTCCCCGCCTGGAGCTGGCGGCAGCGGCCTCTACCTGGCAACCACAGCCACAGGAGGTTTCGGGGCCGCCATCAGCGCCTTGTACGGCGGTGGCGGCGGCGGCAGCTGTACCACTGGAGGCTCAGTCCCGCAGAGCCACCGCCCACTTGCCTCCCGGATCACAACCCCGGGTGAGTTAATCTCCCCCCCCCCGCTACTAGATAGACCCCACCCGGTACCGCACGGTACGGCGGTCACATGATCTAATGTATTACAATTACATGATCTGGCGGCCGATACACCCATACCCTATGTCATACGGGCGGAAGGTGACAGAACGAAGGTTTGTACGACATGCAAACGTAGGAAGGT